ATGCACATACGAAGGTGCGTATATGTAAGTATTGAAAATGTACATATGTTGCTTTCAAGTATTATTTTCATGCCCCGAATCATTCTATTAAGAAAACACAGTCTATTTTTAAATATCTTGTATGTGTATCTATCTATGCATGTCATGTTAACAAATATTATTTTCTTAGCTTTATGTATAACTCCATCCCATATACTGACCTCCATTCGAGCCCAAAATTCAGTTATTCAAGAAAACACTTGTAACCAGTATCTGATACAGAAGTAAATAAATATCAATTTAATACCCCTTCGATTTTCGTCAGCACACACAGAAATATAATCTCGTCGTAGATGATATGTATGTGCTAGTAAGAAAGCATCAACAAACATGGGAGTTCTGGTGAAGAAAAATTAAATTGTGCAAGTAAGGTGATAGATTCAAATTTGCATTTACAGCTTCGCCTCAACGATATCACAGATTTTCAATTCGATGCATGCGAACCAAATATTCGCCACCACCTCGCACATCCATCAATGGCAACTAGGGAGCTATAATGCAAGACATAAAAGTCAACAATTCTCGCAATTTCATTCTCACGGGTGTCATTCGATTATGATACTGTGCAGACCTTTGTAACAGTGAACATTTTTGTATTTGCTTTAAAAATGGAACCAAGTTAAATAACGAGCTTAATTAAATTTAGTTCCTGTATGTGCTCCAAGCGCGCAAAAGAATAAAAATGTGTACTACACCCTTGTTTGTAGTTCTCATTTTGCTACACAGATTGGCTAACTCATCTTACATTTTTCCTTTAATAACAAAATAGTGGCCCAAAGTTTGCTTATTTAACGTTTCTCTCGTCTCAGTATACATACGTAAATGCAGAGTTTGATTTATTTTGTTGATTTAACCAACTGAACTGAGCCCAATGAAATGAGAGCTGACATCGACATGAAAATGAGCATGAAACCAACTTTCATTCAATTCAACTGCACCATTGTGAGCTATCTATTGTTGCAAAAGCGAAGACGACACACAAAGACACACACGTCAAACCCAGCAGCCTAACATGTCGTCTTGGACCCGCAACATAGTAGAATTCTTGCTGTTTTATTAGCCTCCTCATCTAATGAAAACGACGCTATCTGCAAACATGGTCGCTTCTGCTGCTCTTGTTAGAGGTGGCTGCGACAAGGAATAAACTTTAATGTTGACGTTGACATTACGTTTTCTATGTGCCTCTCACCCTGGGAAAATGGTGGCTCCAATGTCTCGATATCATTTACAGTCTACTTAAGTCTTGTCTCTTGTGTATCCAATCCAATTTGGTCTGATTTATTTGTTAGATTCGGTATCTGTGTTGGATGGAAACACCTTTTGTTCCTCTAATTGAAACGATGGTGGTGGTGGTGCTGTTAGTTGGATTGTTCGTGATGGTGTGAGATGGGACACGTTAAATTGTAGGACTGCGTCGATCAATTAAAACTGGGGCTATTCTGAGATACAAGAAGAAGACAACATCTTCCTTGATTCTGATTCTACTAAATTTGAATACACATGCATTGCGTAGGTGCGAGACACCAATTAAATGTTCAATCCGTTGGTGAGCTACTTGTTTAGTTGAGCAAATCCTCCGTCCAACTCCCAATTTAGAATTAGTCATGTGTACAAAAGTATCTCTCTCCGTTTGGTTTGTAATTTATATCTCGCATTGCAAATTATCAGTAACCCACAGTTAAGTATCTGTGTGAATGCGTGCCATATATGTAAAGTCTCTTTTTCAACTCAATTAAAAATGGACGCATAAAGTTGAGCAGTGATTTGCAATTTGCAAATGAAACATTTACGAGTCGTTCAGATTCTGCATTTGTCACGAGGATGAATTCAATGGGACCTAGCGAGGTACATACACACACATACACACAGAAACTAACAATCCCCCATTCAAGTCATACAACGAAAACATGTAAATCGGAGAAAGTGCAAGCAGGCCAACATATTGCTTGTGGTCGTCGTTTTGTGAGGCTCAAATTGAGACCTCAGCCTGAATGATGGGTTGGCAATTGCAGCAAAAGTTTTGCTTATCGTTTATTCCTTTAGCCTGAAAGTACCAACACACAAAGTTGAGACCAAATGACGCAAAAAATTGCTCCTGGGAAGGAAGAATTCCAGAGTTGTATGCCATTCCTGCTTTTCTCTACTGATTCCACCACCAACCAGTTTTCGGTTGAGTTGCTCGGAATTGGTTGGAAAGTTGAATGTTGATTCATACCAAGCTGTCAGAGACAGATACGAAAGAAATGCAAATATTCGGGAAAAGAATTAGGGAAATTTCGTATCCCTCCTCCCACTGCAGCCCTTCCAAAGCGTGTCTAGTTATTTGGTCCCACATTTGTTACTCCATGATAGGTACCCAGCAATTTTACTTTTTAAACACAATCCATAAATAACGAAACCCGTTAAAAGTGTGTTCGCATTATATTTACATACGTACGTACTAACCCTGCATACATTACATACGTATGCTTGAGCCGATATGGCTAAATTCAATATAATTGCAGCATCGAAACGAACCCGTTGCACATATGCCAAAATTGTCATGATTGGTCAATTACTATATGAAAAATGGTTCTCGTAATAGTATGAAACTTGTACATGCAGACTTTGGTTGGGCTGCAAAGAAATATTTCTCTCTCGGTTAGGATAAAAAATGTCTCGATTTCTTCACTACTCTTTTTCTTTCCAAGTACCTGCAACTACAGAAGAACGGGACGCTCAAGCTGACAAAAAACAACAATCTGACAGGAAGAAAGTTTTATGTCCTTTGATGGACGGGTGGTTGTGGTCTTGCCGTGGCTGGAGTCATGTCTTCTTTCACTTGAAAAGTTTCTTTTTTGTTAAATGTTGCAACATTTCTTTGTTCACTTTTCTGGGAATATAAGTGATTGTAAACATTTTACACATTAAACAAACCATTTATATTCTACCTTCAAGAGAGGCATATATAATATTGATTTCTTTAAACAGCACAAAGGGACAGCATTTTTTGAATATTTCTAATTTTGTGGATGTAAAAGTTTATACATTGCAATTTATGTTTATGATTTATATAATTAAAGGTACAGTTTCTAATATGTAAGATATAATTTAGTGTGAAATTGAGTTCCTTTAAGCATTAGCACAAAATTGCGTAACCTCAACGTCTCACCACGATCAAGGGTTCTAACTCTATATTTTGTGTAAGGAGCAATTTTTCTTCATTTTAGTACCATAAAAAGAGACTATAATATGATGAAAGTACACATCATTAAATTTTGGGTTTAAAGGCTTGCGGAAAAATTTAAACATAAATTTTGTAGTGGATGAAATTTAGTACCAAAATCCTCGTAGAATGTTTGCTCAAATTCAATCACATCCATGCATTACTTTCCGGTTCTTCGTACTACGGACTGAAAAGTAGTGGAGTATGTATGCACTTAAAAATGTCAAATCAGGCAAATAAATCAAAACGACTGGAATAAATTGTCCAAATAAATCATGCTCCCTTTCATCCCTTGCATACATAAAGATGGGAACGGAGAAGAGAATGGCACATTTCGAAACTCATCTTCGTGTTCCCTAAATAATAAATCTTGCTATTATTAGGTCATTCAATGAGAGAGTAGAAATTGAGTCGGACCTTTGACACAGGAGAGGCCACGAAAAAATGTGATTCATCGCTCCATATACAGGGTGGTTAAAATGTCACGCCACAATGGAAAATTTTTCGATGGGAAAAATCCATAAATTTCCATTAGTTACCGAAATTTTGTCTCTAAAATGCAACATTTTAAGAATTTTGTCATCAGTTTTGATAATAATTTATAAAAATCTCAATCCCAAATCTTGTAACTAATGGAGATTTAGGGACTTTTCCCATTGAAAAATTTTCCATTGTGGCGTGACATTTTAACCACCCTGTATTTACCAATGCACATTTAGTGTGCAGCAGAAGAGGATCGAATCACGACGTCTCGTTCAGTCGTTCGACATGGTTCTTATCTCAATAATAACGACTTATTGTGATTTTCTGTTGCAATTGAGGAGCATAATTTATGTTTTTAAAAGTCCATGCTTTTCTTCGATAACATTCTTACCACAAGATTTCAAAATGTCAATCAGCTAATAATTGGTCATTTGAGGTTTATCTAAATGGTAAATTGGCCTCTTAAATTCTCCCAGCTCTCAATAATAGTAATAATAAATGCAGCGTATGTACATAAATAAGGAAAGCCAAGTTGACCAAAAGGCGAATGAACGTTATATTTATTGGAGTTGGCCGTGAGATGCGACAGAGTTGATTTTTTGTGAGATCATCTACTTGTCGATATTAAGCGAAAGCGAGTAAGACTGCACTTGAATAGAATGGTATGCAGTCATGTACGACTTTGGTCATTTCTGTCTCTTAGAAGGAAAATGTATCTGGTCTCATTCTTTATCGCGACAAGTGTTAAGACATTCGAGATTCAAAACGCTTGAGGTATGATCAACTGTGGAAACATGCACGCACACATCACCTCGGTTTTGGTCACTTGACTCTCGATTGTTACAGAGCAATAGATGCTGATGAGTAATTGCTTGCCAATAATAATAATAACAACGTTAGTGGTTGTATAGAGGACGGAAACCCGTTTGCCTCGGTCACGAGAGAAGGAGGAGGAGGAAGCATTGCAATACATGTACGAAGCAGTGGTATTAGTGGACGCGCTTGAATGATAGGAACTCTTTTAAAACTGGATTTTAGCTTTTGCTTTTAACTAAAACCAACCACGTACGCCATAGCACGGTACGCGGACTCCTATTATGTGCATTTATTTATTATCATTATTATGATGCTGTACATATTTGGCTTGAAGGCAACTAACTGTCAAGGGTGGCCATTTGGCTAGTTGCAAGTGAGTGAACATGAAGGTGCGAAGGAGAAAGTTGTGACATTGACCTAGAGAAAAAGACAAGTTTTTGTTGTCTGGTTGTTCTAGTGACCCGGAAGGATTCTCGATAACCAGCGTCACCATGCGTCTCTTCTTGTGGTTCACACTGTTCACAATCTGCTCCTTGCACTTCACACAAGCTGGGATCTATAGGCGCTATGTGCGCAGGAATCGACCGAGGCCTCCACGGTCGTACACTCCTCTGGACGAGATGATGATGATGCCAGTCATGATCCCTACTGACCATTTCTCGAGACGGGGTTCCCACTTGTTCGTCCCCACCCCTTGGCCTTCTTTCCTCTACAGGAGGGCGAGGTCGGCCTGGACTTTCCCGTCCTTTGGCTTCAACCAGCCACCCAAGGCGAACATGCGCTTCAGACAACCCAACACTGAGAGGCAGGACACTGTTCCTAATTTCCATCACCAACCGACCGGGCATCACTGTAAGACACACATTCTTTTTTGTCACGTCTTGAATACTAATGAAATTCGAATTTATAAAATCTAGCATCATCAGAAATATCTGAGCTTTTATTAATGTCATAATCATACATAATTCGTTCACATCTGTTGTAATCTTGCAATGGCTGGTAGAACAAAGTCATGAATTCCAAACATACAACTTTTAACGCCATAGTTTATATGATTGAGTTAAATAGGAGTCTCCTAAAGTCAAGATGAGAAAGCGAAAGTGGGTTGAACTTACTACGAGCAAAGTATCCAAGATTTATATTTTCATCACTTCTACATACAAATTCAGGCCGGAAAATTGATATAGAAAGTAACTAAATATGTTACTATTAAAGTGTAAAAGTTGCAAATCCTTCTGTTTTTGGTCAGTTTAGAAAATAATTCATTGCATGTGTATAAAAATTGTGTAAACAAATTACGGACCTGTCACATTACACCAACCCACAACGACACTGTGGGCAACGTGGTGCTGTTCAGGTTTGAAGCAGACCATGCGTGGTTTAAAAACACAACCTCAACCTGTCATTATGGGTGTTTACGAGAGATTCAAAATTTTATGTTAATGAGAACTCTCGTAATTTGTGGTTCGATAAATGAAAGCCATATGATGAGATTGTGGGAGAGCGAGTGGAGTAAAATGTAGTAGCAGACAATGAAATTGTGCAGATTCTTGCAGTACAAACAGACTATGCGAGAGTGAAATGACTGAATTGAGCGTCTCAAAGTGTATGCACAAATTTCGGGGTGGAATAGAGGTCAATAGAATAGAGGTCGATTGGCATGTATGCATCTCATCATCATGTCCTTGCCTGTGTATTTATAAATGTTATCATGAGTGTCTCACGAAAATATTTACAGCCAGTTAGTCTGTTGTCATAAAATTTGGGTTGACTGTCACAAAGTGGGATTGATTGTTATTTCATTAGATCTTATTAGCAACTTTGATAATAATAATAAAAATAATATTTGGATTGGCACTGAATGTGAACGCTAGCCAACTTCCTGTCTCACACTGGTTTGTTCTCATGCGGAGAGTTTTACATACACCACTCTTCTTGGCAGCCAGTTTTTTACAAGTCACTTTCACTCAAGTTTTAATGCTCATTTATGCAAGTGCGTGACCTGGTGAAATATTATTTAGGAACTGATGGTAAAATTCATAAGTTTGTACAAATAAGTTTTTGCAAATTAGCATATAATTAATTGAAACTTTGGTTTAACCGGTTTATTTTAAATAATATATGCGGAATATCAGTTTGTGCATTTTGAGGGCAAAATATGTGTATGGTTATGTACAAGGGATTATTTAATTTAGATTTTAGGTTTTTAGGTTAGATTTTATTTTCTACAATGTCAGGAAATTATATTGGATGTTTATTACTTGGACATCATTTAAACCATGTCCGAATAGGCAAAGGAGGCTGTTGGGCTAGGTTAGGCTATCGCTTAAAAATATAATTAGTAATAAATCTCTAATTTGTTTTTCTAGATCCGGGGACCACCCCACGACATCATCAACTGAGCAGCACGCCGTTTCCTGCTTGGAGACCACTGGACTTCAACTCGCCCATTGGTGACCCCACCTTCGACTATGCTCCACCTTCTATGGAACGTGTTAGATTCCATTCTGAAGGCCAAAACAGACGCACGACTGCCAGATCGAATACTCTGCCAGCTGCGTCCCCATTCCCCAACAGACCTCCACCCCCAGGGTTTAGCACTCGCCCATCCCTCTGGAAAATGTTGGCACATAAGCAACGATCGCATCAAAAACGGCCCTTCCAATACCAAGGTCAAAGACAGCAACATCCTGGAGGTCCTTATCAACGACATCCCAGCAGTCAACAGCAGCAATCATTGCCGTATCATCACCACCATCACAACCAAGTCTTCCACGACGAGGCAGATATTTTTCCACGAATTCCAAACATGGTCTACTTCCGGCCAAATGATGTGATATCCTCACGTCGACCAGGACCACCTCCACCCTTTGGCCTTCCTCCACGACACCACCCACATCCCGGTCCTCAAGGTACTACAACTACCTCCACAGAATTAAATAAGGAGAAAGCAGCAGGTGACGATGTGTTTGTCGGCGGCGGAAGTGTGGAAAATGTTGCTTCGAGTGAAGCGAGTTGGAATGATGAATTCAAGGCTGCTAAACCTAAACCTAAACCTAATACCGTGTCAAGAAATAAGGAATACCTCTTTACTGTTGTAGGACATTCATTCCGAGGACCCACCACATCCTCACCTCAGTGGAGCTCTCTAAATAGCATGTCTCCTCCACTGGTGCCCGCAGCCGTAGGAGCACCAGCAACCACACCCACCAGCACCAAGAAACCAACGGTACTCCATGCTGTCAAAACCACAGCTTCCACCATCACCACCACCCACAACTCGGTAGGCAAACCTAATATACCCACCGAAAGTCTCGAGCCTACCGACTACCAGGGTGGACACAAAAACCATCGTCACCACCAACATGACGAGGAGCAGGAAGAGTTTGACGAAAGTACGGAGGAGAGTGAAAACATTGAGAAAGTGATCAAGAATGAAAAGAAGAAGCCTTCAAGCACTCCAAGCACGCCAACAACTACGTCGTCGTCCTCCACTCCGCCAAGCAAGAAGCAGTCAGATTCCAACAAATCATCAGACCTTGATAAACTTGACATGGTGCCAGCCGCCCCTATCTTTCCAAATTCATTCAACATCCTCGACTCTGTCAAACATGTTGAAAATGATGATGATGATGACGACGAGGACGACCACGATGAGAATCATGAAGACTCTTCACCCGAAATTGAGCCTGAAAATGAGATCCCTGCCACAGTAATTGAAATTCCAAGTAGTGGATCCACTCAGTCTGGTCTTGGTGGTGGTGTCAAACCTCGTCCAGTTTTCAATAATGCAGTGAAGCATCCCATGTCGGATGAGTCGTCCCTGTTCAAGACATCCACATCCATTTCCGTCTCTGTGTCAAAAGATCGTATTCAAATCCCAACAAAAGCTCCAACAAGACGCACCACCACGACGTCCTCCCCCCGAACACCTGAGACAAAATCAACAACGACTGCACGAGCTACCTCTACAACCTCTCCAACTACGACGAGTACCCAAAAACCAACAAAATTCCCCAAACTGCCAACAATGCCAGCCTACAAGAAGAAGCCTACCCCAGTTTACGCCCGTAAAAATAAGAATGCTTCCAACAGTCCCTTCGGGAAGTACTCCTCGTCTTCTTCGAGCTCGTCGCTGGCCAAGGAGATGAATGGCAGTGGCGAAATCGTCGTGATTACTGCAGGGAGGAGTAAAGTGAAGGAGTACAAGCCACAATTCATTGGCGACAATTCACAACTTTTAACTTTCGACAAGGTGGCTGAGGGCTCGCCTACGGCGTCATCCGTCGAGAAAGCAGCAGCCACATCCACACCTAGTCCCTCCTCCTCCACAACAACGACCAAATCGCCTCTCCAAGAATTCGACCCCATGCAACTTTTACACTCTTGGTTCACAAAGTCTTCAGACTAGAAATGCTGAAAGAACAATACATAAATATATTTATTTTCTTTTGCCTTTCAAATCATTTCACCATGATTGAGTGCTTATATTGTGTTGTAATGTGTTTCATGCGCGTCAAGATTATTTATTTTTCTAAACTTTTTCTTGTATGTTTTTTTAATAATTTGTGTTCTAAGCAGTTGGAAGATGAAATATGAACAATGAGCTAAATAATTTCCGAATTAAGTGACTGGTAGTCTTATGTATGTCGTGTCGTTGAGTGGATTTATTGTTGTACACAAAAAGAATTGTTGTGTCGACTATATCAATACAAATAATAGATTTAAAGTGAATGGAAAATTATGGGTGCGATAATTTTTACAACTGACGAAATATTTATAATACGTGCAATTATTTATTATTAGGATATTAATTTAATAAAAAAGAACCAATGTTACTTGTGCATGTATGATCATATTTATTTAATAGTTTACCCCATTGCCTTACATTTTGATGTGGAGTTTAACGTACGTATGTACGTAATGTTGTATGTGAGACTTATAGTATTGCATATTTCAAAACATGTGTGTAGTAGCAATACAAAGAATAAAGAGCTAGTAAATCCGGTTCTTTATTCGATTTAAGGGCAAAATATTTGTTTGAAATGCTGCATAGGTAGAATTTTAATTATTAGCCTGAATGAAATTCATGTTGCCATAAATCAATAGTAATAATAATTATTATTATTCTTTCTAATTGACAAAACCGTTTAGTTAAAAAAATATTTTTGTAAGATTCAGTATAAAATGAGGACAATCGTTATTGCAACAAATTCAATTATATTACACTAACAATGAATCTTTATTTTAACATTTAGCCAGTATACATAGATAATAACTACGTTATAACTAGGATAATAAGTACTTTAGTCGTGTACATGAATCACGTGTGCGTTGTTTCCATTTTGTTGTATGTATTTTAAATATGACCGAATTTGTGCAATAAATGCTCAAGATGTGATACCCAAATGTGGAATGCTTGTCACTTTTACTAAAACCAGTCGAGGGCATTTTGAGAATTGAGACGACGGAAGGGTGAATGGAGGAATTTGAGACCATCCAACTCTGCTCGCTCCACTACTCATCCCATCTGGTCAAAAGTCCTCGAGTTGCTCTCCCATTGGCACAAAACTTTAAACCTTCATCCAAATTTTCACCAGAAACTTTACTTGGAAAATTTAAGAGTTCATTCGGAAACTTAAATTCCTGGCTGGACGTTTTTGAAGGTGCTCGAGGATGGCTGCTGCTAAAGGACTTTTCCGTAAGTTGTTCAGTAGTTTATTAAATCTTAGAGTATGAATACGTGCGCAATGTACGAGTTTCAAGTATAATTGAATAAATACCGATCGATATTTTACTAAACATAACATCTATGAAACCCATGCAAAAATTACGGCAAACATTCCCATATTATTCTCTAGTTTGTCCCTGGGTAGAAATGCAGGCTGTTTTTTTTATTTAGCTGGTCTTAAGCGCTGGGCGTGGAACTACGCTGGATTCAACAAATATGGTACGTAACGTTCATTTAGGCTGAAAGTAGTTACGGTGGGTGTGTATTATGATGCATATTTTATGGACTTAGGATTGAAGTTTCACGATTGTTTGAATGAGACCCCCGAGGTGGTTGAGGCCCTCCGCCGCCTCCCCGCAAACGTCGTGGACGAGAGGAATTTCCGCATCATCCGAGCTATGCAACTCTCGATGCAAAAGATTTATCTTCCCAAGGAAGAGTGGTTAACTTTCGAACAGGTGCGTTTGAGATGTCACCTTTTTTTATGTGAAATAAGCTACAGAATTTATAATTTGATGTTGAATAATATTTCCAAACCATGTTGTTCTGACAATTTGTAGGACGATTACTACCTTAAGCCATACTTGGAGGAAGTAGAGAGGGAATTTAAGGAAAGAGAAGAATGGCGAAAAAAGTAGAGGAAATATATATTCACCGCATTTCTTGAAATATTATCAATACAATGAGAATACGTTCGAAATCCGTAGCAAATGTTATGTAATCAAAATCTGTTTATAGTATATAGATGTAAACTATTATTAATCCCTATAAAAGAATTTCTGAGATGATGAGATGATAAATGATTGGTTTTTGCTGCTCGATTGATTTTAAATTAAAACGCCGTGTCCTCTAGTCCAGTTCAACAGTAATAAATAAACCTCTACGTGTACAAAATTGTTCATGTTTTTAATGAGCTACTTGGTTTTGACATAATGTATCTTTGCATTTTCTGTTTCAACTCGCAATTCCAGTTGTTGAGACTGCAGAGAGAAATGGATCCTACCTAAATCTCGGTATCTCTAATGCAACTGTTCCCGTTCTATCGTACCAACTTATTTGCTGAGCAAGCAGATTTACACTCACTTTCTTCTCCACTTTGCCTTCTTCTTCTACCCACCTACTCAAAATCTGCAAAAATAAAAGCTTTTGTTGCACTGCTTCACAGCCGACGACAGTCCAAAAGAAGCACGAACTCTTTTTCTCGCACTTGATTTAACAAAAGTAAAAGGTTTGCTTGGCTGTCTTAGGCTGTTTCGTAATTTTAGCCAATTGCAGATTTATTTCTCTCTTCTAACCTAACTCCTAATTCATCAATTAAATAAATTAACGTAAACGGCACACATTTAGAGAGAGAGAAACAAGATAAATAAATAAAATGCATCATTTCATTAAGCAAAGGTCTTTAAACCTCGTTAAACCTCAGCAGATATAAGAAAAATGTGTGGGTGGATGTCTTTGTATACATTACACAAAAAACAAGTGACTTTAACCTGAATGTGTGCCGACCTCGTCTGTCTTGCAATATTTTTTACAAAAAATTGATTTGTGTGTGCCATAAAAATTATAGAATTACTTAGTTGCTGCATTTAATATTCTATATAGGATTAATTGTGTTGCTTGATACGATTTCAAATAATTTGACAAGAATTTAAAGATGACTTCAAAATAAACTGACATTCCACATTTTCTTCAGTGGTGATAAGCTAAAGTTTGTATGCCATTCACACTTATCCATTCAGTAACGAATTTCTGTACTTCAGAGGAGATGCTGACTTGGAATGAAAGTAGGAACAGAAAAAGTGACAAGCAGGCTGACTGATTAGTAGTTAACAGTCTTATCATGTGTATAAATTATTAGTAATCCGTACCAAAATGTGAGAGTTCAGATCAGAATACGAATAATATTTCACACATACTATTCAACTCGTAGCATTCAATTTATCAGGCAGTATTAACTTTCTTGACACTTTGGAGAAGTCTTATTGTATTGTGACTAAACAAAAGCGTACGCAACTCTCGGACGGTGGATACCATTGATTATTGTTGTTATTAATTATGCATTAAAGATTATTGAGGATTTGTATTATGTTCCCCAAATGTCATTATAAAAATGTGATATTGATAAAGATGTAAGCATAGTATAGTTTCATCCTACATATTTGTATTGTTCTGCATAACAAACCGTGAGAAAATTAAATTTGCATGAGAAACTTTTGACATTATTATTCTGTAGGCAACTTAGATTATTGTGCCAACTAGACCATAAGGGAAGTAATAGACTTTACTAAATACAACGTTTTTATAGGTGAACTATAGGAGGAGCAGTGCAATTGTTTGATAATATTGACTGTTGTACACAAAAATTATTATAATAGTATATAGTTAACTATACTACTTAATCTTATTATAACTAAAAAATGTAACGGGAAAACAATTTTTCTGCTCAAATTGAACTTATACTTTGTGATCGGTAATTCTGAAAATGCATTTTTCCATACCGGACAGTGTGGAAGTGCGGGGAGGCGATACCTCATACTTGGTGAGTATTTTTATAAGCTAGGGATCTGGTTGGACGATTTAAATCATCTATTATTTAAAAAATAAAAATAATACATAACAAAATGTTGCAGATTTACAACCTGTACGTCAATGGCAACTTTCACTGCTCACTCCGCTACCGTCAATTTCTTGGTCTTCACGAGCAGTTGCGGAAGGAGGTGGGGACCGGAAATCTGCCTGCTTTTCCCCCAAAGAAGTTCCTCTCTCTCACTTCCGGTCAGCTAGAGGAGCGGAGATGCAGGATAGAGAAATATATTCAGACTGGTAACGTTGACTTGATCCACCCACCTAATAAATATCTCTGCTGGTCTCGTGATATATATAAATCCCTCGCAGTAAATACATGTAATTTCATAAAATTCACAGCTAGTCAAAACCAGGACGTTGCCAAATCGGAATTATTTACGGGCTTCCTACGATTGGCACAACATGAAACCAGCGCCGAACCAGTTTCTAAAAGGTCACTGGATGTGTATCTTCCAAACGGGCATCAAATGATGAATGTCGATGTGTGGAACAATGCATCAACTTCCGTCTTATTAAAGGTGGCTAATGTACGCTTGTTTAATATCGTTATATTCATACTAATTTCGTACCATGTTATCAGATTGTGGCTGAAGAATTGAAGCTGCGAGAAGATTTTACAGAATACTTTGGATTATACATTAATCGGAAAGAACCAGATGGAACATGGATAGGTATTTATTTAAACTGTTAAGATATAATAATGGATGATCATTCTTACACAGGTATTATTTTACCTGCATTTCAGTTGTTAGAAAGTTGGAGGAATATGAATCACCTTGTATATCAATTAAATGGTTGAACAGGTGAAGCATGTTTTTATATCTGAATTGTATGGACCTGGTTTATTGTGAAGCTTTTTTACAGGTTGAACGAGGACCATCGAATCGTTCTTCGGAAATGGTAAGATGAATTGTCTAATAGATAATAGATTTTCTAAGATTTTCGAGGAATAAGAATTATATTTTGAAAGAATGTGTAACAATAGAAGGTTAACTAATTATGGAATTTTTTCAGTTCATGGGACCTGAGTGTTGATAACATGATAGTCGAAGATGCAGTTGGGCTTTTTCTCATTTATGTACAAACTGTGGCAGGTGATTAAATAATATAGTACAGCATAAATTTCTTCATTTTTCCCAAGCGAAATCTGAGTAAAATTTCGTAATATAAAATTTAGATATAGAGAATGGGTGGATCATGGTTCCGAGAGAGATTTTAAAGCAGCTCACTTCCTTCCAGTCCAAAGGGAATAAAAAAGATGTATGATTTTTGTTAACTTTTATAAAACAGTCATAATCATATGTATATTAACATATTTAATCTGATATCATAGTATGTAATGACTGCAAGAAGACTGAGATTTTATGGATATTTCAAATTTCCGTACTGTCATATTGAAAGTCCGCTCATGAACGAAATTACAGTTTACGTTGGAAATAAGGAATTAGTTGTGGTTACACCACGAAGAGAAGAGATCGTGTATAAAATATCCCGTATGAAATGCTGGCGAATCACTTTACATCATGTAAGTGGATATGACAGACAATAACATGTTTTTGTAATGTGCATTTTTAATAAATGACAAGTTAATTAAATGTTTTTGTTTCTTTAGGAAATTGGTGGGGGAATGAAGGCAGAGATGTCTTTCGAATATTTGTTATCGAAAGATAAATTAGAATGGGTTAGTTTTACACATCTCTTCTTCAATTTCTTCTGATGTTTGTGGGATATTTTAGTTGCTCTCTTGCTTTCAGGTCACCATTGCTTCCGAATTATCCGTAATTATGGCTCTATGTCTCAAGGAAATGGTAGCAGATTTTGTTGCTCATGACCTGGCTAAGCAGCACCCACAAAACCCATCCCATATCGGGGTAGGTACCAATCAGAAATTAGAATGCAGGAATAAGTAAATATAAGAAATATAATATTCCGTAATAGGTTCAATCTGTGAGATCAATGCTGTACTTCATTCGTCGGGATGGTGAGACTGTTCCACTAAACGAGGATATCATACTCGGAAAACCATTTAGTAATGGAAATAGATCAACTGCCAGCGGATCTTCAAATTCCAGTCCCACAATTTCTACCAACGGTCGCGCGTCGTCTTCTAATCCCAGCACCCCAACCACCTCCCTTTCCAGAAATGGATCTTCCGATTTCCAACCCAGTATGGGGGTCACCAAACGCCGTCCTTCCTCGAGCAGTATTCGACATCATCAAAATTCAATTATTAATTCCAATGACAATCTGTTTCTAGAGAATAGTGCATTCGCTGGCATAGGGGACGACGATCTCTGAATTTTAAAACTATCTTACTGTATTAATGCTTATCATCTCATCTTAATTTATATACAACATATATTACTGCTGCCCAACCCACATCGCAAATCGATCACACACACACACACAAATGAAAATACATTTTTTAATACACGGTTCATTTAGCAAGCATTTAACTGAATAATTCAAACTCATTGAAATCGATCGGATTTCTTCCCGAGTAATTTTCTCATAAAATAAGAAAGGTTGATCAATTACCCAGCAGGTTCTAATAATTAAAGCTTTCAAGTGGAAGCACTGTAACTTTTTAATTTGCGTGCAGCACAATACAATGCAGTATCACTTTGAGAACTATCACTTAGTAGCCACGTGCGTATACATACAGAGGAACCTAAATATTTTAGATTGATGTTTATGTACTTTTGACAGGAATTTCAATTGGATATTGTATTTCCTTTTGCAACCCTTAATGTGTTAGGTATGTTCATGAAATTGTATGTAAAAATGAAGTTGGGACACAGGAAGTGAAAGCAGTATTGAATTACGTGCACTTTTCAAGAAATATCCAAAAATTGTAATTGTAATTGGTTGATTTTATCTTAAAGACTTGTTATTTTCGTCTTAATGTATAAACATACGAGTTGAAATGATTTTTGTTTTCGCAACTACAAATAACTTGAAGGTATATAGACTTTTGATATATGGTGGTGGAGAATCCATTTGGAGCTCAATAGAAAAAGAGTATGTATGTAGATTTCGCAATACTTTCTCAATATTCGCATTCTCATTATTGTTTATTTATTACAAAGTCATATTCAACATCGACATTTCTCTTTAAATTAAATATTCCAAAATAAGTCGATCCACTACTATATAAATATGCCCAACATTTCGGTAATCAAATTTGGGCTCACAATCATTCGACCCATTTAAATATATAGTGACGCATATAGCCAAAAAATATACAAAAGATAATCTAACGATACATATATATATCCTGCGCAAAATTTGCGATAAAGTCTCATTTTATGGCATCACACTACGTACTCTAACAACTACATACGAAGAATAACTTTTTACCGCACAAAAACAATGACCTCTACATATATATGTATAACTTATACAGTATGCAACATGTAAATGTGATGCACTACTGTTGGATGTGTTTTTTGTTACATAAATCTTTACCTGTTTAAATAAATGATTCCTGTTAATAAGATGTTATTTGTTCTCTCGTTTCTTACTTTATGCAGTAATTCATTTTTAGCTTTAACGTCGATATATGCAAGTCTGTCAACATAATATTTAGTAATGGTATAATTACTCTAATTAGCTTAATTAAGTATTATTTCGATTCAGTCTCCGGTGGCTAACCGGTTGACTCAATCTTTTAAAATTCTATTCAGCAAGGTAGAATTGGTTGTACTACTGCATACATAAAAATGCAGATGAGCCAAGATTAAAACAATGACTGATGCTATTTATTAAAATAAATATGACGCCATTGAATGGGTCGCCACCTCAAGAAATGATACTCTTTCTTCGACCGAAGAAATTATTAGATCGTCAACCGTGATGTGAGCTTATTGTTAAAGAGCATGATAGACGGTGGAGGACTTGCGATGGTCATAGTAGTTGGCACTTTCGATAAGCCAAGGCCAGTAAATGAAATTAAAGACTATGAAAAGTGAGGGTATCACGATGGATGTGAATTTCTCAATTTTCTTTGCAGCCAGCTCATACTTGCTCAAAGCCCTCTCCGTGGACGAAATAATGGGGTGTGGCACAGACACTGGTGGGGGTGGGGCTGGAAGTGGAGGTGGTGGTTGTGATGGTGGTGGTGGAGGCACGGGCTTTGCTGGCACTGGCGTGGGGTCCGGTGGCGTGGGTCCATTCGTCTCTGGAGGGGACCTCCTTCGCACGTCTCCTCCCACCCCATTGCTCTGAGACGACTCGTACTGCTTGATGTGCTGTAAACCATGACCATTCAAGTCGTATTATTGTGCTGATTTTTTTACTTTATGGGCATCTATTGGTATGTATGCAATAATTGCAATATGCTATAATTGTGTTGTAGTAAAGGTATTTATATACCTGCAGACTTGGAAATTCTCCGTAGGTCCGATAACCAATCATTGGTTGAGTCCCGTTTTGAGTGAGGGCAGCAACGGTGCTGCTAATCTTTGGTGGTGGCTTAGTCTTCTTTGATCGCAACCTATGTCCATCCATACAGAAAAATGTAATTGTCCGCATAATCATATCAAATTCCCGTGCAGGGCAAATTCAGAGTATTGATTGAGCATATTTACTACTATTTAAAAGTATTATTTATAATATTTCCCAATGCCAAACGACTCACTTTAATAAAACTGTGTACTCAACAAGTGTAAGGAAAACGAATATAATGCAGACCTGAAAGACAATAAGGACTGGTTAAACTGGAAAATCGAACATAATTATATTAAATATTTTTCTAGAAATATATGTACTCACCACCATCCAGATATCGAGAGCCTTGACTTTTTTTTCGAACGTTTCAACAAAGTGATGACGTGAAGAAATATTTTTGAAAAATACAAAAAATTAGAAACACATCTTTTCATTCTATTACATTTAGTAAGCAAGTTTTTACTCTGTTACCGTATGACACGTTCGGTGTGTTTTGCCTGTAAAATTTACAAATTGCTCAAACTTTTTGCCCAATTTTTGTAATTCATCCTAGAAATTGCGATCATTTAAATAAAAGCAGACTAACCGCACGGCGGAGAACATTGCTGTTAATGTCAGGAGAGTAGTCATGCACAGGGCCATTCTTCCGGGAACTATTTAATTAACAAATGGAATTATTAATGCGGTTATAAATAAGTTCATACGACAAAATATCTACAATTTTAGCAATCGCAATATGTACCAGACTCAGGAGGCACCAAGAAGCTCAGCCAACTTACAATGATGAAAAGTGTGCTTGGTAAGTAGGTTTGGATGAGATGATAACTTAATTTTCTTCTGAGAAGAATTGTGAATCGAATTCCCGAATACGATCCTGCAAACATGTCAAGCAAAATAAATGATGTGAGGCGAATTTCTTGATGTAATGAAACTACACAAAATACATCAACAGCAAAATTGGCTTTCCTTGAATTCTCTTTGTTCTCACTACATATACTCAAGTTTTAAACGTAGCCTAACGCCTGTATACCACACACGGACACAGAAGAGAAGCTCCAACCAAATACCGTGTAGGTGTCATCGAACGATTAGCAAATTCTTGACAAAACGCCACGCCGTCACGTTACGTTGTATATGTGCATAATCTCTGGCGTGGCTGATCATTAGTACAAATGATGCATTGTTTGACACCAGCTCGTAACGAAGATGATGCACAGTTTGGAGAACTCGGGATTCATCAATTTTCCCCACTACAATTCCATTCTACCGAATGATCTCAATTTTTGAATGAGTCTTAAACCGACCTGATGAAGTGTTGACCATAAAATTTTGGGTTGTGTCCAAAGCCACGTCAAAATTTGGAAGTTCTAAGAAGTCCACCAATAGTGCTCCTTTTCCTTCACGCCAATCCAGTGCCATAATCTGACTCGAATACGCATCTGTCAGAAGGAGCAACAGAATGAACGAATATTTTCATTTATAGAAATTCAATCATGGAAAAATAAGCAATATGTCACTCATCGGACTTTGCATACAACACAAATCAACTTGCAAGCATTGGCACTCGCCGAGAAAACACATTGAACATTAAGAAAAAAAGTCTCGAAAATATGTACATATTTATTGTACATAACATCGTCAGAACCAAGCAAAGTCTGATTTTGATGTGACTACGACTAGACTACTTGAAGCGAGGGCAAATAAGATCACAAATACTAGTAGCTTTAATCATATAACAATGCCAGGCGACATTTTAGTCTAAAATTTTCATTAAAAAACGTACAGCTTTTCATGTCAACATTGCACCTGAAAAAATTCAACTATGTTCAGTTATTTCCATTTTTTAGTTTTACTATTATTATTTACCGTTGGGTGTCGGCGGGATACTATAATAATTAAAAGAGTGGGAATTAACGAGACTTCAAAAAAAGTATTAAAAAGTTAAAAAATTACGAAATGAAAGTCCATTTGACAAGCCATTGTCACTGTAATCCTGAAAAAAATGAGAATTACGTAATCATGGTGGCATTTAAGTCACTGATTCATGTTTACTTTAGACTTCACTATTTATTTCATACGTATTATGTATTACATATTATTTTCTAATTTAGCTTAACGAGTTTGAAGTTCATAGTATTATAACGAGTGGAAAAAGGAATTTGTGGAATTTCTCTAATGAAGCAAAATCATTTCTATGCAAATTTTTTATATAATATTCAGACAACTGATAAGAGCCAGAAGACGCAGAAGACAAATCCGTGTCGCTTATCATAGATAAATGCATATTATTCAGCATTCACCGTTTGGAAAAAAACAAAAGAATTGAGTTACCTTGCAGAATAGCGGACGCTGCTGTCGGGGTAGACTCTTAACGAGGCTGGTTTTGTTATCAGGGCTGGTTGCTGCACTGACTTCACATGATCTGCGCACAAAATTCATTGGAAATACTTTGTTTCTGAGGTTTTAAAAAATGGTTCCTTATTTGCAATAATCATAATCATACGATGAAGATGTGTCGCATTCTTAATATTGTCAAATTGATGTGTTATTATATGTTATCTATGGAATATTTACATGCATTTTAGTCGATAATAAACAGGAATCAGGATTAACATACCTATGAAAATGTCTGGCATCCAGATAGACTCCACCAGTTTGGGGTTCAAAACTATAAACTTGTCCCCACTTCTATCTGCTAAATGCGACAATCTCGTGTCCTTCCAATAGATTCTGAGGTTCATTTCCAGACTCAATTCCTTGTTTTTAAATCAACAAAATCATACTCAACTTCAGGAAATACCAAACTAACAACATTTAACAACAGAACTAGCAAAACGGGGATAAAACAAGATGGCCTTCATTGTGTAAATAAACTTAAATTTAAAATTAGCATTCATGTTAACGTTTCTGCTGCATATGTAAAACCAGATCGTTCAACAATTACTCGCACAAGTACATACTTGCTATCATTATTGCCAACGTACATAAATGTTACTTGCGGATGTGTCCAGATTGTTCTAAAACTTTCTGGTTTCAGCTTTGAAACGAAACAGGCCTGCTAAACAACGTGCAACTGTTGTTAAAATCAGGAAGAAGAAGCAAGAGGGTAGAACAAAGAAGGTCGATAAAAAGCAAAGAATGAAGCGTTGTTAGTTCACGTACCAAATCACCTAATCCCTTGCGATGCAAATCAGTGTCAAGTTCAAGCACCGTTCAGCAGACCCAAGTTAACCATTAGTTAGTTGTTCGTTACGGGAAGCAAGGGTTCATTGTAAAAAAAGATACAAAAGTCCCAATCAACCTCAATTCAATAAGTTATCATAGAAAGCTTAATATTCAGTTCCTGTTATCTATGTCATACGAGTTGGCCTAAACAACTTTAAAAGTTATATATGCACAATTATCCGTCGTCTGGCTGGAAAACCTTTTTGATGTGGTTTAAATTATTTATGACTAAAAAATGTAAACCTAACATATTCAAAAGTTGACGACATACAGTGGTGATGGCTGTGCAGAAGCTAAAAAATTACTTTTATTTACCAAGCAATGTCAAAGCAGTCCAAAAATCTAGCTAGTATTTTTTTACTTTCACTGGATGTCTATTGATTTATTTGCTTCTAATAAAAGTTAATTTTTCAATGTCCCAAATGGTTATGAACCCTTTAAGAGCTCAAAAATGTATATGCATGAACTCATTGTTCTTTTACTTATCTCAGTTCATTTCATTTTAGCTTTTGTTTTGTGACACAAAATCTATTTTGAAGCCAAATCCTCATCGGAAATGCGTATTTGTAAAAGCATTGTAAAAACATTGACAACACATTCATTCACACAAATGCAACAGAGAATAAAAAGATTACGGGAACAAATGAAATTGTAGCCGCTTTACAAAATTAACAAAACAAATTAAACTAAAGTATTGCTGGAATACGAAATGAACATGGCACAACAAGTAAATGTTACTTTTGAACGAGACAAGAAGAATTACCTCATTCAGTTCCTTGATGTCACGAACATTCATAATTAATACGGAGAAATCTACCCCCGTCGGCTCACCTGTAACACGAATGAATATGTGTATTAATTAACAATAATGCATATTTTACAATACTTGCAACTTTAGCATTTACGCATTTTCAATCCAAGGGTCAATCAATAATAAAGATATTGCGAACCTTGTTTCTACAAACTACATCCAAATAAATTGGAAATGACTTTGATAGACAAATGCAATATTAATCAACTATATGACTTGATACCCAACAACTCAAGTAGGGATATAGGTCTGTATGCATAGCACTTATTCTAGGTCGTACATGTGTACAAGATCCATTCATTAATTGCAAACAACGTAACCTTTTTAGACGTTTTTTAGTATTGACGTTGTAAACCACCTCGATTGCTACATATTTGTCAACGGACGACTCGATGCCAATTAAGATGATTCAACATCGACAGTAATGAAGTTTTAACTATTACTGAATGACGCCCAGGTTCATGATCGAGCAACTTTATTGAATTTTCAATGCCACTGATTGCGGCTGAACTTGTAAATAAATATTTATGGGTAGTAGTATGAAGGTTTAAGCTGCAAAACCTAAAATTTATTACCTGCTGTAAATTGCAATACAATGAAGCTAATTTCTAGCCAGCAAATTGGACAATCTCAATTCAAAAGAACAATCTCGCAACTAAAGTACGCCGAATCCATAACACCTGCCACTGTTGTGTTGCATGCACAAAAACTAGCAGTCTCATCTTATAAATATGTAATACAAAAAACTTATGACTTGACATCAACGCTAATGTCTTCAAAGAACTGAACCATGCAAAAGAATAATTGAAGGTCATAAACGTTGAATCGAATAGTTGATTGCCACAGAATATATCTACCCGTGTAAACTATATGTATGTATACATCATTATGTTCATTATTGAATCCAGAGTTTTTTAAACAAGTCTAGTGTTGGTAATCCGGATTAATTCTATCCGATCGAATCTATCTATCCGGCAGTTTACTATAACATGGATCTGATCCGATCCTATCCGATTTGTGGATCACATCCATGCTATAGTATACGGTAAAATAAAAAATTCCGATCCTGCACTAGGTAGACATGTACAATGTACATACAAGTTGGAGATATATATATACATACTATACATGCATATATGCATTAGTACTTCTTTGCAATTGTACTTACTGTTGTTTGTTGGAGGTGGTTCATGAATGCTGTAATTCGAAGGAATGAGACTTTCGGCATCTTTAATGGTAGAAAATTTATCTTCGGGAGATCTGCGACTTCGAGCGTTGGTGGCATAAGCTCTCAAAGGAGAAACCACTCCATCATAGAACTCGTCATCGTCAAATGGCTCTGGAAATGCTTCACAGCTTCCAAGAAAACTAAAGCAACAAAAAATGAACAACTCATTGTCAGTATCTTTTGTGATATTGCGTGCATATTTCTTAGATATGAGAAAGAAGCCATTCATGTGAAATGCCGTACATAGTTTGTAAATCATTATACCAACAACCATGTCTCCGTACGTCTATGCAACACGGAACATCTTCACACAAAGTCTATAATGTTGATAAATTCGGTTCAGAATCAGATTTTACATGGTGTGCAACATCCAAAGGATCGATATCAACGCGTGATAAGATCAAATCTGTTTATTCACACATTGTAATCTATGTGGATTACACCTAAATTAACCATCCAAGATGTCCTTTCTCCACCCCTTCTTGCCCATCACCATCTATTTCCGATGTTTACTTATCATTATATAGATCATCATAAAGTTGAACTAATACAAGGTGAAAAATGTCATAAATAAGTACATCTGATAGTTCAACCCCCTTGAGAGAAATTCTGATCATGTTTATGGCTTGGCACTTGATTGAGGAGAGCACTGGATTGTCCAATTATAATTATTTATTGACGCCTAATCCACATCACACTCGTAGTGTCATATTCGATGCTTACACCGATTCTCCACAAAATGAACTTTCTTCTAGAACATCAGACTTCTCCCAACTGACACGCTCACACTCAAGTTTCACTACAAATTAGTGGTGTCCGTCATACGATACTAACAAGATTTGTGCTTATATCTCACCGTGGGTATGCAATTATAATACACAATCTACGTAAGTAGTTATATAATTAGCTGCAATCTTCTGTCGTTCTATTTTTCCGTAGCTTAAGCTCTTCTAAGCAGAATTCGCATTTTCATTCGATAAACTAATATGCATGTAATAATGATGATTAATTATTGGTGTAAAGTTACTACCTTACAAGCAGGAGGCTGGTGAGTATCATCTTTGTTCAAGATTTGCGTGCGTTGAAAGTTGGAGCAACGAGACCCCACTGCGAATAACACTTCTCCCCCAACGACGCACTTTACTTTCCCTCGAAGAAGTGAGAAAATCGTTTTCGAGCAGGTGACTTTGACCTGGGTCTTAATTAAATTTAGATTTGGATGTGAGACTTGGGTGAGGGATTTTTATTTTGAACGGCGAGACTTGTCTTTTCGACCATGTGAGACAGATCTGGATACAAGTAGATAAAAGTTAATTAGTTGATAGCCCGTTGAACTAGACATAGCCCAGCAACTAAGGAGTTACATACCTGTCTCGCCACCACTACGGGACCCAGACTGACTTCTCGAATGACGACTTCACCACAACTGGTAGATCTGAAATTAAAATAACATTAGATAGTTCCTTCACCAATTACTCGCATTTTCATTTCCTATTCATCACAAGAATCAAACATGACTAATTGTACCCTAGTGAAACTCATTCCAATGTAAAATATGTGGAATCACCCTTGCGTGACGGGAAATGGGGAAATTAAATGCACTCCAACTTTGCACTTTCACCCGAAATTAATAACGAGTAAGTAAAAGTCATGAGAAATGCACGTTTCATGTAGAACTTACTCGAACGAAAATATGTATGTAACCGAGAAATGAGAATGATACCTTGCATTTCGTAAATTATAAAAGTAGCTACGCATCATTTATACATTAGTCAGTACATTATGGTCGCATGTCAAATTTTGTGATGAATAGAATTGAACGGTAATCTATAATTTCTCCAAGCTGACAATTCACTTTGAAACGTCCGTAAACTTAATTTCAGGTTGAAATTTATGATAGTGCAACTAAATTTAAGTTTCCTAACATGTATTTACATTGAACTTACCGTTCGACGCAATATTTACGAATATAATTTAATACCCGTGCTTATATTAACACGTTATGTTTTATTGTCTCGATTTGTGGGGGTAGTGCTGACATTTTTTAGATTGGGGATGAGACGCTATTGGAACAAGGTGTGCGTTGTGTTTGCGAGAACCTGAGAGTCAGAACTGCTCCTATTTCGCCATGAGACAAGCCTTTAAACAACCCAGGAGTAGACCTACTCATCCAGAACGTACTACTAGCAGGCTGCCAGTAAAGAATAATACTATGCGATTTGTGTGTAGACAGCAAGCGAAATAAGCGACTTTGCAAATCTGCTTTTTTTCAGCATGTATTTGCTCAACAGTTTAACATAATGATGATTATCAAGATAAAGTAAATTAAGATGACAAATTCAAAGGTTGATACATAAAGTATACTTGGCAATGCCAAGTTGGCATACTTAGCATACGGCATAAAGTGATTTTCACTCATGTTTTCTTCAGCTAACATAATTATTTATGTGAAGACAAAGCTCCGGAAAGGGTGACGTCGACATGATAATCTTTTGTGATGTTAGATGCGCAAGTAGATTAAAGCGCATGATGAACAAAGTGGTTACCTGTCGTTTAACTATGATATAGCCTGTTCAAAACTAATATACAGACAGATCATGATTGCTAAACTAATTCCTCGATTGAACAATGTACGGAATTTCCAATTTTTAGCAGCAATGCCAATGGTTCTTGGTAGATTCACCATTTATTAGCTCGTAAATAAGTACGAAGGAAGATAAAAGTTTATTCTCATTTGAGGCAACTTGCGACATTTCTGCATCTTTCTCTCGGCGACTCGTGTGTCTTTATCTTTGGTTTTGAGGCATACTAAGAAATCAGTGCCAAAAATTAAGCACATAACAATTTACGCATTGCAATAGTTTGAGCAGAAAAAAATATACTAATGAATCGCTCCTTGTTTTTCCGTCTCTTTCAACCATGGACTAGTCTCATTTGTATTCTGGCAGAGTCTATGCCCAGTTATTTTGAACTCATTTTCGAGAAAAGTCAAGCCGGTCCAGATCCAGACCGATTCATATTTTTAGACGAGACATGACTTAATTTTTTATGAAATGAATAAAAGTCATTACGAGTGTATTTAGATGTTTAAGGAAATGTCAAACACAAAGTGAATCAATGACTCCAGCAGACTGAATAAACTATGGGTCGCACATACCTGTGATGCGTCATCATCTACATAACAATAATTTTGGTCCATATAGTACAAGTCAGTCCTAGATTTACCCATGAGCAGCATCATATTATACCCCCAACATACATAAATATATTGTTACGTTTATACTTTTGTAGTTAAGTTGTTTAACTTTAAACCACTAAAGCGCAAACGATGACTAATATTTGTGAGAAATAACGAGAGAGACCCAAATATTTACAACAAAACAACTGCACAATTATATTAAATACCAAACTTTCATTTCTAATGCTACAAATTGCATCGCTTCCTTTCACATCTTTTTGTGATCTAAAAATATAGAAAAAATTGTTTGACCGAATATGACTTACTAATTTTTCAACCTGCTCATTACGGAGAATGATTGGGCCTCATTACAAATATACATTGTAATGTATATTTAATTAAGGGCCAAGGTTTTTCTGTCCCAGCATTTTTAAACACATCTCGAGAGGACGGATGGATCGGATAACCCACATATTTTCATACAACTTTTAAATGTCATATGTAAAACAACTTTGGTTGGTTTTAAGCAGTTTGCGACATTGTAAAGTTTTCAATAAGGACGGCCATTAACGGCTATTGCTTCCAAGGACAACTAGGACGAGGAACAACTGCGAGTCAGCCAGGTCAGCAACACTGTTGGGCAGGCTTATCATTTAATTTTTTATTTCTTGCAATATCCATGCATTGCGTTTCAATCCAAAATGTCTAATGTCCGACTCCCGACAATACAGAATACCCATTTATAATGCTCAAACCTGGTTAAACTTTAATGAAGTGAACTGAGTTGGTTTGAGTTTAAAGATAGATAAAGCGGATCAAACTGAAACTTAGCAAGTATTGATTTATTTCCTCGCTGTATTATGATACGTTGCCAATAAGGCAGCCTAACCTGCGAGTAATCACGTTCACATCGATTTGGGTATTATCTCCTTATAAGAAGGCATATAAAACATGAAGGTGTAGTAGGTTGTTTGTAGGACAGGAACACAGTAAACTACTAAATATTTCTGTATGGCCAATATTTTTGATTTTCGCATGAATAAAATCACTTTATTCTTCATTATTATTTTGTAGCTCAGTCAATAAAGCAATAGGAGATGTGACTTTTGCTTTTCATACACAATAAGTGCGTAAGAAAATTAATTATCATTATTAAATCTAGCGATACGGATACTTTATAAATTATCACAAAAATGTGATAAATGTGTAGTTAACTAAAAATTATACATAAATGTTATATTTACTGGATGAATACAATTAGCTACTATTTTCAAAACTTGCACTTTCATACAATTTCTTTTCCTCTGTAACACAATGTGCATATTTAATATTGTCAGAAAAGAGTGAATTCTGAAGAATTTGAGAAATATAGCTTTTAAGGATTATTCTTCACAATAAATTATATTACACATAAATGAAGTAAGATATATATATATATTATCCTGCAGCTTTCAATTATAAATTATAATTCGAAAAACGTTAAACAAAGCCAAAATTTTTAGTTTTAATTGCCATCAACAATTTGCTTCGAAGAATATACCGGGAGGAATATAGTGGGATGTAGAGACGAGAGATACATGTGTTTGCTGTAGGAAGGTGGTTATCATCAGCGGGACGAAGCTGAAATTAATTTTTAAAAAAACATATAATTTTATGTTAGTGATTGAACCATTAAATATTAATGGTGTGATAACTTACCGTAACTGTGGGCATGGGTTGGAAACCATCTTCTGATGCTATAAAAATTAAGGTATTATTAAACGGGAGGGATAGTGAGAAAATCGTTACTCGTCATTTATAATTAACAAAATACAGATGAATTTATGACAAAAAAACAATTCGTTAGAAGTATTTAGCATACCTGGTAAGGCAGGGGAGCCGGTCCAGAAATATACTAATTCTTGTCGTTCTAAATTACTCATTTTCTCCACAATTGACCAGAGCCATTTCTTAAATCGAGTGAGTTTATCGCCAGGTTCTCCACTCTCGTCATTGAAAGATGTATAAGATATCAATGTTGCTACAATTAAATTCGAGAATAAAATTATATTATTTTCCTCACTAAGAATTTTGTCAACATAACTTAACCTATTTGCATATTTATACTAAGAACCCCGGAGAGGGATAAAGTGTCCAATAATCTTGCTTAGAACCAATTCACTTACAAACATTGATGTCTCCCACTCCGTTCAGCAACAGTCTCAAGTCTTCTGAAGTTAAACCTAATAATTTTCCAAATAAAACGTACACTGTTACGTAAGATGTTGGGTGTGAGTATATAGAATAATTTTCCAAATAAAATCGTTATCAGCTTTACCATCTAAGCCAGAAGGCGGAAGAACATCAAGAACTCCGTTTCTAATTTCTTCTAGGGACTTGTATTGCGATCGCACCATTCTATATTCAGCATACTTTCGCACATAGTCGTAGACGTTGTGTTCGTTAACTTCAATATTACGTCCACCAGGAACTAATTCAACGCTGCGACCCCCTTCTTCCGAGCATAAATCCAAACTATTGGAAAACAGGAAATTCAGCTCGGTAAATCTTCTTCAAAACTACTAGCAAAATACTACATTTAAATTATATTTTACCTAAATGTTAATTCCATGGCTGAAAAAATCCGATCGCCATCCCGATTTTCAGCGTCAAGTATAAGTTGCCTAAAACTCTCGTACATTGTAGAATCGAAGAAAGCCATATCGTGAAACTTTATAGGTCTTCCCAAAATAAACTTCAATACATGACGATTTAGAAACAGAGGACAGAGTTCATTCTGAAGAAGACAAAGACCAATAATTCTGCACAATAAATTCAAAAAATTCACATTAGACAATAATAGACTAGGAATACATACATATTTAGGCATATATTCAAGGCCCGGTTTAATAAACTATACTTACCGTCCAACATTTCGAAAAGCATTAAGACGTTCAGCAGTTGGTTTGCCAAGACGTGGAGAAGAGAATCCTCTCTTTCCAGGTTGGTAAAACAATGGACTATTGTCATCATCACAAGTCTCTTCTCCTTCAGCGGTTGCAGTCTTCTTTGGCACCGATCCAGTGGTAGTTCCACTTGAATTTTTTGAAAAGTTAAATACATCCAAATCTAAAAGTGCTTCTCCAGAAATATCTCGTGAATGCGCGAGAATAATGTCCACCGCTTCATCTACGCGCTGCTTCAAGGTGTCTTCTGAAGCTAGCAGAATGAGTAATTGAGGCGGGGGAAGTTCCAGCAGCATTCCAGTAATTTTTGGTGCTAAATTTGGCCGAATAGCGTGAATCTATTTTTCCCAAACACCCAATAGGTTATAACCACTTTACAGGAATAATATCCACAATATAAAGGAAAGAACTAAATAGGTTCTATTACCTTAACGTAAAGTCGTTCTCCAATTTGCTGCTGATGATTGGATAAATGATCGTTTAATGTTGAAGGATTGGATGTACCCTCTCCACTGCTCGACGAAGGATGAAAAGGTCTGGCATCAAACGATAAGTTTCTTCGCACTTCACGTACTCTTGGAGCTCCTCTCTAAAAGTAAAATTTCAGCCTTTACGTATTTAAAATCCTTGATTACTATATGCTGTATTACGAAAACCATGTGTATTTGTATGTATGTTTGCTTAAGTTCAGTTACTTAATAAAAATATGCATGCATATGACGCACGTATGATATAGTTAAAATTACCTTTACAATTCGTACTTGTTGACCCCTACGAAGATAGTCATCTCGAACAGAGTCTCGAAGTCTCAAGCGCTGCAGTACGTTAAATTGAGAACTATATTTACTTCTAGAAACACAAAACAGAAACGTTATCATGATTCCTATCAATTATTCGGAATGAGCACTTGAGCCAATCACATACCCGATCAAACACCCTTCAAGGCTGGGCAAACGTTCGTCCAACAAAATAGCCTGGATTTATGAAACGAGAAATTCGTATAATATTTTTCACTGTATGAAGACTGCAAAATTGGTAAATAGAATACCTCTGCGATTGCTGTATAAAAACTTCGAGCAACTCCAGACCCCTCCCCAGGTTCATCTTTAAACGTCACCTACAATTAATTGTAAAGTTTGACAATGTTGTTAAATGTTTGGAATATCCAAAAAAGGTGTGAAATATACAACAAAAACAATCACCTTTACTCTGCTCACAGCCAATGGTGGATGAGGGGGTGTAGCACGACGATGAGCCGAGTTGTAATGATTGTTTAGTTCTTTAAAGGTTTGAATGAGAAGCTGATTTCGATCACGATCTAGTTTTGAGAGTGTCAAGTCCCTTTGCTGTGCGTTTCTTATTTTCTCCATTTCTCGTCTAAACCGATTTTCCTTCACAGGGAAGCCACCCAACTCTGAAATTACAGAGCCTGGTTCTAGCCCAACGTCGTCAACAAATACTCGTCCAAACACCTGTTGTTAAACAAATCACATTAATATTTCTTATTCATTGAGAGCCTCACTTTAAACCAAGGACTTTTACTTACTTCCAATGTCAGTCTCCATCTTCCAAGCAAAACGTCATCAGATATCATGGATGGATTGTAAAGTATGAGCTGCTGATGAGTTGTTGTGGGTGATGTAGATACCGACTCCAACGATTTGCTAGACACCGGAGTTAATGTTGGAAGTTTCAAGTTTGGTGCTGTCCTAGAAGAGGTGATTTCTGATGTTGCTTCTGTATCAACTGGGACAATGACAATTTCAGGCGTCCCGCTACTAACCGATTCCTGTAAAATTTAAGGATACAGAACAATGAAAAATAGTAATAAGACCTAAGGTGAACAATTTCTTACATTTCCCGGAGTGGATTGACGATGACATACAATGACGCTTTTAACCAAGGGTCTGCCATCACTTGGAGATTCACCAGAACTCCCCCTCGAAGATGAAGGGGATCCACAAATAGAGGATGCATTAAATGATGATGGTGTTGGAGACAAGCGTTTTGCAGAGACAATAATGGGTGCTCGCTGTGCATTAGGGCTAACTACATCTGAATCTGATCCATCCGATCGACCAGAAATACTTAAATCTTGAGGAGCACTTTGAGGAGGTCCACCCATACCCCACTTTGGTATGGATAAGACTGTTGCGCTTGATGAAGTCGATAAATTTGTTGAAGATCCTTCAGGTGGAGTAATTTTAACTAGCGGCGGAGGCTTTGTTAATATAGGTGTAACGACTGGTGTTGGAATTACTGAAGTTTCCACTACCGAGATTTTAACTTCGTCTGACTTGTCAGCAGCAGATGTTTCAAGCAGCGGTTCACGTAATTTAGAGTCCAAGTCTTTAAGTTTCGCTTGACTACTACTTTTTGGCTTGTGATCAATGTCCATATCTTCAACCTTCGGCACTGGGTCGACTGCTCGAGGTCTTCTGGCAAGCAGAGGAGCATAGCTGGGTGGTCCTACATTACGAGATGTAAGTCCTAGGTGGCTTGCTTTAATTTCCATTAAACTAGAATTTTCAGCTGACTTTGGAATTCCAAAAAGTTCATCTTTTCTAACATTTGGTTGTAACAAATGAGGCTTTTCTGCTAGGGGAAGACTTTCAGCAACAGAACCCTAGGATCAAACAAGTACAAAAAATATTAATTTGAATAAATGAGTAAATAATTTTACATTAATCAAATTCAGCTAACTAATTATTTATTAGATACCTGGAATGGATCCGGAGGAGGACAACCCAGACATAACGTTGAATCTGATCTTTGAAAGAACCCATGTCGTCTGCCCAAAGGTTTTCCCGTGGTGCTGTTCTGTGACGCTTCATCATCAAAGTCCCCGATCTCAACATTACTTAAACTATTTTGAGTTGTGTTGAAGCTCATGTCATCAGGTTCATCTGGATCGTGCACAATTAGATTATCAAATTCGTCATCTTTGCTCACGGCGGGGATTGCATTGGCATCGGTTGCACTTCTTAAAAAGTATATTAAAGAGTCGAAGACATATGCGACATGTTCTAAAAAAACGCCAAAAACAACTTAGTTATTCATTCAGTCAGTCAGTCATTCATTCATTCATTCTAATTGGAATTTAGATTGGAGGAGGTGTGGTTCGGTTTGTGGTGCAAACGTAGAAACGCGTTTGCCTGGAAAGCGGGGGCGAAAACTGGGAAAATAAGTTAATAAAAAAATAGGTTGTTAATTTCAATTCAAGTCTCCACGATATGCAATCTCGGCGTGATTCTCCGATCGTGCTATTTTAAGAATTTTATATTTTAAGGGATATTTAAGGGATATCTTCCACCTGCTCTGTGCTGTCTTAAGTAACCGAACTCTCCTTTATCTATGATCTACCTCCTCCATCACGTTCCAACCGACCAACATCAAAAAACGTCACTTACTAAATGAAGACACATCAATCTGTGGGGGAAAACATAATCGAATTATATTGTTTCCTTTGGTTCGAACAAAGTAATATTATCTTTGTAGGTAATCTTACCACAGGTAAGCTATCCAAATGTTCAGCATTATGACCTCTCATGAGCGACAAGGAATACGATAAGAATTCTCTTCTTGCAGCAATTTCATTGTCCCTCTCCCGTCCAGCACGAGATTCCAAGCGCCCTGGTGGAGGAGCCGAAGCTGGTTTGGGTCGCACATGATCCGTCGATGAAGTTAATGAGCCGCCAAATCTTAATTGTGACTCTGTAGAATCCATTACCCTAAGTAGCCATTCCCAGACATTGAGCAATCGACGATCCAAATAATCCTGTAGATTGTTGACATCATCTTGTGTGACTTCCAACTTTCTTGGAAGACGTGGTACAATACTGGGGTAGTCTTGAATATATTTGAGCAAATCACCAATTTCCCTAAAACAATAATTTGTGTTATATATATTTTTCATACTTACTGAGGATCAGGCGTCTAAGTTATAACGATTTTGGCCTTGGATAACCCCGGAACGGTTTGTCGTAGCGGGTCAAAATTTTGAACAGACGAGAATGTTGTCCTAGTCAAGTGTTGTGGAAAAAACCAGCTCTCTACTTTCAAAAATGCCTCCCCCACAGCCCCCAGTAGTTGAGACAGTCATTTTAACTCTTTCCAAATTCCGTCTAAAAAATTCGGTCTCCACAGAAAAACTTTTCCTTTCAAGTATCTGAACTCAAACAAGTCAATTTGACTTTATCGGGGGATTGTACAGGTATTTCACTATTCAAGATGATTTTTATCCCCAATATAGCTTCAAGGTCCTTTGCATAATCTTGGGTCAACTTTGCCGTCTGTGAAGACGCTCCGTCATGATGAAAAATCACCTTAATTATTTTTTTACCGCACAATTTATGAAAATGTTATTCTACAGATATCTTCACTTTTTGCGGGACTTTGATAAGTGGGAGGACACCACGACCCGGCGTTGCGCCCACCACCATAAACTGTAAAAAACTTCTCCTCACGGGGAAGCACCAACTTGGGTGATTTTTTTGGGGCATTTATCGTGTAGTAAGCTCTTCGAACCCAATTAGTAACTTGTAGAGAAATTAGTGCTTCATCAAATGTCACCAATAACTCACTCTGATTCCTTGACCGAAAATTCAAATAATTTTATTTGTAAACACAGGCGAGATTTTTTTCCTGTTTTTTGGCCAGCTGATGCACACGAGTTTTCCGACCAAGTCGTTTTTTCAAAATCGTAATTTCTCGTTCCACTGAACGCTTAGAGACCCCAACCTTACGGGAAATTTCCTTTTGGGTCGGTGGATTATCTTTTGAGGTCAATAGGTCAATTTTCCTCAACACGGTCGGAATTGACACTTTTTTTGACTTCTTCTAGGGGGTGGTGGTTGCCCTCTACTCAGAATTTCTCGCTTTTCACCTATATTTTTCAATACCTTATTGATTCCAGATTTCGAAACCGTTTTCCCTTCAATTTTAAGATGTTTTGTTATTCGGCTAGACGAGTACTTAAGTTTGCAAAGAGTTTTTATGACTGCTCACCTTCTGGGGGCTGTGGGGGAGGCATTTTTGAAAGTAGAGAGTTGGTTTTTTGCACAACTCTTGACTAGGACAACATGCTCGTCTGTTAAAAATTTTGACCCGCTAGGGCAAACCGTTCCGGGGTTATTCAATGCCAAAATCGTTATAACTTAGACGTCTGACCCTGTAAGATGACTTAATTAGTTAACCTCATAATAATCCCAAAAGATCGAGCCAATCCAGACGCAGTAGTGGCCATCGTCACAGGTTCCGGAGCATTTGCTGCAGCAGCGGCAGCAGCAGCAACGGCAGTACTTGCAGAGCGGCGCATTGTTCCTGATGCATGATCAATAAAGACCAAGCCTGTTGTAGTACTTGATCGGATTGTAGGAGGTTCCCGAGTCCTGATTGCCCACTGCATAGAAGTTGGTGCCAAATTTGAGCCTCGTTGAACCGTAAGAGCACCTGCTCCACTGCGTCGTTCAAATATTTGTTCTTCATTTATTCCAAAGTCGTCGACAGCTGCAGCGGTGTTGGCAGCTGTACCAGCAGTTGGGGCAGGAGGATGAGCACTTGCACCAGGATTGTTATTGGGTGCCACCGCACTAGTTGCAGTAACCGGCGTGTCCCGGTCATCGCTATCATTTCCATCAGAGTCTTCTTCTTCCTCATCTTCATCCTCCTATTATTATTAATTATTATTAATATTAGAAATATTGCGAAACACACAGGTAGAGGATTATTTTTTTTACTAAAATTAATAATGTTCGTGTAGAAACCTGTTGTGTTGATTCATCAGAATCATCTTCTGAAAACAATGCCAAGTTTGCAACACCAGCAGCTTCTGACCCACCCGTTGCGTGAGTTTGAATGCTTCGTTGAGCACCAGAGCTAGCCGTATCATTGATATTACTCTGATTATCATCAGAGTCGCTCTCTGACTCTGCCAAAAGATCCAGCTCCATGTCAGACTCTTGTTCGCCAGCCTCTCCGATAGCCATAGGTTCAACTCCTCCTCCTTGTGCCTGTTCGTCTACATCTACACCATCCCCTTCATTGTCATGTTGCTCTGTGAAAAATAATCTTATTATTATAATATCTATGATTATTATTCTGTAATAGTTGTATACTACAAACATTTGGCATAGAGGTACCCTGCGGCTTCTAATTAAAGAGGGTAAGGTGAAAGTGGGAAATTTTTTACCCGGAGGTGCCATATGGGGTGACCTCATCGATTTCAAAATTCTTATAGAACTTAGAATTCTTTCTTAATTAATCTTTAACAAATACGTTCATATAGGATTTTTCGTTTCAGAAAATACATTTATTGCATATTTTTTAACAGTTGATAACAAACAATATCATTTATGGTCTCCCAGCCTTTTCAAACCACTCAGTTCTCTCTTTAAAGTCGCTGCTACGACACACAAATGGAGGTGTGAAGTAATTCACCGGGTTGGGTGCGTCGTTGTCGAATATGATGAAAGGACCGGCCTCGCCAAAATCATACGCTTTCCTCGCCAAATCTTTGTGGATCCTTATCCCATAGTCTTTGTTCAAAGCTACTACGTCTATTGAACTGTCTGCCATACCGAACAACATGTGCTATAATTCAGAACAAAAGAAAACAATTTATGAAGTAATACTACAGATATAATTGGCTAAAATGTAAATTAACAAAATCTTACAATGTAAAAACTCTCGACCAATTCCGCCTCCTCTTTGTCCTTCATGGGCAAAGCGATACATTCGAATATGCGTCTGTAGTTGACATAAGTTCCACGGACGGACGAGTTTGGATCTGTGGCATGGGTGGGGCGTGCTGTAGGGGTACCTAGCGCGGAATGGTTGCCGAAATACCACTCTTTTTCTTTTATAGTAGACGATTGTTGGGAGAGTAATTCCCACACTTCGTGTGCCGACTTGCCGACAATCATTCGCTCATCAATACAAATGAAGAGATAAAAAACGTTTTGTAGCATACTATGTCGGTACTCTAAATTTCCTATGTTTACGTTTGGGTCTCGGTAATATTTTTCACGTCGTCGACATAATTCTTCTGCATGTAGCTGAGGGTCTTCTCTTCGTCTGGAGTTTTTTTGTTTTTTTTTCCGGACATAATAATTTTTCGATGTCTTTTGACAAAACTTTCAGCATGAGCATAGTTTATCAAGTGTGGCTTGTCCGAATTAACGCCATTATCCATGACACAGTGAGATGTCAGGCGTCGAGGTGATCCAGGTTTCTCACAAATTTTCCACACTATTTTGTCAACTGACACGTCGGATCCCGCCTCTTGCAGTTTGGTGGCTATTTCTTGGCGTGAAATCCGATTCGGTAGTGATCCGATGTCAAGTAAAACTTGGTAGTGAGGTTCATTCACGTCACGCAATTCAGCTTCGGTCACATGTCTGATTCGTGACACTATGTTGTTGAGTAACAGCAGCATCAACAGAAACAGCACCGACAGAATCTAATTGAGACGATGGTGGGCGACTTTGTCTGCGGATCTTGGGTGGTGGGGGTTGGTTTGTGATAGTTCCAAGTGGTCGTCTCAATTTGGAAACTTCGTCGTCAAAGGAGTCGTCTGTGTGAAGAACACTATAATAATAAAATAAATATCAGACTATCACCACATTTGGATAATTCCACACGAACATTTGCGCTAGATCATAATATTTGGGTATTTATTGTTTGATTCACTTACTTATTTCTTAAATCAATCTTGCAACTTTGGCCTCTTGTCTCATTATCATTAAATTGACAACTCGATTTTACAATAATTCCTGATCGTCCCACTGTCTTCACATCTCCATCATCAAAGACGACCGTGTATTGAGAATAGTCTTGAATTTTGGAGATGGTTGCCTCACTGTAGAATCCGGTGACGAGATGTTTTGCCTCCACCGTGGCACCGACTCGCCACGTTCCTCTCACCTCGTCCGAATTGACTGTGGCCACCAGTCCCGACTTGAACAAAACCTGCAAACCAAGAAGGAAGAGTCACAAAATTAAATTAAACCATAATTAGCTAAACCGTTAATATTTATTTACCTTGAATTTCATGACTCGATTAACTTCCCGTATCTTTGCTTTACAAAACGCCCCCTTAAACTTTGCCGACACTTCAGTCCCCTCGATGAGGTAAGGTGAGTCATCCTACGAACAAAGGAACTCAATTTTAGTTATTAGTTTATTAATAAATTAATAAATTAACTCACCATTATTACTTTGTCGTGGAATGACGTCGAGTCATCAGAGAGTAGTTAATATGGCAATTGGTTTATTAAACCCGGTGGTGACTGAGGCAATGTGATACCTCCACAGATGCATGCATATAATGGTATATATAGTATAATGATACTTACCCCCATCATCCATTCCTTCCTCCCCATCTTGATCGCCTTCCGTTTCACCCCCATCGTCATGAGAAGGTGCGAATCCACTTACACGAATTCGTGAGTCTGATGCGTTTCGGGACGAATTTGTACCGTCATCCAATCCTTCAATGATAATGTGCGCTACGTCTGAAGTAGACAATCGTTCGTTATCACGTTGAGTGTGTCCGAAATTGGATTGTAATGGATCGACACTGAAAAGTTCTTCGCTCCCCTGCATCAATAAAAGTTATTTAGTTACTTATACTTAGCATTTACTTACTTCAATAAGAACCTACCGATATGGTCTCACTTGTTGTAGGTCCCGATGTACCTACGAATTGTGATTATTATTAATTGTAAGTCACTATTGAGCAAAAATTGTCGTAAAGGCAAGTCACCTGCAAATCCTATCATCCTCCCAGTCGTCGGTGGAAGTACTCCTAACTGAACTGGAGCAATTTGCGAGTTGGCCTATGAAACGTCGAATATCATGCATTATTCATAGAAACGACCTATTAGATTGAGCTTGAAAGAGTAATAAATGCATACCATTTCACACAATTCCTGAATTGAGTAGGTAACGAGAGCTTGGAATATACGACGACAATACTCAATTTGATTAGGCATCGTTCTGCAAAAATAAAAATATACACCACTCATTAATCACTATTTCTCAAAAGGGTTTATTGTAATAATTCAAGTAGAGTTAGAACATGCATACCCTTTCTTGAATGATGGAGCGGATTCAACACTGATAATCACATAAACTCTCGCTACTGATCGAATAAACCGTCTAAATCAATAAATACATAAAATGCATTAGAACATGAATCAAGGCAGTTTTTTGTGTTTTACTGCTACATTTAACATGCCACTTTGTTAATAATTATATAATTATCGCTAGCATTGTTTATTGTGTTATTATGAATTCTTACCGCACAACCAATTCTGTATCTGAAAGTCGCCCAGAAACTTTGGATTGAAGCTCACGTATTAACGTGGTGACCAGTGTATCAGTCATCTAAAGACGAGTAACGATTCAAAACTCAATTGAAATGAATAAACAAGCAGAAATTGGGTAATTTGATGAGGAGTTAATTATTTTAGTGGTGCCCAAAAAACTCACCTCTGGAGAACATTTTGAAAGCAATTTGTACGTAAATTTATCCAACAATGCTGTGCCACTTTGTTCATCCACATTCGCATTACACGAGCCAGACATTATCATTGCTCTCACCGCAGGCCAGTCGTCTAGAAGCTGTTCTAAAGCTGTTCTACTAAATCTTGGAGGTTGTAAATCGTGATCAGGCATATCGGCATCTGAAACCAAAACCAGTATGGATGATGATATTATTTGCTTGATTGATCTGTTTAGTATAATTATTATAATGTGGTGATAAAATTCAACTTACCAACATCAGCTGGCTTTCTGGCGACATTGGTTGCTCGATTGCGACTATTATTACGATATTGCTTCTGCTCCGTTGTTTGTCTTCCAACAGTTTGCACGAGATTTAACAAAATATTTTCTCCCCTGAAAATTCAAATGTCAATTAGTAATGAAATGCAATTATCATATATTTTGTTTGATTGCATGACATATATTAATACTAGTAAGACAAAAAAATACTTACTTGGAATTATTGACTACCACCAAATCAGTGTCGCTAATTAGCTTGCACAATAAATTGTGCCGTGCTTGTTGATTTCCCATTAAAAGGGCTTTACATTTACATTTTTCCCAACAATCGCAATAAGCTGTAGGTGAAGTACGCTTCAGTTTACAATCGTGTCCTTAAATATAGTAAATAAAATTAAACTCCGAAACTTTAATCACAAAGCTTAACGTCAATGACTTACCCTTGTGACAAACTCTGGCACATTCAGTACAGCTATGGTTAATAACAAAGTACATTCAATAATTGTAAAACCTGAACTAAGGAGGGGAGCTTGCGAGGTTGATAATAACAGATATTGGTGCCCTTTGGATATGTGGTAGGGACCCATGAGTGTACTAAAACCCTGAAGTAGTTTGACTCCATGGCCACATTTGCGCCCGCCACACCCACTCAAAAATGTCCAAAAAACGCTTTCACCCCAGTTTTCACTCACTCAAATCCACGCCAAAAATCCAATTTTACTCGGATTTTGAAATTTCTTTCACCATTATACTCCCAGATAGTTGCTTTCTTCAATCCAATATCAAACTCAATTTTATTGATGATTATTTCGCAAACATAATTTGTTTTGTTGATGACTACAACAATGCTCATTCAGAATTTTAAATTTTAAAAATACTAAAAATTTCGAAAAAATTGAGTTTGATATTGGATTGAAGAAAGCAACTATCTGGGAGTATAATGGTGAAAGAAATTTCAAAATCCGAGTAAAATTGGATTTTTGGCGTGGATTTGAGTGAGTGAAAACTGGGGTGAAAGCGTTTTTTGGACATTTTTGAGTGGGTGTGGCGGGCGCAAATGTGGCCATGGAGTCAAACTACTTCAGGGTTTTAGTACACTCATGGGTCCCTACCACATATCCAAAGGGCACCAAGATCTGTTATTATCAACCTCGCAAGCTCCCCTCCTAAGCGTGGCAAATTTTGTATTTTGCACGACACTCACCAACAAAGGGATCCAACCAAACCACACGTTCGACATTCGAATATATCCTGATTTATGTGCTCAGCACCAGTCCAAGTAAAACTGCAAAATATTAAACGATGCATTAAGACAAGTTAAATGCACAACATCAAAATACTGCGCACCTGCACGTGTCGTTACAACAAATCACATGAAGGGGAGAGTCATCAGGTAGTGATCCCGACGGATAGACCATTGACGTCAAAATCTAGAAAAAGAACATGCCCATATGAAGAGACTTTATCCCATTAATTGTAATAAAGAAATACCTTCTTCTGAACCTCTGCATCGGTAGATTTTTCTTTTGAAATTTTCAAAATTGTATCAAATATGGCAAGTCCTGCGGGGTACGCTCTTATTGAGACTGCTAGCATCAAAGGTGTTTGTCCCTTGCAATCCCTAAACGGTGTAGTAAAAAACATTGTTTCTTTACCTTGTTTAGCTGATTCATTTTTTAAGACAAACGAAAACATGGTCGAAGACATACTTTTCACCAAGAAGCTGATGAAAATGTGGCTCCAAAGCAATCGAATCGCACATGAGTTTTAAGATAGAAACCGCATTTCGGATCCTCTCTGTAAATAGTGAATGAAAACGTACATATCCTGTCCCGGCCTAACCTAATTACTGTTTACTGTTTACTGTAGTTTATTCAAGTGTCGCGAATCATCAGTTATACACTGCTAATCGATCTCAATTCACTTACCATTAGAATCCCAAACTTGATTCAATTGAGGCAAACTGGAATGCTGCATAGATGGTCCAGGGCTACTAGAGCCAAATCCTCTAAAGCCCAAAACAACGTTTGACTCTGTACTTTCGTTAGAGTCGTCGCCTTCCAACATTGCAGAACCACTTTGTCCTAGATATTGAAAAATAAATTGGACATTACTGCACTAGTAACATTTTGTTAACCTAAATAAATAAATTACCTGTTGAGGAGCTCAAGACATTTGCAAGGTTTTCAATATTGCTACTGTCCACACTTCCAAATGCATTCGCTGCGGCACCACTAGACGTTGCAATATTAACAGCTCCTGTTGCACCGCCAGATCCAGCAGGAGTTGGTAAAGTTTCTGTATCTTTATTAGTGCTCGGCATGGCCATACAAACTACTGCATGAAAAATATTTCTATTCCCATCGCACCGTTCGAATAACACTTTGTTCAGATATCCGCTACTATTTCCTGACTTGATTTGAGCTTCATGATCCAAATTTGCCAATATTTGCCGAACTCCTTCAACGTCACATCGGAGAATTTTGCTCATTAAAACTTGTTGTTCAATTGCCACAACTAAAACTCCTACTTGGTTTTTCTGCTGAAAAAATGTTGATATATACATATAAATATATATATAAATATTGCATGATTTTTTAAAAATAAGCCAAATAAAAAAATAACCTGTTGTGATCCAACGTGGGGCAAGGCATGGATTCCAGTACCAAGGCATGTAATTGGTGGTAGATCCATCAATATAGGATCTCTAATTGCATCCAAACAATCCTTGACCAGTGGATATAATGTTCCATTCCCATCTCTGCATGAAAATATTAGGTAAGTCAACAAGCTTAGTTACAAGGAGTTCAAATTTTCAAATAAATTTTGTTCTTGCGATATTACCTCAGAATGCTCATAAAGTCGTTATCAGAACTACAGTTCAAAGAAATGAGTCCCGAATCAATGCCCATGAACGCCGACGTATCAGATGGAAATGTACTCTCAATTTCAGATTTCCCAGTATGTAAATTATACGACTTGTATATTAACTTTTTCCCATCGCGGACAACCCCATGAATTCCAATAGCGTCAACAGACAAGGCAAGCACATTGGGGAGGTCAGACAAATGAATTTTCTTGGGAACTTTTTGAATGCAATCTGGTGATTTTGGAAGCGTCCCATTCTTAACATGCTGCAAATCATCCAAACGAAGAAGTCTACATTCTTGAAGCAAAGAAGCAACGTCTTCTTCCTTCGGGGGTTGATCTTTCATTGTTGAATTCAAAGGAGTAAATTTTATGACGGCGAAACCTCCGTCTATTTTGAGAACCCGTCCAATGGGAATATTCTTGGAATCTTCTACAAATACTACCTCCTTCAAATTCCATTCTTCTTCGTCCTTCTTTTCGTTCCCGTCTTTCAAAGACGGCGTTTTCTTGGCCCTCTTTTGCGAAGTTGATGGAACGGTCGTGTCAGAACAAGTAGAACTGGCAGGTGAAGGTGGTGGGGGCATTGCATCTGAAGGACGCGGTTCAGTTTTCTTAATTTCAGCCGGAGGTGGGCCAGGTAAAACCTATATATATATATATATATACATAAAAATTGGATTTGCACAATTTTTTATATTTAATATCAATATTAAAGATCTTCTTTACCTTAAATCGGCATTTATCAGTCAAATTCCATGCAGAATTTAATAGTTGTCCAACTTTTGGTATCCCCCCAGACACAGTAAATCCAATCGAACCAGATTGATACATTGGAGCCACACGCATTAAGACTTGTGAACCAACAACTATCTCACTGTTATGAGATGCTGCTGCGCTACTCGAGTTTCCAGTCCGTGTTTGGCGTTTCGTCTTGGTCCTGTACTTGTCCCACAGTTTCTTCCTTTGGTTGGAACTATGTTACAATATAATTTGTCATCATAGATTAATAATAATGGATATAATGTTATAATAATGAAGAATATGCAGACTTACGGGAGAACACCCCACCAAAATATTTGGTTGGTATCCGTACGTGCAAGGGTGTACAAACTGCATGTATAAAGCTGTACAATTTTTTGACCCGGAAATGCGTCTTGGAATGAAGTTGAGCTGTGTTCTAGTCGTGCGGAAGCCACGTGTGCAACTGATTCGTCCATCAACGTCACAACTTTTCCAGATTCTGTGGCGAGTGAACATCGTATAATAGAGGATGAAATGCAAGTCACCTTTTCGTTTTGAAGACCCAGGCTGATTAAACGCGGATGAGTTATCTGAGGATTCTGGGGATACGAAAATGACATGGTCTTAAAAAAAACTACGCATTACAACTTTAACACATGTATATGTAAACTTGCATCAGGATGCCGGTAGGGCTCAATGTCAATCCACTTCCACTGATATATTTGCCCATTACTGCCAATTGCAATAAGCTCACTGTGCATAGCAGAAATTGATGTAAACTTGAGACCTCGTGATGGGTCCGGCCAATATTCGATCTCATCAGACTTTATATGAAAACAATAAAAAACAATTAGCTAAAAACCAGCAATACGTAATAAATATTAATAAACTACTTACCAGCCAAATTGGACTATTGTAGTTCATTGACACCGGGTTTGAGCTACTTCCAGAAGCAATTGGTCCGGAATTCTGAGATTTTGAAGCCTTATTGCTAGGCTCTCCTCCGTCTGAACTATTGTTCCAAGGCTCCCTAAAACCGCGAGTGACATTTATTAAATCAATCACAAAGAGTTATAATTGTTATTATCAGCTTTTGAGCATACCTCAATGCATTTTCAAGCCATCTCCGTGGTCCAAAATACTGCCGATCACGCCAACTACATTAAATATAATTAGAATTATTACTTATTATTCATGAATTATTCGGGCAAATTCTTATCATAATTATTTATATTCAACCCTGGTTTTCACTAACCGTGAAAAGCTGTCCCTATCTGCTGCAGTTTCGCTGCCTCCTGCTCTTTCAGCAGACTGTCGAATAGTTCGAGCTGCACTAGACGTTCGACTGTAAAATAGGTTTATAATTTATTGCGAAATAGTACACCTCTTATTAAGGTTTAAATGTGGTTCGTTATGAATTAATATGTAACAATTCAGAGGAATGACATACTTTCTTAATGTAGAATATGCAAACATATCTTCAGGGAAAACAGCGTCCACAGCATCTGATAGCATAACTGGATCTGCTGCTCCACTTATCCCGCCATCCAACAATGACATTAAATCCTCGGAAACATACGAATCCTGAGAATCTTCCCCATCATCCCCTTCTTCATCGTCACGAGAAAGCAGATTATTCACAGCTAAATTTACGTCGAGATTCGTACGTTGTAATTCTCTAATGATAACACTTCGTGACTTTCCTTGAAGAACCACTTGAGCCTGGGAAACCTAAAAAATGGGGGCACACATTCAAACGTTAGCACAACTAAAAAAACAAGAATAATATTTAAATTAGTATCTAATTTATTATGTCGCTTACGAGTTCTTCTGGAACATACTGAGCTGGAACAACTGGTCTTGATGAGCCCATAATTACTCCTGTTCCACGTCCACCCCGAAGGGTAGCAGTTCTGTTTAAATCATAATGATAAAATTATCTGAAATAGACTATAAATAGACTGTCATACCTAATTCTCCCTCGTTGTCTTGTTTGCTTCAGTGCTGAATTGTTGTTAAATGGCTTACTTGATCTAAAGTTTAACGTTTAAATATTAATTAAAAAGTGGCCCAAATGATTTATTAAAAATTAAACGATGGCATTTAGCCCCCCCTTTCATACGTTTTAACATTATCTTGCCGACTCAGATCTAAACGATCAGATATGACTGAGAATGCCACCCTTCCAATCCGGCCATCTTCCAACAAAAATGCTGTATGAGCCGGGCCCACAGCAATTTGTTGAACGGGGGGTCCATTCCTCAGAACTGACAAAACAGTAGGAGAAGTCAACCCATATCGGTTTATCCTCTCACCCAGTTCTCGAAATCTGAATCACATGATAAAACAATACCACATTATAAACCAAATTAATGCTGCAAAAATAAAATTCTAATATATATCGAAAAACTCGTACTTTTCTGCAAGTTGTTCATCTGTCCCTGTAAAGTCAAAATTAGAGTTCAGAACAAGTCGCAGTAAATTTTATTTGTATATCATAAATGGACTCAATATTGTATCGAACTTACCAGGTAAAGGGTGAACAACAAAATGAAGGTTGGACATATTGTCCAATGGTGCGCCTAGCGCTGTAGGTTGCTCAGTTCTTGTAAAATTGTTTCCTTGTTATATAGTAGTCTTCGTGCTATTAAACGCTTGTTCCAGTGTTTATTCTAGGTTGAAGTTCACTTCAACACCTCTTTTCTTATGTAATCTAGAAAAATTACAAAAATTTAAACTAATAAAAATATAACACTGTAACATCAGACAGAGAAAACGTTTGGTTATAAAAACCGTTGACACAAGTATTAAAGTATACGAAATTACAATGACACAAGTATTAAAGTATACGAAATTACAATTCGTAGTCAGATTAAAAAAATAATATTTTCCAAATATGATAAGCTACACTACGCCAATTTTGTTGAAATACTTGAAAATAATTTCAAGAAAGGGGTTTGTCCATCTTCCAGAACATTTGGAATGATGGGGAAAATGGACGAACATTACGTTGTCATATATCTGTGACTGGTCGTCTCCCATCATCATATACAAATGTGTAAAAATATATTTCGCAGAAAAAAACTCGTCAACGTTCTCCTTAGCTTACCTCCCACCACCCACCGGATTGAATTATGTCGAAAATATGAAACCCATATCCGCGGAAGAAAGATGACTGGAAATTTTGACGAAATATGAAAAGAGAGAGAGAAAAGGACTGCTCGCTCGCTCTTCTTCCTATTTGAACGACGGAAGATTTCGGTGTCTCAAAAAAGCCTGCTCTTGCTCTTTCTTCACATGGCACTCTGACAGTTGTTGCACGTACCTCGTCCTCACCGTCAGCGTTGTAATTTCATAACCGAGAAAATGTAGGTACCAATTTCATCCCATAAATTCTGAGGCAGCGACGATGAAGAATTTAGCATGACCAGTGAATTTCAAAGAAAGAATGACCGTGTTGGGTGGATGCTGTTAAGATGGGACTACGGCGGCATCAAACGGATACAAATTTCAGCGGTAATTTCGAATGTTTAACAACAAAATAAATGTAAACATTTTTGTCATTAATTAATTCTTTGTAATTTTGTGATTTTGAGAGAGTTAATTTGAGAATGGTCATGCAATCCAAAGAGTTGATCTTATCAAGGGATGCACAGGCCAAAAATATCATAATGCGAGCATGGAGGGAACGTTGGACGGTGATGCAATGGGGGATCAACGTTCGAACGGTAACACTAACTTGATAATTCAAAACTTTGTTCCTTTTAAGTATTCATAAATCTTTACTGCAGTTGGTGGATTCGAAATCGGATGGCTCATTCATCGCCAACTGTATCTTGCAGCAAGGTCGGTCTAATATTAACAAGACATGCTACACTCGTTAGCATGCTTCCGTGAAGTGAATTGTATAATACAATTTGTATTATTGTTCTACAATCATTCTAATATTAATAATCACAAATTTTTGAATTACTTTGATCCTGCAACAAGCTCTAGGCGGCCCAGGTCCAAATTCGCTGGTTTTGTCATATTTGATGCACTCGATTTATTCACAGGTTGTCTTTAATATTGAATATTTATTTTTGTATAATTAGTGATGACTAAAGTATAATAAGGGTTATTTATTTCTGTATAGCTAATTTCTTCTTGTGCTGTTCTGAAGAGTGTCTGTAAATATGATGGATTTCACAAGCCATACTGCGTTGCAAGTTTATTGTAAGTTGAAGTTATTTTTAATATTAAATGATTATTGGTAAATTCTAAATGGTCGGTAGCAATGTTCTTATATTGAAATACATTTTCTATACGAAAAAGTATGCAGACTTTGGCAATTACAAACTTTGTACATCACATTAACATAGTATATCTTTCGTTGTAACTTACAGCTTGCAAACAAAATTCTATATTTTAACCCATATATACACAAGAAGATTATAATGTGGGTTCAAGGTTGTAACTTGAGAGTACATTAATTTTTTTTCTAGGGACTTATTGAATAATATCAAGGTATGGTGACATTTTTTTGGCTTGGATTCGGGATTTTTTGTACCCTATGATTTATTATTTTAGGAGAGAGTGATCTTAAATGAAAATGAGGATCTCGAGCAATGCATGGAGTTGTCTCAGTCACTGGCTCTAACGACCCATTGGCTCCTCACCTGCATGTATTCATCACTTGAAAATCTATCTGACTTGTCAATTAACGACTTTCCAGTGGATGTTGAAGATTCCAAGATTGTTATCAAATGCCGAAAACTACTCGAGTATTTCTTAACTAATCCATTTATTAGGTAAGCTGCAGTATATTTACGGAAATTAAAAAGTGATGCGCATAAAGTAGAAATAAAAAATAATCCATGGGTAAAATAATTGTCTAGTTGTGGTTTGGCTATACTTACTATGTTATATTATTTTTTAACAACTTTGAATTTCTCCACAGTGGGCTGATAAACTGTGCTGTACTAGAAAATGATGGTATGCTTTTTTAACCATTTTTTGAAAATATTAAAGTAACATGTCTCTCATCTCTAGAAATGTTTCAAAATATTAAGAAAATGTCTGGAGAAATTGCAAAGTTTGCAGACGGGCATCATCATCAAGATATTGCTTTTATAACAGGGTGAGTCATTAACTATTTTATTGGACACAAAATAGATATTAAAATTATGATCATTTGCTCAGGCTTATTGAGCAAATTGGTGAACGACGAGGGGACTGTATTTCTTCTCGGAGCATTCTTACTCTTAGCCGATCTATTGATGGAAGACAAACTTTAATTGGTAGTCCATCAATTCTCACGACGATAATCTCGGCTGCACTGTTCCGTTCCTCTGAAAACGTTGCAGATATTGCCAACGAATTGCAAATAATTAAAAATCTTAGGGTAATTATGATTTTTCTTGATTTATCATTGATTGCACATTAAGACAATGTGTGTAACCATTTTTTTCAATAGGGGTTAACAAACGTTGAGCTGTTCAACGAAATTATGCATGCTGCTGTAGTTTCTTTGGTCGATTGCTTAGGAAAGCCAAATGAACTTCAAATTCTAGGATTTGTATTTCTTGTTTTACCATCATTGTTAAAGTCCCTCGTATTGATTTTGGATGGTAAGTTGTTTAGTTTATATACTTCATGCCTATGAACCGAGACCAATTTAAAAAATATAAACTTATTGGATCGATATCAATATAGCGTCAAATGATGACTTTTGCAATGGACTGTGTCTTTTTCTGGACAATGATTCGGTTTTGAGCATTACAGACACGAAACTTGCATGTTATACACTTGATATTTTTTTGGTCAGTTTCCAAAAACTTAATATCATCTCAGACGGAGACAGAAAACAAATACTGGAAAAGTAAATATGCATATTTATAGATTATTTATTCATTATGGACAAAGTATTAACTCCATTACTCGTGCATTCAGAAAACCAAGGCGTAGCCTCCAAACCGACCATAGTTCCAACAACGCTGTACTATTACTTGAAACTGAGAAAACTCTACAGCATATTTTTAATGCTTTGGACGGTGTGAGCGATTTTGAAAAAAACAAGGTAAACTATATCTTCGGTATTTCGGTGTGTCAGGTCAACACATTGAATTTTATATTTATGTATTACAGGATGCTATTCTTGGAACCTTGTACGATGTGATTTGCAATAACTTCGAATTTGTTCTTACAACAACATCTTGTACAAACAAGTTGAAACAGCTTTCTTCAAAACTATTAAAACTTAATCAATACAGCCTTCAAGCGGTTGGAGAAAACGGAAAAACTTCAGCAACAAGAGCAATGATATTTGATATTACGTTCTTGATGCTATGTAGTATTGGTCAGACCTATGGAGTCGAGGTGCATACATAATATATATATTTTTTTCACATTCGAAGTATGGTTAATTTTTAACTAATTGTATACTAATTTTAAAGGCTCTAGCGTCAGACGAGTCGGATTATTTTTTTGTAGAATGGTATAATGAGTGTATGGTTGAAAACAACTCTGTTAAGAACCCTGATGCAATTCTTAACCGTTGTAATCAAAACAAGGTGGAAATTCTCATTAACACGTTTCTACAAGGCGAGTCTGAATTAAAAACCAGGTAGGTTATTGAATATTTTGATATGTATTTAAAACAGAATTTAACTCAACGTAATTAATAATTTCGCACAATAATATTTTTGTAGCTTGGTATTTTGGAACGAGTTGTGCACAAATGTTGTTGGTGTAATTCGGGATATGGTTTTCGCATGGGAAGCAGAATCTGCCAATTTTGCTGACGTAAAGAAGGTGCTCGATGTCATTCGTTCCAAAGTGTGTTCATTGCCAATATGCATCTCTGCTTGGTTGTGTTCATATATACAGGTAAATATGTGTATATGTATTGTTATAATTTCCAATATACAAATGTGTCGTAAAAAAATTACAATTACAAAAATACAAATCGCCAATTATAAAAATTTCGTCACGTGTTTGGGCACGTACGATAGATGAGTCCTGAAAATCAGTCGGGAAAGGCACGATACATTTTAAACCACTTCCTCTCGAACCTCAATGTCTCAAACGATGAAGAACATTTCCAAGAACGGTTAGTTAATTTATATTGACCTGATTAAATTAATAAATAAATTAATAGATTGACTGTGAATGAATACGTCTTGTTTAATTTAATTGAAGGTTTGCTGTCATGAACAAGGTAATTTCCAAAATGATTAACTGTGTGCAACCAACGTCAGGAGCATCGTCACCCATTTCCACTGGAAATTGGTATGATTAAAAATGATGTTTGTTTTTAATGGTGCAACTACATTATAATATTAATGGATTATCTTAATTACTTTATAGCACAATAGAAAGCAAACCAATGTCAGACTTATACAAGAAGTGTTTCTCATCAATGCAGTCTAGAGGACTAATTGATATTGACACAATGATATCATTACAAAGTTTACTTGATCTGAATGGTTTACATTATTTTGTTCAAGGGTTAATAACGGTTAGTTCCATTTTTTCAAATTAGAACGTTAAAAATATTAAAATATTGGTTTCAAATTGATAATTTACTTTACAGGAAATGATGGAGAATCAATCACCAGCAGATCTACTACAGTGGTGTGATATGCTATATGGCCTTTTCAAAAATAATCTATTCGAGTGTACGGCAGCATTATTGGGTGTTGTTATTCCATCTTTACTTCATTATTGGGACAGGTAATTTTTTAATGAAAAAATAAACCAACTAAATTAATCAAGATTTATTGATTATTGATTGAATTTAACACCAAATATTATATGCAGAGACTCTAATTTTGTGGAACCACAAATTCTGGCTCTCGTGTCGTTGACGGTGGATTGCATCCTTTCATGCTATTTACAAGGCGAAACAATAAAAACCTTAGAAGACAGTGATGACGAGCCATCATTGTGTAAACGTAGGAAAATCTCTGACCCAAAGGATAGTAAGAAAATGGAGGTTTGTGGTTTGTTACTTTGTTCACATATGTGTCTTAATATTACGTCATTTCTATTATTGTTTTTTATGCACAGACGTTAGAAAACCTAAAATATATGCTCAGAGAATTATATGAAGAGCTTGACAAAATTCTCAAAGCTACATCAGATGCCAGACCACAAGGAATATTTGTGCTAAGATTCTTGGAGCAGCTATCTATAAAAGCATCAGACCCAACTATATTTTCTTCACTGCCTCACAGCGTTGTAAGATAATTCAGCTGCACAATTGATGGTTATTATATTTGGTCCGTGTTTTAACAAAAACCATTATTATTGTGATTGCAGATAACCAATTTGATGTCGCTGATGAGTGATGATATCAATCCACAGATGCTTTTGGGCTGGCATTCATTGAATGAGAAGACAGGAAGAGCTAATTGCATTCTAACCATTTGCAATCTAATGAAAATGCAAAACGTTAATAGACATTGTTGTGATTCGTCGTCAGACTAATTATATTTATCTTATTTTATTTAATGTATTTTTGGTACTTCTCTCTGAATATTCTAATATTAATAAAATAAACCAAGAAAGTCATGTCATGATTAATTGCTATTCATTTGTTCGTTGCAATGCATGCTCGTTGGGCTGGATGAGCTGATCCTGAGCTAAGTATGTGGCTAAATGAGAAAGGAAGAGCATTAATTACATATTTCCGAGAGTTTGAGTTGTGAGAATATGTAAGTATGATGTTGAATGATCCATATGCATAATAACAAAATCTTGTGTAGTATTATGTGCGTATGTACATACGTTTGTACGTATGTACGGCAATGCCGTAACGGCATATGGGAATTTGAGTGCTCTGCGGTTCTTATCACAAAATGATAACAGAAATAAACAAGGGCTGCTGCATTTGACACGGAATTATGGCTTCTTCTGGTATCTGGATCATTATGAGAGAGAGAATAAAAATGCAATGAGAAATGTTAACGATTTTATAGTTATTGAGACCCGGATGGAGAGTCACACAATAAATGCTGAACTCATTATACCTTAGGATTAGTTTGGATAATAATGGACACAAGAAATCTATCTAGTTTACTCTACTAAAAGACAAAAATCTGTCAAGATGACACATTTCGAAGGATTTATCTCATTTGTAATCATCATCATCATTGTGCTCGTCACTGCACCATTTTCCTACGTAAGTTGACAACTCCGTAGTCATTTTGTTCTAATACCTTCTTTGTTGTAACAAATGTAATTAAATTCAGGGAAACTTGGACTCAAATCTGTTGGAAGATGATAATAATAAGTTACGTTATGCTAATGGAGAAAGTGCTCAAATTGTTGCTCAATATGTGGAACCAGTTTCGCGAGATATTCCAGTAAACCCACTATTTTACGGATTCTTTTACGGCTACAACATATCAGACTCGTTGCGTCTGATTAGCGAGAAATACCTTTCAGCAAGCTATGACACCGTTCCAGAGTTCACCGTTTTTTTGGACAAAGCCATGTACGAGATGAATGTCACGGATCCATTTGCATATTACCAGGTTCAATTTTTTTCTATGTATTGCTTTACTTTAGATCTAACGTATTCATACGCATCTACTACATACAAGCCCACATGACATCAACCTTTGGTTCAAACCCTCAAACTACTTCTTTAAAGCCGGAACTTGTATTCTTGATATTCTTATACAGTTATTGCTTAAATGCTTGCAGTAGTAACATTTTGTTTAGTTTTGTATGAAAAATGTCAATTCTGAGAAAATACAAACTCTATTGTTGTTAATTTCAACCAGATCCATAGAACAAACATTTCCTAATAACTCAATTTCCTTTTTAAAAAAAAAAATTTCAGCATATTGACTTTTTGCTCGGATAGGATCATTCTGATTGACCAATTCTATACTCTTTATCAGAAACCTCTAGATCCTGAAACAGGGCGGATTGATCCCTATTTTCATACCACAGCTAAGTTTTGTGGACGAAAAGACTGCCTCGAGTACTGGAACAAGGCTGGAAAGTACTTGGGAAAACCATTTGACATGCATTTGGTTGGTCTGTTTTTTACAAAACGAACGTATGGGATTCGCGTAAAACTGACGGTGGAGGAACAAAGCATTTTCGAAGTTGATGAACGAAGCAACAGCATTCAAGCCGTGGACAACGATAGCATCAGCAATGCACCAACAAACCGTTCTAACCAAGAAGACCACAATAACGTCCTGGCAAATGAAGTAGTTGGACACGAGTACGAGGGGTATTTTCATAGCCATCCACATCAAGTTGTAACACATCCACTCTATCCTGGAATCCACTTTTACCCACAAGAGCAAGATTTTCATCCTACAGAGTCTCGAGTAATTTTTTAATAATAATATTAATGATTACTTTTTTTCCAAATAAATTCAAAACCAACAAAATTTTGTCGTTACAAATTCATGGAAATATAGGCGCATGTTACGCTTGGCTGTGCCAGTCAGATTACGGCTGAGCAAACTGGACTGGATTTACTGGAAATAATCGACTATGAAATTTCCGGAGGCATCTACCACCATGACTTTAACATTGGAGGGGGCGACCTTCCCCCTTCCACCTTGCGTCAATATGGAGGCGATGGAGAGGAAACAGAACAAGTTTTCGTTATCTACCCAAGCGAGAAGATGGTCACACAAGCGACGTTCAGTGTTTATTTGTAAAAAAAACAATAGATTTTTATGATAATTTTCAGATTCGTTCAATATTGTGATTAATTGCAAATTATCATATGGATACCATTATTTCTGCTATTGCAATAAACAAGAGTTCACGTACTTTTAATTAAGAAATTATACACAACTATCGACCTGATCCTACGCGTATGTTATTATACAGTATTGTAGAATATTATCGAGAGTAACTGCATACAAAGTGGTACTGATTAGTTATAGACATTTTCCGAAGAAAATTGGCACGGGTGAAAGTTTCTTAAAATGAATTCTTCCAAATATAGTTTAACGCTTATTCTTTTAAAAGTTGTAATATTTTTTGTAAGTTTTTGCTCTTAAAGTATATATAGGCTTTAACTTTATGCACATTTGTAGTAAATTTGATACATGTAATTTGTTAATAAAGCATTGTCAGATTCTGTGTTCAAATTCCTTTGGTTTGGGTGAATCTAATGAGAAAATCAGTAAGCGAATTGCTCCTCCTCGTGTCCCCATTGCTACCTCCACCCTCGCACCAACGGATCCCACCACACAAAGCTCAGGGTCACCGAGAACCATTACGCCTTCACTTATACGTACGTGTCAATTACTGATTTCACCTTAAAATAGTGAATCTCTTGTTGAGCATCATCCTTATTTATACGGTCAAAGAGACTGGAATCGGTTGTGGGACAAGGTACATGAGACCCAGGGAAATTGTAAGAATACAAAGCAACAACTTTAATTGGACAACGCAAACGCTCTACCAACCCAATGATGCCTGTACCTGGAGGTTCATTGTATGAAATATTAACTTTGAAAATTATTTAAATTGGCAAAATACCTAATACTTGCACTTTGAAATACAGTAATAATAATAAAAATTTATCGCTTGTCATTAGGGAAATGACTGCACCATCTCTGCAGAATGTCCCTGTTTTGACATTCCAGCATCATTTGACTGCATTGAAGATTACTTCAAAATTATCGATCTTCCGTACTACACTCAAAAGCAAGTTTCCACAATTATTAAACTTGTTATCATTTTTGTGAACTAAATTGTATTCTTCTAGGTTTTGTGGAATATCCAAACCCAATGGTCCTTACTGGGCTTCTACTGAAAAATTTTCGGTACGGTAAAATTATAAAATACAAAATATTGATTCTTACAGTTATATTAAATGCAGATCCGATTCCGATCAAACAGAAGGACGGCTGGAAAGGGCTTCGTTTGTTTCGTTCAGTGCGTAGCTCTAGGAGATCCAGTACAAAACACTCCGAGCTCGAATGACTTGCATTGTTCCTCAAATTAAAGCCAATTAAGAAGTTATTACCAGAAATCTATGTCGAATTTGGAGATTTCATTTCTTTTATCGTTTGATGATGATTGTTGTAAAAAATTGCGACAAATGCTTTTTATTAACATAAACAATGATAAACTATGATATGTCTATATTTAGTCATGCAGCTGAACGTTGTTACGTAATGCCAATACGTCGGGATTATTAATTTTATAGTAATTAATATCTGTCTCGCGATCCGGTTGTCATAATATATCCTATTTTATGATGCGTCCATTTAATGTCCCAAACTGAATTAATGCATAATAAAACAGTATTGCTCTCTGGTTATGCATTCCTGCACTTTGTAATTCAATAGGTCATTATGGGAGCGAAAAGGGCTGATGCTTGTAGTATTGCAGTACATCCAACCTGACCAAATGTCCCTCTTTGATAGATTAACTCTCAAGATTAATTTACACCGTTCGTTAGTGAACCATAATACATAGAACCATTGAATGATAAAGCTCATGACGTATGTTGTTATAGGCAATGCAGTAATGAATACTATTTCTGAAACCAAAATTTCATTAAATTTTTGAAGTCCTTGACTAGACTACTAATTTATATACATCTAATATATTGATGTACTCAGTACAATGAACCATGGAACAAGACCACCAGAATCAACTAATTTATCATGGAAAGCACTTATACAATCCTAACGATTATCTTGACGATGATAACAAGTCAACGTATACCCAAAATAGCGAAACTTGCGAGATGCCTCAACATTTCAGCTCCACCTTATTGCTCATACCTCCCAAGAAGAAACGCAGTGTTCCCCCAAAACAACAAGAAGAGGACAAAAACAATAATAATGATAATAATGTAGATAAAAACAGCTCTGAGCACGATGTCTCCTTGTCCAACGACAAGAAACTCTTATTATTTTGTTCAGGTACATCATCCAATACGTCTAGACGGCGACTCCAAGGAGAAAACGCAGGAAAGTCTTATTTATCTCGCTATATCTCTTCAACAATTTACCCCAAAGATATCATTACAAGCAATTCTTTTACGTCATCCCATGAAACGGCTGCAATATTCTCTGCCAGTGGCACCCAAATGTTATCAGACAACGACTCTCGAGTGGAGTTTCCTGAGCCAGACGATTTCAAACTTTACATGTCTGCCAACAAAGAATCCACCCGAGAAAAGACTTTGCAACTTGAGGTTAAAACTGGAAGACGACTTCTTTGCCCAAATTATAAACTGAACAAGCTCCACAGTACCTTCAGGTCTGGATTTAGTTTGGTCAAGATTCCTGTCTTTTTAACGGAAAGTGCTTACAATTCTTCACTTGAGCTGAGATTGGCAGAAATTGATGAAATCATGCGTGGTCATCCTCCATCAAAAAAGATGAAGCTGGATCTATTTGACTTCATTAAAGAGAGTTTATCAATTAATGATAAAAATAATGACCCGACGAGCGGAGATGTACAAAGTCTTATTGTTCTGCAAGAAAAACTATCTCTGAAATTTATACACAATCCCCGGATTTCAGAAAAATTGGATCCCAGAGATGAAAATCAGAAAAACGACAGTTCATCTGATACAGAAAATGAGATGCATCCTGCACATGAAGAAGGTACTAATGCTACGAATTACTTCAAATGCGATGCTAACCATAGTCAAGTTCGAGGGGATAATGCTCAGCTCAAATGTCTTTCAGACGACAATATTAGAAAAACAAAGTCCACACAATTAGAGTCTAATAAAATTGATCTAGAGGAAGAATTACCAAGTAGCAAATTAACGACACCAACGACAAAGAAATCTGGTTTGTTGAAACTTCAGAGCAATAGTAGCATATGCGCAACAGTGGGAATCAGCATTAGTAAAATATTCCAAAAGAAACTGAGATCCAACTCCTCCTCTGATGTTAAATACAACTTGTCGGAAGAAAAGTTACCATCACACGGTTCACAAACCGTTGTTGTCGAGATGGGCGACCATTATTATGAAGTTGTTGAAGAGGAACGAGTGGAGTACCACGACTCGGAAACGTTAGAAAGAATGAGTGAAAGACACGTCAGCAAACTTGTTGATTGCTCAGGAGAAAGCACAATAGAAACTTTTGCAGCTCAAAAGTGCCCCAGTAGTCCCAACCTATCAATTTTTGGAATAAATTCCGAAAAGTCCTCCAATTCCATTTTATATTTCAAAGAACAGAAGAAATCTGGTCAAATTCTTGTGGAGAATCAAGAGGGTGAAGTAATAATCAGAGAGGACAACCTTTCCAAGGAGAAAGCTGATAGCAGTGTCGTCAGAAAGCATGAAACTATCCAAGGTGAAGAATTCAATGAAATTCCTGAAGTAACTGGAAATGAAGCCAGACAGCATCAAAAACTTAACCAAGTTGTAAATATGGGCAACATTCAAGCGAAATTTCCAGATTACAGTAGTTCAGAAAACGGGAATTTAGCTGAATATAATCCAAACCATGCGAACAAAGTGGATGATCCACCAGTGTCAATAAAAGACAACAATTGTCAGACGAGTGCCGTTCAAATTGTCCATGAGAAAAAGAAGCTATCAATATTCAAAAGCATTTTAGGGGTATTTCTGAAAGGCTCAAGTAAAACTGTTGTGGAAAGGGAAAGTTGTCTGCCTTCACCTGCGTTCAGTTCAGGAAATACTGCAAGGTACTTACAATGTCCTGACGATGAATCTGTTGCAAACCCATGCAGATAAGTAAAATGTGTTATGTACAGGCGGACCTTTTTTCAAAAGCTGTTCAGAATATCGTCCAGTGCGAAATCACCTACGTCAATCGAACTGAAAGACGTTTCTGGTGGTAATCTGGATGCAGGAAGGAATGACATGAACGGGAATCTTATCATTAGCGAAAGAAAGGATCAAAATCATATCGGACCTAAACATGTTGATTCTGTTTCATTAATGAGGAGGAAACGACTTCAACTATTTGCAGAAACCCAGCAGTTTTATCAAGATAGCATAATGTATGTACATTGCATTATGACAATTTCTGGTAAATTATGCACAGAGTATAACATCCCATGCACGTTACAGGGCGTACAAGTGCAGCACTGGAGCAACTTCGCCCGTCATGACCTCAATTCCCCCCATCCGCTTTCCGAGTGAGTTGGTGAGGATAGCAGCCAACCAAAAAACCTTCGCCCTCGGTCCGCGCCGTGTTTTAGCCGATCCCGACCGCTTCCTTCGTTTTGGTCACAAGTCCACCGTGTCGGAAAGCATCATCCTTCCAGCCATTTCTGGTAAAAAGCGAAGGCTCAATCAAAGTCTCCTCTTCGACGCTGCCGACGTTAAACCATCAGTCAGTAAAACTACTGAAAAACAGGATGGGAGCGTGAATCAACTTAAAGGAATTCTTAAAAAAATATGATAATAATAATAAACTGTGTACATAAAATATAATAATAGTAACATGCCAGCGCAACAAATAGATTAGATCATTTACAATTTTGCACCACATTCACGAGTTGAACATTAGTTGAAGTCTCACTCATGCATGGCATGTTCATGGCTCAGTCTCGTTGTAACAAAGTGAAAATTGAGACTAATAAAATGAGACAATCTGACGATTCATGGCAGACCAAACGAAACTAAACCGGCCAAAACACCTTGGTTGTTGGTCCATTTTCACTTCACTCACACACATCCAAAAAATACATGACTCCTGTGATTTATTAGCAAATTAAATAAATATCAAAGTGACTAATTACATATGGTCCTTGTAATTATGTAGCGAAAACGAAGCCCCATAAATCATCTTAACCAAACCGTATCAAATTGTTGAAAAACCGAGTAACAATTCAACATGGAGGAGAAAGAAGTGCAATCCTCTGTCACTGACGAGGAAAGGGACGTGTCGCCTCCCAAACGATTCAAAGAAAAATGTCCTCCTGACAATATTGATGCTGAAGTAAGTATCTCTCAATTAATTGTCGAGGAGGTGGACCTGCTTGAACAACCCCAAATTGGAGTGGAACCTCAAGTGCTACCTGAAATCAAGTATGAATGTAAGATTTATTTCCGATTTGGGTGGGGTGGGGGTATATATATCTTAAAAAATTCTTATCTAATCTTTATATTATCCTATTACGCCTATTATTGCGCTACGATCAATTATGTTTGTTGAATGTTATAGATTTGGATCACACAGCTGATGTGCAGTAAGCTAAACTGTATTTAAGAGATTAGTTGACAATTGTGATTGTGAGGGCGACTTTTTATATTTTAGAATCCATGCCTGGGGATTCAACCTTCAAGAGGCGTTTGAGCAGTGTGCGATGGGCATGTTTGGCTATATGACGGACATTGATACAGTTGACAACAAGGGGACGCAGACCATTGAGGCGAATGGTCACGACATGCTCTCTCTTCTCTTTGGATTTCTGGACGAGTTTCTTTTCATCTTCAACGCAGATCCTTTCTTTATAGCGAGGGTACCATTATTATTATTAACAAATATGAAGTAAACGAATATAAAAGTTTCTTATGAAACTTGCAGAAAATCACAATTACTTCATTTGACCGTGACAACTTTAAAATTAAAGCGGTGGGACATGGTGAAACGTTTGATATTTCTAAGCATCCTCAGGGAACCGAGGTCAAAGCTATTACCTATTCAAATATGCAGTTTCATGAAGCAGAGGATTATGCAGAAGTATTTGTAATTATTGACATATAAGACTATTGTACTGACCAATAATAGTTCAGATTCTTATATTAAAAACTTTATTTATTTATACACATGTCTCAAAATGTAATTGATTTTTTAGCATTAATTATTACATGAAATGCAAAATAAGCAAAATTGTAGACTTATTCGTCATCATCGGACCCAATTTCTTCAATGTCGTCATCATCGCTGGCCAAAGTATCTACGTTATTATCAACATGGTCGTTAGAATAAATGTCACTACTATCTTGGTCTGATTCGTCGTTTTCGACTTCACCGAGCCCATCAGTATCGTCATCACTCGTCGTGCTCATGTTCAAATCTTCCTCATCACTCTCGGTTTCCAAATCCAAATCACCATCAATTAATTCTTCCACGTCGGAATCATCGTCATCAAGATCATCTTCATCTTGTGAGTCTTGCGACAAGGACTCCAAGTCATCAAAATCGAGATCTTCCTCATCATCAATTTCCCCAGCTTCTAAACTTTTTTCAGTCATAAGAATACCTCGCTCCCATAAATCAGCAGTGATCTGGATCTAGATTGAGACGCAACAAATTAATTATGTCCATTTATAGAACATCAACTTTTACAAGTTACCTTTTTAGAAAGGTCATCGTCTGCTACAGGAAGATCTTCAATTCGAACATAGTCTGGGTATGAGTTGATTAATAACTCTACCGCCGATCGATATTCTTCTGAAATTTCAACAAAATTGGGTTCGTCTTCATGATACACTAAAGGATTTTCCACGGTGTAGTAAAGTCGAAGAGTTGAATCTTCTAAAATTAGACGAATCGCATGCTTCCGAATTAACTTGACCTTTGTATCTGGGTCCATTTCTGTAAAAAAAAATCAATCAGTAAATAATAGTAGGTAGTATTGCTTATACATATATACATATGCATATAAATTAATCTTACCAACTCGATTCTTCACTATTCCATTATTTAAAAACTCTCCGTCTTCTGCAACTGTCTTATCCTTTTCTTTACGTGTCAGATATGGGGGAAGCGAATCCCACACGAATTTTTTGCCCATTACATCGGCAGCAGCATCAGCCTCTAGGTTACCAACTTTGGTTACGAGTCGTTTCATGTTACTTTTAAATTCGTTGCGTTTGGCTAGTGTTGTTGCATCCGTTTTCTTTGAGGGTGCCAATCCCATAAAGGAAAGGTAGTCCAACGGAAGGCCTGCAAAGGAATTAGCTTTAAAAATGAACTCTTGAAATATGCATTCAATTTGTTTATTTGACCTTTTCTGAATTCCACATCAGTAGACGCAAGTTTGTCAACAGCTTTTGAAAAGTGCTGCAAACATAAATAAATCAATAAATTAAAAAAATAGCTAAACTTTTCTACAGATACGTACCTCTTTCAGTAAGTCAGCCCAGGAATTTTGTTGATAGCAAGAAATGGTTATGTGCATAGAGTGAAAACCGTCTACGGTATGAGCTTGATGAATTATACCCCTGGAATAATGAAAAAAGGCAATAATGGTAATATTATATTGACAACAAAAACGTGAGAACTTGGCTCAGAACGAATACCTCGGAAAGTACAACAAATCTCCTGGCTCGAGAACAACGTCAATGAATGGTTCACCTAGAGACTCCTCTTCTTTGCCGAAATCTTTACTTGAGTAACGTGCTAAAACTTCATGAGGATTTCTGGGTTTATACAACTTCCATCGCTTCTTCCCTTCAATTTGTAAAACAAACGCTTCGATATCATCCTGAAAATATTTCCCATTACTAATTATGCATTAAATAAATGGTCGAGACACAAACAAAATGTGAAGAACTTGATTTACAATAACTTACATTACAACCAATCCACCATAATAACCTACAACTATGATTGATAACACTTACCCAATGCGGTGCAAATCCTTGTGCATCAGGTGGTGTTAGATACACATTGGCTCCAACAAATGTTCCAAACATTTCCTGCAATGTATAATTACGAGTACAATCTGAATATTCTTATTCGATGAAACGAAAAACCAATATATCTATCGTCTCACCTGCAATGCTGCATTTAATCTTCGAAGTGGACCACAGTAAGTTTGCGGATTCAACAAACGGATACTATTTCCAGTGCTGTAGTAGTCCCAAAGAGCAGCAGGTCGGACACGATCTTTATATAACAAAAATTTCAAAAATTGTCTCACACGAAGTCAAGTTTAACTTGCAATTGTAGAAATATGTAAATATACTTACGCGACATATCTTCAGAGACAGTAATCCGTTCCCCATTTTCGTAACAAACAACATCAATATTTTTAGTGTATTTGAGAACATTTTTTCTCAACAAGTCGTCGAGCGTGGTTGAAGATAGAATCCAATCATAGTAATTTGGATAAAGTATTCCTCTCTTTATCTGCGATGGGGCAAAGAATATTAATTAAGATATTACCTACCAAATTCGTCTACATATATGTATATTATGCATATGCTAACATAATACTTTAATTATGGATTCAATGAGTATTATTATGAATATACTTACAAGCAGGGAATTTTTCTCCCAAAATTTTTCCATGAAATCAGAAACGCTTTGAGGAAAAATCATCCAGGCAAACAAATCTTTTCCATTTTCGACACTGTCGAATATGACTTTCTGGCTGAGAAGGATGTTCAGGTCTGGAGGTTTGTTGCTATCCGTGCTCCCTTTTTTCCCAAACTTTGTCAAACCTTCAACTGCTGACGACCCTTTAGCAATAACACTATCCGAGCTGGCAGTGTAACTTTTTGAAGCTTTGGTTTTCTTCTTCGTATTAGAACCAATTTTGCAACTGTTCATCTCATCAATTGCCTTCCGTGATGCTACTGGTGGTAATTTAGAACTAGAAGTGGTCGGTTCTTGAATAACAATTTTCTTTTCTCCTACTTTTTTCCCAATGTTCCCATTCGACAGAGGATTAGGAAGAATATTGCTATGAACCTCAACCTTCCTCATTTTTTGTGGTGGTTCTGGTTCTATATTTGAAGAGGTATTTTTCTTCTTTTTTCTATTTCGTCGCTTCTTTTTCTGTTTGGTAGTTTCTCCTTCCTCTTCAGAGAGAGTCTGTGTGGGAGGGAGAGGGGCCATAACGGGCACAGGGATGGGAGTTATTCGCCGTTTAGAGTTGGACACTTGGGTGTCATTTTTGTTCTTCTCAGAAGCAATTGGTTTTGAAGTCTTCGAACTTGTCAAAGATGATGATGGTTGTTCGCTGTTAACTTTATTTCTTTCAATTTTAGACGAGTCGACATCGCCCCCAGCAGCAGAAGCTTCATCTTTCTTCAATTGTTCCAATTTTACTTTCTTCCTCCTCTTACTTTTCTTTCTTAAACTCGCTTGAGTAGATTCAGAAGTATCTTCATAAGACTTGACTCCAGGAATCTGTGCAACGACAGTAATAGAATACACAATAAATAAGTAGTTTATTAGGACTGCGATTTTAGTTGGAGTCTTAATTCTTAACTTACCAAATTATTGTAGACAGCATATGCAGACATTTGAAACCCATCCAAATTTTGTACAGAATTTTTACTTGGACCGCTACTGGCCGTTGTATCGTTTGAAACTTTGTTCTTATTTCCATTCTTAGTGAAGGAGGAACCTCCTCCGCCCGTTTTGGAACTGGATGGGCCCTTCATATTTTCACTTCGTATAAATACCTCAGCACGTCGTGTGTGGGGAGAAACTTAATTTTCCTACGGAAATTTTGATAAAATGCAGGACACTAAATTTTCCAGCAGTCAACAAGAAATTGCGAGCTGCTCTGTGCATGCAGTAGTGAGTGTGAGTGCTGCATTGATATGCACGTGCAATGGTGAAACCGCGCGGGTCTCTGCCAGTTGTTTGTTTGTTTGGAATGAAAATGAAATGATGTAAACGGAAACAGTGAAAAGTGCTGACAAAATTTACTTCAATTCAATTCTGTTTTCGTGATGTCTAGGTTAGTGAAGTAATTAGTGTGCAATTATCTAGAAACAATTTTTGAAACTCATTAACGTATGAATATATAATTTATAATTTCAGGGTTTGAAATTTATCATATTTAAACTTAATTTAGTATATATTTAAAACTTCAAGCATGTTTTAATTTCAGGTGAAAGCTGGAAAATTAATAGTGAATTATTAAAGATGGACAAACCTACTGGGCATCAACCAAGTAGTGTACCAACCGGTACCAGAATGACGTCTGAAACCATACCGTCTTCTGCTGAAGATAAATTAGAAATTAGACAGCCTGCCAAGATAACGATGAATATTCCTACGTTTATGATGCCAAAGATTGCGATTGCAACGTCTCCTGTTCGAACACCACATGTGGACATGGCTAGACAAAGATTGGCACAAGATACGACAGGGACAATGACTCATCATTCTATCAGTGGTATAAATAATATTCCAAAGAGTGTAGCCTCCCCAATAATCGGTGGACCATCAAGTGTGCCACCTGTCTCCGCAGGTATGCCTACACAGGGTACATTTCAAGCACCGCTTATTCAGATGAAATTGGATCCTGGATCATTTCGTTCGGGGGTGAGATCACCATCATTTAGTGATCGCCCTTCGGGTAGCCTCTCTGAGCCGCCGTTAGAAATGATGAACAGATCTATTAGCCAACAACAATTAATTCAACAAACACCTTCTTCCTCTTCTGTTAATGAATTGCCAGTTTCGCGGTCATGTCAAGAAGAAACAACTACTCTTATGACACCGATAACAATGTCATATAAAGCAACAGCCCCTGCTGGTCCTGCTGTAAGTCTTACTATATGCAAACCCAATGCAGATGAACCTTCTTCCAAAAACATAGGCATTCAGCAGCATCATCCTCCTGTAAAGCCAGCAGAGATGTTCAGTAGCAATAATTTAACAAACAATACCACCAGTGCAAGATCTGCAATAAGGCCCCCCACGTCCACAATAATATCTACATATAGCAACGTCACAGCAGTAGGTCCAGTTCAACCTACTCTTGTCAGCGTGTCACCACTACTATTGACCACGCAAACTATACAACTTGATACATCCTTAAATAATAACACCAACTCGACTAAAACATTAGACTATGCGTCATCACTGTTATCATCATCAACGTCAAGTCTAGCTACAACTGTGACTGTAGTGACTGTACCTAATTTCAAACCCCCTGAACAGCATGCACCACAGACGAAAATTCCTGTATCTGCTGCTCTTGTGAGTAATAAAACTATTACACCGGATAAGAATTTAAGCAAACTCAGGGGTCCGAAATGTTTTCGGGAGCCGGAAGAGTCAGAGTCAAAGTTACGAAAAGCTTCTCCGAGTCCTCGTCCATCCGTCCGAGTGTCTGTAGGGCCTTATCAAGTACCAGTAAACATAAAGCGCACTAATATTACAAGGGAGGACATCGCCATGTTGGTTATGCCATCAGAGGATTGGTCATGCAGTGTCTACCCTGCTCCAAATTATAGACAAGAAAAATTTATCTATGTTATTAGCGAAACATTTCTAAACTCTGATCTAGTTGAAATTGTACGAAAATCAATCTCGATTCTTCCCAATTGGGGCATGAAGTTTTCAGTGATGGCAAAGGATATGTCAAGGTTCAATTTGGGTTTGGATGTTTCTGACATTACCGACATTCAAGCAGTTTTAAACAACTTTGATGCATTTCCAGTTTGTAATGGTAGTGGTGGTGAAGGCATCCGAGATTCTAGCAGTCAGTCCGCCGGACTATCAGATATGATGAATGTAACTTTATATTCTGACAGAAAATGTCGTAGTAAACAGTGTCCTTTACTGCTTCTTAATTTCTCAGATACAAAATGTACATCGTGCTTACAGTTATTTAAAGATAATAAAATCTAGGTATAATCTGTCCATATATCATATATCTACATATATTATTGTATAGCTATTTATACGAGTAGTAATAATAAATTGCTAAAAATATAAATGTACACACAGTGTTAAAATTCGATAGATTTTCCTTTAATCGTTGTTCCACCACAAGCTCCTGTTGAAGTAGAAAAGTAGGTGTTGTTGGACGCTTCACGTTGCGCTGTGCTTTCTCCTTCAGGGGGTAGATTTAGCTCCTAACATTAAGTTTACCAAAATTCCCTTCATTTAATCAAACAACAAATAGGTGTACGTAGGTACGTATGCGTGTGTAAGAAAGCTTACATGAAATACGAGACGCTTCTTTTTAAACGAAAATCCCAAGTCTCTCGGAAGATCTACAGGTTTGAGAGAATTTAGAGACGATATTTTCAAAACATCACAAATTCCATCAATGTCCCCAAGGTCTGTTCGTCTCTTTTCATCTGTGACGGCTTGCAAGGATATCACATAATCTGCAAAATGCTCACACCTGCCGATTTTTGTCGTGGGCGATGCCATCTCCGAAATTGTTATCAAAGCGCACGAATTGGTATGTCTTGTAATTGCCTTCAGACCTAACATAAACTTTGGCGACAATACTTGTTCTTCACAATGAGAAAGTCCAATCCTCACAAGATTGGTTGGGAATTTCACTTGTACACCGGTGGCTGGGGTGGAATTATGAGCTGCTGTAGACAGCGGTAATTTAAAGTCATTCACCACTGCCACTATTTCTTGCAAAAGATCCTTGCACGTGGGATCATTTAGAGAATCATAATTATCTTGCACAATTTTGCTGATGGTGACATGTTTTGCTCCCAGATCGGCCGCTGAACTCTTTTTCGTAAAATCAAACTTCGTGATTTCCTTTCCTCCCCCTGTTGTTCCTCCGACGCCCCTCTGCTGCTGATGCCCATAACGCCATGCGATCTTCATATTACTAGGATTCATGATGTTCATCGTCTCATTATTGTCACCACCTGCGTCGTCCTTGATATTCTTATCCGATTGTTTAGACGACGATGAAACCAGTGATGGAAGCTCGTTAACGAGATACTCTTGACAATTTTCTCTGCCAGAGGCTACAAAAATGTGGTGGTTGTAGGATGCACCTTCTGCGATGAACGATTTCAAGACACAGTCGGCATATCGACTAGGAAAGACGTCCTCTGGAAATTTACAAAGAGAAAATTACACATACAGCGACTTACACTTTTTTCTAAAATGAAGCGTGTCGTTAAATGAAAATATCTTACTAATAATGCAAACACAGCCCAGAGGGATGCCCCCTCCGATGAATGAGTCGAGGGATGAAACCCCGGTGGATACGACCTGTTCACCATATCGAAACGTAGAGGAGAAAGTTCCAGGAATTCGGACTGACGAACTTCGACTAATTATTCCCGACCCTTTGCTAATTATTATGGGTGGGTTCGGAGTGGACATTTTTTATGACCTGTATTTTGTTTAATTCTCACAGCAATGTGCAATCCATGGATTGAATATCTGATGAGATGAAACTTTATGCAGATAAAAACCAACTTCACCAATTTACTGACATAACTTTGTAATACGTTAAACCAATGGTTTACAAAAGATAGTTGTATTTTTATTTCTATCTAAAAGTAGAAATAAAATGCAAATAATTTGCAAGTCGTGCAAGTGAAAAAATCAAATGAAACACCGCCATGGGACTGTGCCTAATGCGATGATCGTTCAATCTTGGTGCATGCAAGTCTCTGATGACATAAATAATATCAAATTGTAAACCAAATTTTATATTTGTTGATCGAATGCAATATTTATACTTTAACAAGCAATACTGCCCTATGTTTTACATAGGTAATAATGAAATCAATATGCTTCCTCCTAATGAAAAATTACTAGAAAGTACTATTTTTTGTCATAATCTACTCTGGTAATTATTTCAACTGTTTGCTGAAGAATTTATGAGTCAGAGTCAAAGCTTCATCAACACGTTTCCTGTTCAACTCATCCTCCATGTTTCCACGAGCGGCACAAAACCCATGCGGCACGTCCACAAAGCGGTGATGACCACTCCCATCCTCACCAAATCTTGCTTTCACTTTTTCATAAAAGGGAACCTGTTGGAATAACATAAACATATAACTAATTATATATATATATTTATAAATACGTGCAGTATTTGGGGACAAACCATGTCAGCATCACCGCTAGCGGGGAGAACAAGGACCGGAGTCATGACTCGGTCCCCATCTTCGTCCTTAACAAGCGATGGATGTATCAATGCGATTGCTTTGATGTCACTGGAATATTCACAGGAAGCCGAGACGCACATCAGAGCACCCCAACAAAACCCAAACATTCCAATTTGTCCTACCCCTTGCCCCCTGTAATGCTCGAAAAGTTTGCAAAGGTCGCCTTTCACGACTTTCTCCCAGGAGCCACTCGTCGTCACAAAATCCACGAGGACTTGCCGGCTAAGTATGCAAACGTTACACTTTGAAGGATTTCGAATCTCAAGCCAACCTACTACCCAAATCGTGCATGTACATATATTCATACTTACTCTTTTGGTGGATAGGTTTCAGAAGGAAATGGTTTTCCTCTAAAAAAATCTGGCATAACTACTCGAAAGCCAGAGGAGCTCAACTTGTCGCAGAATTGCTTCGTGACTGGGTGGAATCCAAAAATGTCGTATAAACAAATTAGCAACTTGTAGCTTTTGGTATCTCCAGTCTCATACACTGAGAAATCTTCCAGTTGGACGTTAGAACCTGTGGGGGTGTAATTCGACTCCACTGGGGGAAGGGTGCAACACGATGTTGGAAAATACATCGCCAGGCTGTTAGATTTGTCTAAGCTTTCTTTAAATTGAACACAACGTTATAATGCAAATACGCGCTGCAGTACAGGTACTACAGATGATCAAGACAATTGCAAACGAGTGCTCTCAGCTTAATAAAAGCTAGTGTTATAAAGCTGCCACTCATAAAAAAACGTCCAGATCATTATATACTGAATTCATTAAACTTCATTAATGATGAATCATCATCAGTGACATAGGAAATCGTCCACAAATTGTGATGTCCAAAACCATGCAAGGGTGATGCACCATCCACATTGGCACGTGTACCAGATTCAAAAATGCACTTGTGCTACACATAAACCGGGCCGGGTTGTTTATTTTACAGCTAATAAAAAGTTTTTTTTTAAACAAATTTGCAGTAAATTGCAAATTGAATCTATTTCTTATGGAAGAGAAAGTGTAGGGATTAATCAGTTCACGTGTCTCCCTCCATTATCTCCAGCAGGTTGTCTTCTAGTCTGGTCAAAAAGACAGGCTAAATTAATTATAAAACGTAATTTTAGAAAAATACACTAATATTACATGCAATGTATATTATATTATTTGTTTGTTGTTATTTTTTGTGCGAAAAATAGAGATAATACAAGAATATGTCCATTTGTGATGATATCAGCGAATTTTTGGTACGTGTCTCTCAAAAATAATTTATTAGTAATTTCAACCATTCCCTGCAAGTATAATTCATAATTGTTTAATTATCTGCAATAGGATTTGCTGAAGACGTTGAGATTTGTTGATGACAAACTGGTCAATCGTCTCAATACCACAATACCCACAGAATCGTTCTCTGCCAAAGTAGACGCTCAAGTCAATTGCAAGGATTTATTCCTCCAGGTACTTAATTAACTATTTACCTAAAAAACACACACATACATCTCAATAATTTGCATCCCAATTGTTCACAATATAACCTTCCAGCTTGGTATTATTTTCAGCTCGTCGCAAGTCACGCCAATCGCAACCAAGCACTAGGACAATGTTTAACTCTATCCTCTGAGAAATTACAAAACTTTAAAGAACAGAAAAAGTCAAATCCAAATGACCTTAAAAATTTAAGGCTGCTTCGTACTGAACAAACAAAGGTATGAGTTAGAGATACTAAGAAATTGGGTATTGCGTCGCCTCATAAATGTATTTGCTATATTTAATTTTTGAACTCTTCCAGTTCAGAGAACTTCAAACCCAGATGAATGTCGAAGAGGTTATTCAGGAGAGAAGCTTAAGAATTTATCACGAACGATGTCGGGCTTTCTACAAACCGGGAGACAATTGACTATAAAACACTCACTCATGTAGCGAAACCTGGCATTGTGTTCACCTTTGTGCATGCATTCATAAGTGCTACGACCATATAGTGCCAGTCCAGATTTTATAATAATCTAATTAATAGTCGTGATTCATGATCATGTAGTACTGCTAGTTGTTACTAATAATAAAATGAAAAGACTGTTCTTTTGACACTTCTCGTAAATCTCCCATGTTGCTTTTTGCTATACCGAAAAATACCACGAGCACAATACAGTGATTCGCATACTTGTTTGTACATATTACTGCATAGCACATAGAGTGTAAATATTTGCCTCGCTCTTCGGGTTCTTTTCCAACTCATTTCATTTCGCCAGAAGAGGATGTCATTCAACGTCAGTCAACGTTTTTTATAAAAATTCCCAATTAAATTATTATAATTAAAATAGAGCAGAACACTTTAGGATAAGGGGCAATTTTAATTTACTCGCAGATAGGCTAGTTAAATAGTGTTCCTTTAAATAATAATTGAGAATTTTTTTATACGAAACATATTTATCTAACATCCATCACACGTGGCTTTCGCCTTGGTCGGCACAGCAGGTCTAACATTATTGATTCAAGATTTTATTTTGGGCAATTATAAAACTTCATATAACAATTTGCATTTTTTTCAGTTTCGCACAAAACATCCAAAAACATTGCATAGGAATGTCTCTCTATGAGGAGTTTTGTATTTCTTCTAACGGCATTTCTTCAAAGAACAATGACGATTTCGACTTATTTCCCTTTGGCAAGATTAACCTGGACAATGTTGCAAAATGTTTGGGTCATGACTTTGATAACGAACCTTTCATGTTTGACAATTTGTTGGACGTCCACACGATTCATCAGAATGGCATTGCGTCTAAAACTGAACACGAGAAAGTGGAAGACTTGTTCCGTGCAAACTACAATCAAGAACTACATAATAATGTCGACAATAAAAATGTCGCCAATTCCTCGTCGAGCATCGCCAACGGATCTGCTCAGTCAGAGAGCGTCGCCTGGGACCGGACACACTTGTTGAACCTTGTTGGGAACGAGGATGTCCTTGACGCCGTCATTGGAACAATTGACACTGACAAATCCAACGATGAAATACAGGAACACCTATTTGATTTACTGGGATTTGATCAGTTGGAGCTCATCATGTCAATTTTAACCAATCGGGACACCATCATGAAGCAGTTGCATAAAAGTGAAGCTATATCACAGGCAGTTAGAAATCATATGAAAAACACCAACTCTACTCAATCACATCCAGTTATTGGGGTTAAGGTGAGGTACACTATTATCTATTCAATATAATCAAAGTACCCCTCTAATTACTCTTTATGTTACTCTTTAGGTGCAATCAGCAGAAGAGAAATATTTGGAAAAAGTTTACAGAAAGGAAGAAAAGAAAGCCATCAAACGTGGAGAAGGACCAAATGGACATTTGGCGCAAGAGGCAGAAGTTCAAGTTGGCAAATCAATGCACAGCAAGATCCAGAAAGCTACTTCCAGATATGGAACTGGTGGATATTCGTCTGAATTTTCTCCAGGAGATTTGCCCAATGTGTTTGACAGTTATGCTGCTGCGAAGCAAACTGCTGGATTCATTTCAGGTGTGAAGATGGTTCTTCCGGAGAATGCAACTAGAAAGGATAAGCAGGAATGTGAAGAAGTATCAATACCGGCCGTAAAGGCGACATTACCAGAACACATTGCACAGAAACCTTTAATCCAAATATCCTCGTTGGATGGCTTAGCGCAGAAAGTATTCAAAGGAATGAAATGTCTCAACCGAATCCAGTCAATTGTTTATGAAACTGCTATAGGGTAATATGCCGCACATCGAACTTTATTAGTTTACTCGTTGCTTATAATTTATAAACGGTGCACTATTTCTTATTAATTACTACTTGATTCGATTTCATACCACAGCACCAATGAAAACTTGCTCATTTGTGCACCAACCGGAGCTGGAAAAACCAATATTGCCTTACTTACCGTCCTTCACTGTATTCAGGATCATATCGAAGATGGTATTATAAGAAAGGACCAGTTTAAGGTTAGTCATTTAGACTTTGATCCTATTCATCGAAATCAAGTCGGTATTACATAGGCTATTTTACTCTCAGATAGTATATGTGGCTCCAATGAAGGCTTTAGCTGCTGAAATGACTGCCAATTTCTCAAAACGATTATCTCCCCTTGGAGTACAAGTTAGGGAACTGACTGGGGACATGCAATTAACCAAGATGGAAATATCACAAACCCAAATGTTGGTGACAACTCCAGAAAAGGTATGTTAGGTGATCGAGATTACAAAAAGTATTCAATACACTTTGAAGTAGTCCACCTCAACTTTTAATAAAAATATAGTGGGACGTCGTAACCCGAAAATCTACAGGAGATGTAGCTTTAACTCAGATTGTCAAGTTGCTCATCATAGACGAAGTTCACCTCTTGCATGGTAAGAAAAAAAAACATTTGGAGAATTATGCCATAATAGTTAACAATGAATAATGTTAGGATATTGATATTTTGTTCCAGGGGATCGAGGACCGGGTGAGTCGATCAACTTGGTCGAACCAAGGATAATTAATTACTTCTATTAGTCGAATTATCCAAACTTACTTACCATAACCTTACTTACTACGCACTTTTTCAATAGTGGTCGAATCTTTGGTAGCTCGGACATTAAGACAGGTTCATTATTATGCGCACTTAAAAAAAGTCTTTAATATTCTTGGTATTATCGTAATTGCTTATAATAATATGGTTCACTATAGGTCGAATCTTCGCAAAGGATGATACGAATAGTTGGGTTATCCGCAACTTTGCCCAATTACGTAGACGTTGCTCGATTTTTAAGAGTTAGTTTGCGAGTTGGACTATTCTACTTTGACCACCGATTCCGTCCGGTACCATTAGGACAAACGTTCATTGGTGTCAAATCTTTAAGCATTCTAGAACAACAGAGGCAAATGGATGTGTGCTGTTACGACAAAGTATTTGAAAAAGTTACAAAAAAACATCAGGTACTGCTTTAATATAAAATTTTGTCTGGGGACTATTGTGAATGTTGAAATATATATATTTTGTACTATAGGTCATGGTATTTGTACATGGTAAGTACATCAATTTGAGATAGGGTCAACATAAATACTGATTATATTTGCCATTACAATAAATTGCCTATTTACAATATGCATATTGATATGTGATCTTCTCGTATTTTTGTTGTTTAGCAAGAAACGCAACCGTAAAAACTGCTGAAAATCTGATTGAACAAGCCTCCAGATATGGCCAGTTAGAAATATTCCAAGTGAAACCTGGTGATGAAACCGGAAGAAGTGATTATGGGAAAGCTCTCAAATCATTGGAAAGATCTAGAAATAAGAAGTTGGCCGAGTTGTTTGTCAACGGATTTGCCGTACATCATGCCGGACTCCTCAGAAGTGATAGGTAAATAAAACAAAATCCAAGTGTCGTGACGTGTTGCAGTTTTAATCAGTTAAAAAGGAGTGTATTTATTTATTGACTTATTTATTATTTAAATCTTTTCAGATCGTTAATTGAAAAGTTATTTAGTGATGGATTGGTGCGAGTTTTAGTTTGTACTGCTACACTAGCATGGGGAGTCAATCTTCCAGCCCACGCCGTTATCATTAAGGTACACATGTTAATAGATTAATTTGGAATAGCTGCATTTTCTGTATAAAAGATATATGTCTATGGTACAGGGAACCGAAATCTACGATGCAAAACAAGGTAATTTTGTGGACCTAGGAATTTTGGATGTTCTGCAAATCTTTGGACGAGCTGGACGACCTCAATTTGACACTGAGGGAGATGGCACAATAATTACCACTCACGACAAACTTGCGCATTATTTATCTCTATTAACTAATCAATACCCGATTGAGAGTAGCTTTATCAAGTTCCTGGCGGACAATCTAAATGCTGAGGTATACTTTCTCTATTCCCAGACTACTAATAAAATAATTGTTGTTTTCAGAGTGTGGACATGATATTATATCACAAGAATTGTTACGTTGTTGTTCGTATATATAGATTGCCTTAGGGTCTGTTACTAATATTGATGAAGCAACAGAGTGGCTTACCTACACGTATCTTTATGTTCGAATGAGACGGAACCCTCAGTTATATGGTCTACAATATATGGAAGCTAACGTAAGAATGCCTTTCAAAATAATAAAGCCACAACATACAATATCGCCAACACCGATATATTATTATGTATAACACATCACCCACAGGATGATCCATTGTTGACCATCAGGAGAAAGGAGCTGATTTTGGACGCTGCAAAGAATTTGGAAAAAGCTCAAATGATAAGATTGGGGGATCGAACAGAGTATTTACATTCAACAGGTTTTTCACTACGTTTATGCTGATTTATTTTTACTAGCTAATATTATGTAGCATTGCTGATATATTTTTATGTACACAGATCTTGGAAGAACGGCCAGTCATTTTTACATCAAATATGACACGATAGAAACTTTCAACGAAACTATGTGTGCTATAATGAGTCACGATCAAATCTTGATGATGATTTCCAAAGCTAGTGAATTTGAACAAATTAAAGTCCGAGATGATGAGCTTGACGAATTAGATGAGTTAACCGAAAAGTACTGCTATCTCAAAGTTTGGGGAGGATCGGAAAATATACATGGAAAAGTCAACATCCTCATTCAGACCTATATCTCCAAAGGATTTTTGAAGAGCTTCTCGTTGATGTCTGATACACAGTATATAATTCAAGTAAAGCTATAATTATACCCCCGTTTAAATGATTTTGTATTATTGAATGCTGATTCTATTAATAATAACCATTTTGATTTATACTTTAGAATGCAGTCCGTATTTGCAGGGCATTTTTTGAAATGGTTTTAAGACAAAATAATCCATTACTTGCCGCAAGACTCCTCGATTTCAGCAAGATGATAGACCAACAACTTTGGAACGATTCCCACCCACTTCGACAGCACAAGTTCTTGAGTTTTGAAATTCTCGAAAAGCTCGAAAAAAAGAAAGTCCGCCTTGATTTTCTGAGAGAAACGTCTGCTAATGACATTGGAGCGCTAATTACTCATATGAAAATGGGTACAACAGTGAAACGGTGTGCTGAAGAATTTCCATTGCTTAATATCGAGTTTACAATTCAACCGTACGTACACATACCGTCCTTTAGACATACAATGTATGCCCATTTGCTGATAAATTAAATATTTTTTGTACAGTATCACCCGAAATGTGCTCAGGATTAAACTATTCATTGAACCATCATTTAAATGGAATGACAGGTACATATATTTATTCAAACGTAATATACATGTATCGTTTCGTATTTTCATTTAGTTTCGTGCTTAAATTGATGTATTAAAAGCTACATATGTATATAGATTTCATGGAAATGTTTCTGAAAGCTTCTGGATTTGGGTCGAAAATCCAGATGAGAATAATATCTTACATCATGAATACTTCTTAATTTCCAGAAAACAGGCAATGAAAAAAGACTCTTTTAAACTATTTTGTTTATGTAGTATACAAGTTGTGAACATGCTTGACTTTTGTTTATGTAGGTCTTGAAGAACGAAACTCAGGAACTTGTGTTCACAATTCCTGTGGCAGAACCATTGCCAACCCAATATCACATTCGAGTGATATCTGATCGATGGCTTGCTTGTGATAATTTGGTGCCAGTCTCGTTCCGACATTTAATTCTTCCGGAAGACCATCCACCAAACACGGATTTGTTAGACTTGGATCCATTGCCAGTTTCGGCTCTGAAAGATATCCAATTTGAACTGTTGTATTCCGACAAGTTCTCCTACTTTAATCCAATTCAAACCCAAATTTTCCATTGCTTGTTTCATACGGATGCAAACTGTTTAGTTGGCGTAAGTTTTTGCAGTTTATCGTGGTACCATAAAGGTTAATTTAAGGTTAAATTCCATATCAGGAGTCTATATAATGTAAAATATATTCTATAATGCACAGGCCCCCACAGGTTCTGGCAAGACAATTGCTGCTGAAATGGCGATGTTTAGAACGTTCAAGGTTTATCCAAAGTCAAAAGTAAGTAAATCAAATATTAGTTTTATTTAGTTTATTTACTGTTGGATACTTTAATATACACGTAACTTGCAGGTCGTTTACATAGCCCCTCTGAAAGCCTTGGTAAGAGAACGAGTTATTGATTGGAGGGAGAGGCTTCAAGGACGTCTTGGGCGCAAAGTAGTTGAATTAACGGGTGATGTAACTCCGGATATGAGAGCAATAATGGAAGCAGATGTCATTGTAACTACCCCTGAAAAGTGGGATGGTGTCAGCAGAAGTTGGCAAACGAGAAGTTATGTTCAGGCAAGATCTTCTTGGAGTAGAATGTTATTCGCTATTGATATTTGGTTAATATTAATTTTGCTCTCTTCAGGCTGTAAGCTTAATAATTATTGACGAAATTCACTTATTGGGAGAAGATAGAGGTCCAGTTCTCGAAGTTATTGGTAAGCACAAGTCAGACTGTTAAAAACCGATCAATGTGTGAATTAATTAAGGATAATTTCCACGGCTTTTACTTAGTTTCAAGAACGAATTACATTAGTCAACATACTCAGAGAAACTTAAGAATTATCGGACTATCAACTGCTCTTGCCAATGCCAAAGGTAAGTGAGAAAGAGGAAATACAATGCTTGACCAAATCTTCTGAATACAAAAATAATGAAAAATTCGTGTTGTAGATCTTGCAGACTGGCTTGGAATTAAAGGAAAGATGGGGCTTTACAATTTCCGGCCCTCTGTTAGGCCAGTCCCAATTGAAGTTCACGTTCAAGGATTTCATGGAAAGCATTATTGTCCCAGAATGGCTACAATGAATAAGCCAACTTACCAAGTAAAAATAATTATACAAGTTGCTGACAACCTCAAGAAGTATGTGTGAATATATAATATCAATCACTTAATAAAAATGTTTTCGGTTCTATAGGCAATTCGAGAACATTCGCCGGCGAAACCAGTTCTTGTGTTTGTTTCTTCTCGTCGTCAAACCCGGTTAACCGCTTTAGATTTAATTGCCTATCTTGCCGCAGAAGGCAATCCAAAGCAATGGCTTCACTTGGACGAAACCCAAATGGATCATATTATTTCTGGAATTAAAGAACCAAATTTAAAGCTGACGCTTTCGTTCGGAATTGGGATTCACCACGCTGGATTACAAGATCACGATAGGAAAGTTGTAGAAGAATTGTTTGTTAATCAGAAAATACAAGTACGACTTACAACTCTTTATTTCATTTAGCTATATTTTATTATATAATATTTCGATACTTTTGGCATAAACTAATATTTGTTGCTGATTCAGGTCCTCGTAGCTACTGCAACGCTTGCTTGGGGTGTAAATTTTCCAGCACACCTTGTTGTGATTAAAGGGACGGAGTATTACGACGGGAAATCTCATCGCTATGTGGACATGCCTATAACGGATGTCTTGCAAATGATGGGACGGGCCGGAAGGCCACAATTCGATACCAGTGGCACCGCCATGGTCTTTGTTCATGATCAAAAGAAGAGTTTCTACAAGAAATTTCTTTACGAGCCATTCCCCGTTGAAAGTTCTTTGTTGGATGTCATGCCTGACCATCTGAACGCTGAAATTGTGGCAGGGACTATTTCCAGTACCCAAGAAGCTCTCGATTATTTGACCTACACTTACTTTTTCCGAAGATTGGTCCAAAATCCGTCTTACTACAAGTTAGACAACTGTGAACCTAATGCTGTCAATAAGTTTTTGTCCAAAGTGGTAGCCGACTCCTTTAAAGTATTGGAATCAGCATCATGCATATTTGTTCATGATGTAAGTCCGAAACAAATTCCTTGCTTCTCTGTAAAATGCTAACAATTTCATGTTACAACGATTCTAATATATCTTGTAGGATCTCCGAACGGTGGAACCTACTTCTTTCGGACGAATTTCATCCTATTATTATTTATCACATGAAACTATGCAACTATTCAAAGATGCTCTGCGTTCTAATTTTTCATACAAAGAATTAATGTTGGTTTTAACGGATGCCCATGAATACGCTCAGTTACCAGTTCGGCACAATGAAGATTTGTTAAATGAGGAGCTGGCGAAAGGATGTCCGGTTGAAGTTTTAGCTGGGACGTACAATTCTCCACATACAAAGGCACATCTGTTACTTCAGTGTCATTTTTCACGACTGCAACTGCCTTCTTCTGATTATTACACGGATCTAAAATCTGTTTTAGACCAGTCAATTCGAATCTTACAAGTAATAGCTATTTTTAGAAATAAGAATTTTTAGTAATTTTTTAGTATTTTGCAAATATTTTTTCTTAACTTTATTTTGTTTGGATTTAGGCAATGATAGATTCATGTGCCGAAACCGGGTGGCTTTCACCGACTCTTTCATGCATCAATTTAATTCAAATGATTGTTCAGGCTCGCTGGATTGACGTACGTCTTTTGACATCCCCACTATAGATTGTATTGTATCGATTTCTGAATGCCTTTCTCGATTTTTAATATCATTTAACCTTATTCTAGGACGATGATTTCCTGTGTCTACCGTTTGTTCAAGAAGAGGACGTCTTTTCCATCGTGGAGAAATTTAATGTAGACACTTTGCCTTTGCTGCAATTGAAGACGAAAAACAATCTTGCCACGTTGGAAAAATGTCTCTTGCCGACTATGGAAGCATTCAAAGTAGAAATGGTAAGTATATCAAGACAACACTAACTACCTTACGTTTTTTGGTCATTCCTAGCCTTCCAGTAAGAATATCACACAATTATTTATTCTTATTAGATTTGTAAGGTGCTTGAGGAACTTCCAGTAATTAGCATCACAGCAACAGCTCATTATGACGACGTCCATGTTCTTATTCCCTTATCTAACCGACAAACCAATGAGTGGACAGATCTACCTGCTGGGAAAGATATGACTTTAATATTTTCTCTGACGAGAGAAAACAAGTCTGGTAAAGATATGAAGGCATTTGCCCCAAAATTTCCTAAGGTAATAAATTCAATAGCTTAGAATAGCGTAACTTACCCAGCAGGGTCGAGCTAAGATCAGAAAACTTAATCCTTTTCTCCCTCTTTATTGACAGTCAAAAGACGAAGGGTGGTTTCTAGTTCTTGGTGACGTGGAGAAAAAAGAAGTTGTGGCCTTAAAACGAACTGGAGGAATTAAAAGGAATTGCCAGCAAAAATTAGCCATTACAACTCCAGAAGTAGAAGGTAAAGCTGGTTGATGTTATGACACATTTTAAAATTGAAATGATGAATGATTGAGATGATAAATATTGATTACTTAATGGTTCTAGGGAGGATAATCTACCATTTGTATCTAATGTCCGACTGCTACTTAGGACTGGACTTGCAATACCAATTATTTCTGAACATTACAGCTAGCAATAATATTTCTAAATTTGGGAATGGTGATATGACAGAGTTGTAGCAGAGCATCGCTAGTATTTTTTTAAAGATTTACTTCCGCGTAGATTTATACTCGAAACATGTATTGCCTTATAAGTTTGAAAATATTGCCAAATTGATTATGTATTTCCTACCCTTAGCTTTCTTACAAGATTGATCTGTTATGGTTGTTATTAATAGCTATAAACTCTCGTCCGTTTGCGTGATTCTGGACATTATCAAATCCATTTTCGCCAGTACTCCAGAGAGGGACCCCTCCATTGTTGTGATCCTTTCATCCAGTCTGAAATTATAATAAATATCCCATAAACATGAACAATTTCATATTTTTGGAAATACAAGAAATAGTACTGTTCAATCTCATTGACTGATATTCCAAGAGTGTTTTGGTCCCCAGTCGTTCGAGGTGACCGTTTTTGTATTGAAAGCCTGACCGAGTTCCTTCCTGCACGCCGTTCTTCGACAATGGTTCCTCTTTGCATCCGAGTTATCAGTCGTTCTGTTTCTTCATAATCCAAAGCATGGTCATCAGTCAACTCATACCGTTCCATGAATAAGTCAACCTCTGTTTCTGAAAATTGTGCTCTTTGGGGAAATATATGACAACTTTGTATTACAATAAGTTTAACAGGCGTTTTTGCTCTTCATAACTAAAACATCAAGCATAAATGCATAAATAACCTGATAAGATGTTGCCTGAGTTCATCTGGTGTGATTTTTCCATTGTCCAAACTATCTGCCATCATCAGTGGTTTTTCAGTAATCAATGTATTTCTGGTAATGGCAGCTCCAACTCGTCTAACTTTTTGCTCCACATAGTCGGTTATCTGAAATTCATTTCCTTTGGACTGGATTTCCACATGGACTTTACTATAAGTATCGTTAATGATTGCTGTCATCAACAAAGTAACAAATTATTTTATTTATAAGAAATTAGCATGTCCTAGTGGATGTATTTATGCATGTATCTGTACTGTATTACTATTTAGTCTATTTGTTTACCTAAAAACATATTGAGGAGGACGAAAAAGACGAAGAAGACATAGGCCAAGAAATAAATTGGTCCTAGGACTCTGTTGGCAGTTTCAATTTCAGCAAAATTAAAGTCTCCTAGTATCAGTCGTGCCAAGGTAAAAATTGCGCTATAAACGGTACTGAAACCTTCAACCTGGAAGGTATCCAAATGTATTTATGAATGTATGCAGAAAATAAATATGTCAATATGTAGATTATGATGAGGCCAAAAGTATTGAGGATTTTATTTTTATGGGTGATTTACCTGAGATCCAAACAGCAGATATCCAAGTTGTGCAAATGCTATGAAAACTATGCAAAACAAAATAGAGAACCCAGCAATGTGTTTTGCACACTGAAAAGTTTATACAATTTTATATTTAATCTTAGGGATGAACATCCTAAATAATTCTAGGAAACGACTTACCCGTGATAAAGTAATTGAAAGTTGAGACATTGTCGCATTAAAAGAAATGTACTTAAAAATTTTGATCCATGCAAAAATCAGACAGGTTGCAGCAATGTTCCAAAATTGTGTTTCCCAAAATGCGAGGTAGTCAAAGTCGGAAAAATCATTCTTTTGCCGTATAAGAAGGTGTATTGTGCTCTGTATGAGTAGATATTTGTATATGCTGAACCCAATCCCACAATATGAAAGCTACACGATGTAAAAATAGGGAAATTAACTACGTATTGTATCTCGAATAAATTTGAATGTCGTGTATGTACATATGTCTGTATGTTACGCTCAAAATAAGAATATCCAGGTATGACCAAGGATCACTGAGGTATTCCAAGGGTCCAAGACTGAACAGCTCAATTAGTTCTTGCAGTGTGTAGTAAAAGGTGAAAAGTATGAAACAGATTTCGCATCCGAAAATCACAAAGTCAAGCGTGCTGACGTAGTTGAACAGTCGCACGGCATGAATACTCGAGGAAGTTATAAGTCCTCCAGCCACAGAAAATTCCCAAGCTAGTCTATTCATCACACAAAATAGGTCAATAGAAATATGTAGGTTTTTTGGATTAATAAAACCAGCAAAATGAATGTGAATGACAAAATCATACTTTACGACGCAAAACATGTTAAGGTTAGAGTTGTAAACTGTAAAGTCTAAAAATATGACTCGAGTCGATCTCTTGACCCACAAATTTTGTTTCAAGTCTTGGATGATCTTCAATGTTGGAGCTTGTTTTTTGTCAAGAAGTTGATACACGCCTGATCCACTGTAGGTTGCGAGTTTTCCCCAATAAGAACCCCCTTTCAAAGTCTCCTCCGAGTGGTACTCCCATCTGAACTCCCGTCGAAAACGTCATCCTCAAATAATTAAGAAAATATAGGGTTGGTTTAATTAAGTGTCTCACGCTGGTCCATTGAGGCTAGAATCGTAACGTCCTGTGTCCTCGTGCCGGCTTGCATATTCTGGGTAGCATTTTCCCTGCGCAGATCTCACCAGATGATCCACCGAACAATTTATTGGTTTGACACGAATCTAAAACTCATAATCTTCATCGTTTGCTGAATTGTTAGAATAAAATAATAATATAAAAATAACATTCGGCACCTGTCTCAATCTTGGCAATCCCACAAGCCTGTTTTCATACAAAATGCCCTGGTCCTGTGGATGGACTTCCTTGTGAATCATTGGATCGTCGTACCACTGCTCCCAGTACAGACCGTTGGGCATTGTAGTTTCAGCAAACTTGGGAAACAGAAATAAAAACTTAATAAAAATCTACATTTAGGAAGGTCTGATTTGGATACCTTCCAGAAATCTTTGATATTGCAGGATGTTCTAAATGTAGTTTTTGCTTCATCGTTGAAAGGAGTGTCGAGAAAGAGGTCCGAAAGGACTCTGGTGTAATAATAGGCAGTTGTTGAGACGGAGCCGAAAACAACTGAAAAATAAAGTTCTTAATCCTCGTATTTGTTGTAATTATATTTTTGTGCTACTCACTAAAGCAGAAGATGGATAGATAAATGATGTACACAACTAACTCCACGAGTGTCGTGCGAATATAGGCTTCTCTACTTGCGCCAACTTTTGAGACCAGTTGTCTTGTACCGAAACATCCTGTAATCTCATGTCTGTTGTTAAAAATTTTTAATGCTGGGTACGAAAAGATTCGTGTACATATGTGTATGAACCTATGCAGCAGGTCTTGAACCCATTCTTCATGGGCCTTGGCTGTGGTTTTGGTTTATTATGAGGCACTAATTCGTAGCTTGTGTATGGCGACGGGGGAAGGACAATGTCTTCTGGTCGTTGGACAGAAACTTTCTTTTGCTCACCAATAACTGAACTTGAGGATGACTCGAGGGGGACATTTTCCTCGTCTTCATCATTAACTGACTGTTGGGACGAGTTAGTTTCTTGTAGAAATCTAATTTCTTCCAATATTGTAGCCATTGCACAATATTAACCTTTTGTTTTTGTTCAATATTTTGCAAATTTGTAAATTAAATCGAGAGCTTCACTGACTAATTTTATTTAAGACTTTTTAATGTATTTTTAACATATTTCATATATCGTGTAGTTTCCCTTAGCTTCGAGCATCTCCATGAATGAATGTTTTGACTTTTATTGGTCTCATAAAATTTCGAATATGGAATTCAGCTGCATATTTAGGTACATAGATTTCTTATACCTGGCTCATAGCATAAGCATTAAATTAACTACCTATTTATCATATTTATAAAACCCACTTCCTAATGAACGTCGTTTAGGAGCATTATTTTGATTGTTGATAATGTTGGCATTCTTTTGACCTTCAATTTGTAACTCGATTATTGTAAGGAACTTTTCGATTTTTGGTACCAGTTCCACAACAGTAGATTCAATCACACCCACACGTTCAGTTAACCTGTAACGCAGATAGAGACTTAAATATATTGTGTCAATTAATAAAACGATCAATCAATTAAAAAATCTTGTTGTACATTTCAGCATGAGCTTTCTCCAACAATTTTGATTGCTTTATATTTGTCACAGTGGGCAATGGGTTATCATCAGGATGGCGTTTTCTTATTTGCTCGAATAATTCAGTTTTGGCAATGTAAGTATTGTATATGATGTCGGTAAGTAGTTTGTGAGCCTCGTTTCCATCCAATGCATCATTTTCAGCAATATTGAATCTTTCCATGAACATTTCAATATCTACGTTCGAAAAGTATTTCCTGCAGAAAAATCAAGCAGTTTGCATAAATTAGATATGTAGACTTTCTCTAATTCCCAATCTCTTCCGGTATGCTTACTTCCGGTATTCTAAGTAATCCTTGATTTCAGATGGATCAATGCAAATTTCTTTCATGTCTTGAAAAGCACGAGTCTTTTCACTTTTTCTTTGTGCACATGAAGAAGATAAGCAAGCAACACAGTCCTCGTCTGTGGCGTCGGGATCTACCGGCTTTTTGCTCATCTCTGCTTTCTCCTCTTGTGCGCATTCATGATAGCTGTCATTGATTATGGCTAAAATAAAGTAATATTCTTGTGATCTTAATATTATCACCCATGCAAATAATTTTGAATGTTGTACCCAGAAACATGTTGACTAATATGATGAAAACAAAAACTATAAATGTCAAGAAGAATGTAGGCCCAAGGAAGCGATTGGCATTTGAAACTTTTGAGAAGTCAAACTGCCCTAAAATGAACCTCCACAAGGTAAAAACCGAAAGTGGAAATGTTCTAAAAGCCAACACCTGAGAAAAGTTAATACAAGGCAGCATTATTTAATGAATTAGCAAAATTGGGTTACAAATGAAATGTGTTAACCTGTTGTCCAAATACAATGTGACCAAGTTGTGCGAAAGCGAGTAAAATTATGAGAAAAATTATAGAAAATCCTCCGATATTCTTTGCGCACTGAATCGTAAGGAAGATGATACCGAGGTGAGAATTATAAAATTTGTCAAGTCCTCGTGTACACAAAAAATGGAAACTTACCCTGCTTAAAGTCTCCACAATACGCGATATGTTTCCACTAAATGACAAGTATTTAAAAAGCTTGATCCATACAAGCAATGTTAAAAGGGCGGAACTATTTTTGTATATTGTCTCCAATTGAACCAAGTGATGAATGTCAATAAACTGGTTTCCTGTGATCGAGAGTTCCGACACGACAAAATTGAGACTAAAGTATCGATACAAGCTGCAAGCAATGCAGGAACAAGATAGCTGTCGAAATAGATAATGTTTTACAATTAGTATAATTAATACTTTTACAACAAGATTAAAATTTTGTATCTTGTCTTTGATATCATTTTATATCTATTATAACAGAACGTCTACAAATAATTTCTTACGGCAAATATCAATAGTGTAATGTAGGTCCACATTCTCGTCAAATATTTTTTAAATCCAAGAAAAAACCAAGTTATCACTTCTTCGATGAAAACGCAAGCAGTCAAGAAAATAAATACAATTTCAAAGACGAACACCAGTTTTTCAAAGAAAGTAGAGTACAGGGTCAGTTTGGCCGTTTCAATATCCCACGAAGTGGTCACTCCTCCCGTGATTGGAATCTCCCAAGCTAACCTATGAACACAAAATGTGATACAAATATTTAAAAATCTGTTTTTATTTCGCGATCTTGTAAAAATGTGTACTGTTTCTCGAACCGAATAGATGAAAACACGTTGATATTTGGATTGAATAATGAAAATTCCAGAAAAACGACTCGAGTGCCTCGAGTAATCCATAAGTAATCTTTTAGTTGCGACAAGATGGTTTGGGCGACGGTTTTATTGTCAGAAGGCAATAACACCGTGTAACCAGCCCCACTATAAGTACCAAGGGATCCCCAGTATTCGCCGCTAGATGATTTATCTTCGTTGAAATAATCTCCCCTGTGAATTTGTAACAGATACTAGAAAATATATGATAAATAATAATTAATTAATGGACAAACCCTTCGATATCGCCAACATTCAATTTCGTCCCATCTTCATGATTTCGTAAATATGTTGGATAGCAAATTCTGGACAGAAGTGGAACAAGAGTAGATATTGGACATACGCTTTGCACCACGCGAATCTATGCAAATCCTAATTTTTGGAGTCCAAGTAAAAATTGCAAGACTGAATAATAACAAAAATAAAAATAACCTGTCGCAGTCTGACTCTGCCAATAAGACGATTTTCATGCTCAATTCCTGTTTTCGACTCTACCACTGCATCATCAAACAAAGGGAATTGAAACTTTTTCAGCGTCTGATAAAAGTTTGGAATAATGACTTTCTCCAGAAACTGTGATTATTTTCATCCAGTTATTCATACAAACAAACATTTTGTGATTAACCAGTAAAGTTCATACCGCCCAAAAGTCGTCAATGTTTGAGCTACGCCGGAATGAAGTTGTCTGATTTCCATAACCTTTGAATGGTGCATTAATGAAGAGGTAGTGGATGACCTTGGTCAGATAATAGTTCCCAGTCGACGTGGCACTGAAAGTTACTGGAATCCATAAAAAGTTTTAAACTACTCGCATATTTTGACATGACATTATGGAGTTATTGTACTTCTTAGAGATTATTACTTGTACAGACTACGGCAATGTAGAGTAAATACCATATAAGGCTGACTATGGTCGTAAAAAGCTGGAAAGTATTGCGGGTTTCTACCGGTGCATTATTATTGTCGTCAGTAACCTGCTTATTTGTTCCCATTGAACCTACAAAAATAATTCTGACACTAGATTGCTGTTGTTGTAAACATATATATGCTTATACAGCGCATTGGATTATTGCGCTGTTAATCTTTAGCTTTGTGCGAGTTCTCATTTTCAGTTTGAAATACTCGTGAAGAAGCGTTCCCGGTACCTTGATGTTACAATTCATCAATGTCTGACGGTCATCAATCATTAGCTTGTCTCGCTGTAGTTGTTACTCTTAGCACACTTTTACTGCTTCCGTTGTCCCAAAATTTTATTATCATGCACATAAACCTACTACGAACTTGGTGAAATATGTACTGCAAGTAAGACTGCAGTGCAGTGTTCTAGAACTTCTTGTCCTACGTCGCAATCTGCATAACATAAAATCCGAATGTCTCTAAGGAAAATATTTTATGTGCCTATGCGTGTGCGACGAGACGAATTATATTATTATTATTACTCTCCGAAACGTCAGACGACGAGGAACAAATTGCATGAGATTGGAAACCCGTGTTTGCTAATGTGTTAGTTGGTCGTTCCTTCCTGTTTGTTTTGCAGGCTGTTTTATCAAGCTCAGTCCCACTGCCTATTTGCATGGTTTATTAAAACCAAAACTACTTGTTTTCAAGCGTCACCCGGGTAGCCAAAGCAAAACACGGCCAAGTCCCACAGGTCTCTGTCTCTGTAAATGGAGTGCATACAACTGATCGTTTGTTTTGCTGAAATGCTTTCACTCGTACACATTTTAAGCGTCAAAAATTGAGGACAACTCGACACAGACATACCCACATAACATGTAGTGCTTCTAATAATAGTGGTTCAGTAAATACTTTCACCTCGATTCGCTGACATATAAAAACCGATTGTAAGACCGATGAATCAATATACATACACATAAACGTATTTGTACACACACTGACTGAATAAAACCAATATTCTTGTAAATTGTGAGCATTTATTGGTGAGCTATATATTTACATACACGTAGCAGAATAGTAAAGAACGAGTGAATTGACAATCAATAACATGTCATCGTATTAACTAACGCTTACATGAATTTTTAAATAAATACAATTGATTTAAAACAAACTATTAAGGTTTAATTCTACACGATGAAATATATCACCTCAAGAAGTTAAATTTAGCTACTGTGATCAATTCAATTCAAAGATCAACAAAAAATGGTTCCAGATGCAAATTTGCTATTTTACACAAACTTGGCTGGTGAAATGTTTTATATAATTTCTCATCGCATGAAATCACAGTCAGTAAAACTAGAATTACAACAAAGAGTTTACAATGACCTGGCAATCTCTGTCTGTCATCCAGTGGTGGTGCAAAACCTCGTCAAGGGTAAATTACAAATCCTGGAAATGAATATGATGGACATAAGGACGTTAATAGATCGCATGGTGCATTCGTCCATAATGACCGTCAACGCCTATTCGATGGAGAAAGTAAGTTTGCGTAACATGCACAATGTAAAATATTTGTTTATCACACAACTCTAATTTTTCTTCACATTTAGCTTTTCGAACTGACCTTGATCGCAACGCGGTATCAATACACCGTTTGTCAACACCCAAAAGACGTCCTGCTCATTGCTCTTAACCATTTGGACGGGATTCGAAGCGCAATCACCGATCCAACTGCGATTCAATTGTGCGGAAGTCTTCACAAAATTTTCATTGAGCGATTGCAGGGAGAAAGGTATTCATATACTGTGGATTATATGTATAAAAATGCATAAATATGTAGGTATACGCACCAATAGATATTTTGACATAGATTTTGGCCTACGTAGATCTACATGCGTATGTACATACATATATATGTAGTTATTAGCCAGATACATAATTAATTAAACCATAATTTTAGTTGGTGAGCAAAGTGAGACCGTCGATAGTTGATTATAATTTCACAGAAATATTTATTATTTAATCGCAAATATATGTCTACGTATGTATGTTCGCCAATTATGATGTTTAGCATGTGCAATTAGTAGATATAAAACTATTCTAATGACGACATTTGATAATTTTGTATTTGCTTCTTTATATCCGGTCCTAAGCTCCATAAGAATGCAAGAGTATCGATTTTCGATTTTGACATATCTTGCGGACGTCAAATTGAAAATGACCAACTTGATAAAATTGGGGTTCCAAAAATCCTCGGGAGAATTTGTGAAGGATTTTCCTCCTACACAATTCTGCAGAGATGGTAAGTCATTTCTACAATTCCAGTTTCATCAAATATACATAATACGTGTTTGGAATTATTTCTAAATCTGCTATTTATTATTTTTTACTTAGAGTTTAAACAGCCTGGATTAATTGAACTCTACGGTGATGCAGAATTAGAACACAGTGACAGCAGTGACACATCCGACTCCAATAACGAAGCCCCTGAAGACAATTATAATATTGACGAGGAAGTTGATGACGAGCATTGCATGCAAAATCAACTTGACGAGATAAATCCACTTGGAGGAGGAGACAACGGATGTCACTTTGAAAATATTTCTCTGCAAATTCATGATAACGAGTTGGAAGAGGACGACGATTTGCTAGAAATTGAATACGTCGAAAACAGTTTTCAAGAGATATTCGAGTCCTCATCGGCTGAGCCTTCAATTATTATGAAATTTACTAGACAAAGGTCGGAGACGGATGACGAAGAGGGAACGGACACGTCAGCGGGGGGCGTGCCCATGAGTTGCTCATACGAATTGCATGGTTCAAGAGGAATCACGCTTGGACAAAGCATTTACGAAATACCAGGAAACTCTGATGAAGGTGGTTGTGATTATTATTAACTAACTAAAGATATATGGAAATATTTTTATCCCAAAGATTTTGGTAGGCGAATAATTCTTTAATCTGCAGGTGCCAAATCAGTTGTAGCAAAAAGCAATGTTACTTCTGAACCTGGAAGTGAGCAGACTAACCTTGAAAATGACTTGGATGCAATCGCAATAAAATCTGTGCAAGGGCTGGAACTTTGCAGCATTTTGCTGGGGTGCAAAAACGAGTCGAAAGTCGAGTATAAAAGCCCATTGACCAATTTCCGGACGAGTAGCTCTGGTGGAGAAAGTTCAACAACGGATCAGGATTTATTGCCTGAATCTTACATTCCGTTTACGAGCAGCTCGCACACATCGTCAAGCAGCAATATTACTCCCATCACGGGGGTAAATATCGTCAAGTTTGATGCACGGACGGACAGGTCACAAAGTAAAGCTGCACTTTCAAAGATTTCAAAGGAACTTGATTTTGGCTCAGATTGGGAGCCAAGTTCCGAAACTGAAAAATCAAACTTATTTGACTTGCTTGAACCTGAACCGGACGTTTAGTAGAATTGTCCACTTTTATATCGTACTTTAATAAATAATACTGAGGTCTGCATTAAAAAATTAATTTGAATATCTCGTTCATTTATTTATTATTCGCACCATCAATGATTGCATAAATATTCCAAACCGTAAAAATGAAAAATTTTTGCTCATATTGCTTGACAGTTCATCGCTAAAATTTCTACAATAACAGGATTGATTGCAGTATTGTTATCCTCCTTTCTTTGGTGCAATGATGCTTTCCAATTGTTGCTGAAATGAGATGAAAATTAGTTGCATAGGTGCTACTAAGTGTACTTCGTAAAGTTATTCGAATTTCTCAATATATAGCCAAAACAAACCTTCAACTGTTGATTAGCTCTTTTGAGGAATTGGATTTCTTCTGCATGCTTCTTCTCTTCAGCATCTTTTTGCTCATTGTACTTTCTCTCAAGTTGTTCAATTTTAATTCGAAGTTCTTGAGTGTCTCGTTCTAAATTCTCTTTGCGCTCGATAACTTCTTGGATTTTCATTTCAAGTTCGGCCTTCCCTGATTCTGCCATCAGTGCTTTTCGCCTGCCAGACGAGGTAGATTATAGTTATAATTATCTGTATTTAGATTACACAAGATGACCAGTAAATCAGAGCTTTACATTCCAAACGCCGTGGAGCTTTCGTACAGAGCTTGGTAGGCTGCCAGGGTCATTCGGATCTCGTCACGAACGCGGAGAAGGAGCAAACCTCTTTCAGCACAATTGATGGTCACTTGACGAATCAGTTCATCTGGTGTAACAGTAGGATTAATAATTTCAGCATATTTTTAGTTCCACGTGACTTTTTATCTCAATTTTTTAACCGAAACATTGCGAATACAGCTCTCGACGAATTGGACAAATCCCGGTTTCGCGAGCCTGGCGTTGCTTCAGCCGCATATCTAAATGTTCCTGAAGATTTATGACGTCCACCCGAGTGGCTGGAACGCTTGAAACCTAATTGTTAAATAATTTGTCGTACAGATAATTTAGTTCGCTAGTATGATTTTTAATAAATAAAACAAAATATGTATGTCCAGACCATTTGCCTCCACAATTTTCCTTCTTCTTCCCATTCTTTGGGTGGAAGGATCGCATTTAAAATTTCTTCCGTTTCCTTCTTGCTCATTCCAGCATCCTGACACACATTTCCAGGTCCAGAAAGGCCAGGAATGTTGGGTGCTTGCGGGAACCCGGGGGTAGTTGGACGACCTCCCATCGCCTAATTAAAGTTGGCATTATATATCTAGTATCTTTAGCAGTATAGTAGATTGATAAGAATGCGTATACTTATTATAGATTAGGTATCACAGAATAAACTAAACACTTAATGATGGTTTGACGTTGATGGTTTGGGGAATAAATGGACATACATACAATATTCACAGACGAATAAACGGTGCTGGTACCTGAAGGTGTCGTTTCTGAGCTTTTTTGTCATGAGTGGTGACCAGAGTGGGGTTGTCGTATTTCACCAAAGTCAGTTGGTTGTTGGGCAAGGTTCCCTCCGCCATTGTCTAAGATGTAGGATACAGAGGAAAATAGAATGTAGGGAAATAGGCAAAATGTGGATCAAGCGATTCCAGACTATTATGTATGCAATCACTGAAGACGAGTTGTCTTGAAATTAAAATATTGTAAACTAACAACCAAAGAATCGTCTTAATTGATGGGTGCGGGTGTTAGCAGTTTTCCTGAGATTTTTTGTGTTCTTATTACTTTTCAAGTTCCAATATATATTATTCTGTGGGCATAACTACGCTCCTGATTTGGCAGCGTTTGTTCAATACTTGTCTCCCGAACTTTCTCCCAAGATTGAACTACAATCATGCATCTTCAAGCTTTCTCCTGGACACATTCCAGGTTTTGAAATTCCAACTAGAATGGTATGCCATGAGCTGTCAGTCCCATTACAAAATTTGATGCATAATAGTATGAACACGACACAATGAAATTTGTGTCGTATTTTTGTTCATACTGAATAACAATAATGAAGTAGGGACAGGGACGAACAAATATGATCATATCAAATGTTTGTAACACTAATCAAGTAACGAATCTCATAGATTGATTATAAAATCACGCAAAATAATTTATCAGACAATGCTACTTTGTTTAGTACATGAAAATTGTTTTGTATTTATTACAATTTTCTTACTTTATCATTCAGCCCCAGCAAACATTGTTTTGGCTCATTTATTGAGCGAATGCGACACAAACGAGCAAAATAAACGTGCGCGTGTAACATTCAATTCAACAATAATATTCAACATAAAATATTTTTATAGAGTTGAAAATTTGAAATTGTAGCTAATAAAGTAACTTCTACCAAGTGTAAATCCAAACTCTGGTGTTTAAAGGTAATTAAATGAATCATTTCAATATGCATGCAGGCTTATAATTCTAATAATGTAGAAATTATTTTATTTTGATATTAGAACATTTAGAACGAGCGAGCAGGACAATTACTATCGACGCAGTCCATTTTAATTGATCGAGGATGCAAAACGTTTGTTCCGAGGGTCGTCGTTTACCAAAGCCTGACTGGGACCAATTTAACCCACGGTGTCACAATCCATCACTTCATGTACCTCGCAGACCTCCCCCACAAAAACGTCCCACTGTCTTTAGCAGCTACTACAGCAAAAAAGAAACCAATACGAGCGGTAATAATGACGCATATCAGCCACGGCCGCCACAATTTAACCCTAACAGCAACAGGTCGAGACCATACAATCGTGGGGGGCACTCCAACAAGCCAATGCTACCACATATTATGTCTGACAACGCTGGCAGTAATTACCCACCAGCTCTAATTCCGAATCAGCAACACCATGAACCAGTAAGGTTTGATCCAACTCAACCATTGCAGCCTTATCAAAATTGGAGACCGGAAAGAAGTGAAATGTCTTTTAAACGGAGAGGTGGCGGAAGACCACGCTACCAAAAGAACAAGAAGCAGCAAAGATTCAATAATACGTTCTCTGATAGTTATGGAAAGCCTGAAGCGATTCTAGAGAAACGTTGCTGTGAATGTGGAGATGCTGATTCTTCATACAAATGTCCACTATGCCTGCTTAAGTAGTACGTTATTTAACAAAAATCGTTAAATATATTTATACATATATTATTTAATGCATATGACTCAAAGTTTACCATGAAAGATAAATGTAATGATAAAACAAATACTTTAATTTGTAGTTGCTCGGTCTCCTGCTATAAGGCTCATAAGGGTGGAATTAATTGCATATCTACTATGAACGAAGAAACCGTGATGGACAAAAACAACGAAGTAAATTGTAAGCTGATAAAAAGCCCACAAAAGATAAGTTTAGTACGAGGAAGAGTCGAGTACTTATATCCCACGGTGGACACAATCAAACCAGAAGCTCTGGAAAAATTGGCGGTCGAAGATTGTAAGAAGCTTTAACTATTTGGTGTATAGTTATTGATATGGTTCTCATCAAAGATTTGGATATTTTCTAGCATTAAGAAGCAGGGTGGTTGATCTACTGAAGAGTCAAGGCTTACGAGATAAGATTCGAAGACTAGATTTATCAGAGGACCCGAGAAAATTGATGGACTCATTTGTGGAGGATAAAGAATTTTCCGAATTCAAAACATTTGTGATCGACAATTTATCAAAGGACTTATTTAGATAAAGCTGCAATTTTTTAAAATAATTATTAATTGAGTTGATTTTCAAGATTTTATATAAATGATAAAAATATTTCCGTGACGTCTTTGCGATTAGTCTGATCATGTTTTTTTAGACATGCACATTTTGTATTTCAGAATCATAGGTGCATCTATTTGTAGCATTAAAAAAAAGTTTTTGTCACAAACAAAACATGAATTGTGAATTAAATTCTACAAATCACTGTTGCGGAGAACCTCTTTCCTGTAACCGTGATAAGTCTCGCCAATCTTGCGGAGATCCGCGTTTCTGCGTCTCACTAAAGTGTTGTGCAAATGGGGATGAATCCGGGATGCCAGGGTGCAGAAGATGTCGATTTGTTCATTGTAAATGTGGAATGTGTCGCCAATGCCGCATATTCAAATACATAAATTCCATCACTGAGCAGCCTGCAATCGAGGGCGGCCGTAACAATAAAATGAATTGCTATAACCCATGTGTCTTTCGTCGTAATAATAACAACCAAAAATGTCAAAAACCACGTATGATCAGTACTAACAGAAATTTGTATTATGATTTCCAATTGGTTGATGAAAGCTTCCATTTAATCTTAAGTAGCGAAAGTTGACCGAGAAAAGAACAATCTCCGCCAAAACCCTCCAGGAGGACCACTGCTGACAGAATACAGAGCCATGTACCAGTACCGAGGTAAAGGTCGATTTGCGACAAGTAACTGCATATACAAGAGCCGGCCTCAAGGACAAAATGGGGTGGACAGAGTAACTTTGCCTCAAGGACTATACTTGCCCGATCAACCGCCATGGCGGAGCACGATGCAAGTCGAGCCTCTCCCGTACCGAATATCGTTGGGGGCGGAGGAGTCGAAATTGATGGAGCTGGATCGTCTCCTCCAAAAGGAAAGGGATAACATGAGCAGAGACCCGGACGACCAGGTTGTGGGCGCAAATCCTGCATGGGATAACAACAATAACAAACAATATCATATTAAAGGTAAACTTAGAGCTGACAAACCAAAATCTGGGCTTTTTCAACCTGAATTTAGCTAAAAATGCATAATAATGGCTTGTACGCCCCAATTTGTCCATTAACCTATACTTTTTCAATTGAGAAGAATAAATTCTGACAATTTTGTAATATTTTTATAATGAAAATTTGTCTGAAAACTTGTAATTTTAATGTAAAATGCAACCAACATACGTGACAAAAGTTGATCGAGTGGCGCCGTCTATCCGACAAGTACCCCGACTTCCACGGCCCACCACATTTTCTGCTTTACAAAAAAACTACATAGTGTGTTGCTTCTGCTTGCTCTTCGTTTGAAATCAACTGTTTTTTAAACCTACTGAAAATTATTACTTCAAAAGTTTCGACATAAAATACTTCAATCAAGTAATCTCTGATTTAAGGAGACTGATTAATAACTGGTGGAAATTAGTACTAATTACACTTGCTACACTTGTCGTTTGTGGATTCTCCAGAACTACTGGACACGTATAATAATCAGTTTAATCGTTTTTGGAATTCTCCAGTGACAAATTAGCAGACTTTCTGAACAGTAATTCGTAGTTGGTGGTGTGTGGTGTATCGGACGAGAAGGGGCAATTCAGCCTCTTCTGAAGTCTGAAGGACGTTCTCGACCTCAAGAGCAGGGAGGCAAATTTGGAGCCGTCGTGGAGTACCTAAAGGACGCACTGAAGTACATATCCGAAGCGATCGTAAGTCTCTTGCACAGTATTATTTTTGGACTAACCATGTTCAAACTTATGCGAATGTTAAGTAGTTATACTTTTGTATGGCCTCTTTGTGGTGACCACATAATGTACATTTTGGATAATAACCTATTACTTTTTGACCACAGATGCCACGAACACGTGGGAAACGAAAGAAACATTCTTCATCTTATGACCGGAGTAGGAGCCGATCACCATCTAGGTCGCGTGGGGAGGACACTGCCGACTCTTCGAAAGGGAGGGGCAGAGACCGAGGCAAGAAACGGCGTCGTCGGGACTATACCGAATCGATTTCGTCGTCGGACTCAAAATCCAGGTCACAGTCCAAGGATTGCTATATTGTATCAAGTAAGTCTAGGTCTCGGACAAAGTCTCGTTCCAGAAGCAAGCGAAGAAAATCAACCCCTCGTGACGACTCGTACCGATATCGAAAGAGGTAAGCCGGTTCACCAAGTTATCTTCGCAACGAAACTTAATGGATTAGAATTATGGAGAATAGATGGCAGATTTGGGGTCACACTTCCGAAGTTTAGTTTGGTGAAACAAACCATTGGTCTAACTCATAGAATAGGCGCTGAGTTAACACATGAATTTGGTATTGATTGTATAACGTTGGATATGCGACTACCTCGTTGGCGAATTTAAAAGACATAGACATTGTGTAGCCATTAAGCAACGGTTGTATTTTTGGCTTAATTGTTATAATATTTAATGCATCCATCAATTGAATTCAAAACAGAGATCTCTTCCTCAGCATCACTTGACTGGTTCAACACGTTTTTTTCTCTCGAAATGTTAAACAATATCGAACGAACGGATGCGAAAGACAAGATCCATGTTCTATCATCTACGAGATGCATTTCATAAGAAGCAAGGTAAATGTCTACCTGTTGATAAGGCTATTTTATTATTTAATATAATGCTACATTTGTGCTACTACAACCAAAGATTGCTTTTAATTTCTAATTCTCTCTTCTTGGCTGTGAAAGTATTTCAGTATATTTTGATACTAGTCTACCACACCGTTACTTACTTTTAACCATGAGATAAAAACTATTTATTACTCTAAACTTAAGGTCTTCCTCTATCGACCCAGCTCAAGATCGATCGAATGATCAAGCAAGATCTTTGCGCGAAGATCTTATCGTTCTTGCCGATTGCCAACAATTTTGTTGTGGTAGGTACTCCACAACGATTAAGACCCATATAATGTGTACATATTATTATAGCGTTCTAAATTGTGATCTAATGTGTTAATCTGCAAACTTTTTTTATGATTCCCTTATAGAATCAGAGTCGATTGGTTTCCGCATTTACGTCAAGCTGTATTTCAAGTCGACTGCAAGACGCAGACCTGACTACGAGTTTACTTTACTTTTAGTCATATACCTCTGTAGCTTTATACATATGAGGTGTAATATTTTGTCACAGTAGTTTTTCCATCTTTCTCAGTTCCTTCCAGTCAATTTGATTCAGATTATTAGCCATCAAATGATCATAATACCAGAGTGCTTTATTTAATTCAGAAACCTTCCACTGTTACTTTTCCGGTTCGTTTCCAAAAATAGAATTTATGCTGGTTTTCGATAATTATCTGATTAAATTCTTGGTCATTTTAAATAGTACAAAATAAATATATCCATTGACTTTGATATATATTAATTTGCCGTTTCTTTACATGTATTCGTCCTTCAAAACTTTCTCACTACCCATTGAGTTGTTAGGTTTGCGATTTCAAGGGAAACCCCCACTAGCATACTTTTCAGGTATTTATTATTAATACATATCACATGCGTTGGTGGCATTACTAGTGGAAAAGGCGGGGCTGCTCTTGACAATTATTGAGTTAATCTAGTGATGAAGATAATAATTTAATATTTATGCCATTTTCGCTTACCACATGGAACTATGTGACGTATTTTATGGTTCACAGAAATCAGAAAATTTGCAAGAATTTTATAATTTGATAACTAATATATAATCGAGTTTTGAGTTCTCAGTCCACAACGAAGATACTACGTATCCTACTTACTACGTAACCTCAAGTTTGTCGGTCATTTTGGTAGCAGCTTTCTTAAGATAGTAATGTTCAATATCAACTTCATATGGAAGCGAATTATTAATTATTAGTTATCTTTAATATAATAATTTACTGGCTCAAAGTTGTAGTTGGAGAAGATCAATGTCATTGGTCATGAATCTACGTGATGTGATCCACAATGTTAAGTATAATCACAGCCTACGTAAAGAGGTGTTGTTATCCATTCGATTAAGATGTTTCGTTCGATTATCTTTTAAGGATGAAATTAAATTAGTAATACGTTCTTTGCAGATTGTGTGACCGCATGACTATTCATATCTTAATTTCCGCATACCCTGCAGGCATTTATGCTTTTTTGATCTAGTTTCAATTTAGAGCCGTTGATTTTTCAGCGAACCATAATAATCATCGCCTCCACAAGTTCAATGAATAATCTTTGTTTCAAATATGGAGTCAATAATCTTCTGTTGGGTGTCCACATTTGGCCTAAACATAATTGCGATGAGTTCTTTCAATGAGATGGGATGCTCTGATAAATGTTTCATTTCCGAGTTTTATTTTGTTCCTGTCTGTCTTCACTGGTTTGATATGGCCTGACTTTGTGGTATTATTAATTGATGGCGTAGGAAGGATGTATGTATCACGGTAGCAAACGTTGCAATCCTGGCAATTATCAGAAGCAAGGAAATGCAATCTTTTATTGTGACTTTATACCCATCATTTAAATCATTATGCCATAATTTGACATTTGCAATAATTTTATTTGACATTGACATTGTAATTTTGCATAAACATTTATGTCATCTTCTCCATTTCGATCTGACGTTGATTTACAAAACATGTTGTGTTATGGTTTATTAGATCAGTAAACATGTTAAATGTTTGGACTAAATCACATTATCTCACGACAGGATTCTTCCATATCTGGAGGAATTATTCAAGTACAATTTGTTGTATTTGGTCATTTGATCATGGGTGATGTATATCCAGTTGTCGCTTACGACAGCAAATGACAAAAGGTTGTGGCAACTTCTTCCGAAAAGTACATCAGTATTGGGAACTGCATCTTGTCGAGTGTCCTGCTGTGCTCCTTTTAATACTGCAACTTTATGTTTCATACTCACAATTACTGAAGCATTTACTTATTTGTTTCTTAATGTTTGTTGTAAAGTGGGTAGGTACATAATTGAGTGGTATCATGAACACATTTTGACCATCCGTCTTTTATTTGATTGAGATCAAGGAACATGGAACACCTGACTTACAACTCGCAACAAGTTATTGAAACCATTAAATGATATCACTTCTTAACATGGGCAGCCATTTTATGAAGAATACCGATTGGAGTGTTTACTTGAAATTTACATATGCTACGCAATTACTTGCATCATTTTACCTTAATATAAATTCCTTGTGAAAAGATGATGCTCGGATGCCTCGGATTAAGAATTTCCACTCTTGATATAATCATGATAATTAATCTGTAATTTCTCAAAGGGTCGTAAGTCGTAATGCATATGATGTATAATGTCCAGCAGATGGTCGTTGGATTGGATGACATTATCTCATTTATTTTTGGACATCAATAACTTTTTCGAACCTGTTTCTAAAAATGCTTTAGATTTAGTACTTGGCGATGTCTCAAATAGTCTCAATGCCTCTGGTATATTTATTGAAGGATCGCACTCTAAATGAAGTTGGCTGCATACATAAACTTTATCAACAAGTTCATAAAACTAGTCATTGTGTATTTGGCTGAGAAGATTTTTATTTCAAGTCCCTATTTGTGTAATTAGTAAAATATTTCTACGTCTTTAAATATTTAATTGCGTATAAATTTGAAGTGATACTGCGACATTTAGTGGCTGACGAAATGAGAAAAGAATTTAAAAGTCACGACCGCGTGTCATGTAGTTCGCTTCCACAATCAGTTTCAAACTATTCACTATTTACTGGCTAGTTAGGTTTATGACTTGCATGTATGGGCTGAATCATCAGTTAGTCGAAGCGATTTATTTTAGGATAAATCTAAAATTCCACTCTCTGTGCTCACGGTGTGACAAAATTATGTCCGGAAAAAGATGAGAATTTTATAACCGTGAGATAGTGTATAGTACATAATAATATCAACGGTTATTTCATATGCATAACTTGCAACGTTGCATGGTGGCACTGGTTGATAGCGTTGTTGTTGGTGTGGGCTGATGGAGATAGGGAAACAAGAAAAGAGCTTCTCATCATAAATGGTCAGTTGGTATTGAGCAGGCAAGTGTAAAAGGTTAGAGAAATAATATAATATAAGGATGGGAATTGGGATGGAATAGCTGAGGAGTTGATTCCCTACTGCAGAAATTGCATGGGTTTGCAGATTCAGATAACTGTATTCTCTCGACTCGGTCTTGGCTCAACCAACCAACCAACCCTCAAGTAGCTCAGATTCAGTACCTTGTTGTCTCACAGACAGGCAGGTATTTTGTATCATTAGCGATTTAGCCGTCCATTTCATTCCTTATTCATTTTCTTCACTGTGCGTATGTGCCCCCTGCGAGTAACGTGAGGAAACCACCAGAGTTCTAGAGTTTTAAAAACTTTGCAGATGAACATAGTTGACGGTCGTCGTCTCGTTCCAAAAATCATAGCCGGAAATAAAGACTCTGCATCCTTTTCTCATTCACTCTCCACTCGTAACAAATAATCATGGGATCGCACTGTTTTGAATTTCACTCGTGTTCAAAAGTGACTGACTTCCTGCGTGTGTTCGCCACTATGAGCCTTTGCAAGGAGGTGACGATTTCGGATTTTTGTGATACCAGAATCTGCTCCGAGTGATTTGTTTGGGACATTCACTTCATCATCTCGAATCTCTGCGTCTCATGCTGGTGTTGACGAAAGGATTTTTGACTGTTGGACCCAGGAGCTATTCGTCCGTTGCAAATTGTATGCATTTTGAAAATATTATCTTTATTGCTTTACGGTGCAAGTAACTCAGCTTTCAATCAATTAGCTTTCATAATTTTTCATATCATCCTCCTCATAATCTCAATATTTTTTTAAACGGCTTCTACTAGTAGTCATATTTGGTCCGGTAAAATGAAGCTTCAATCACGATGATGTCATACACTGGTCTTTTCTCAGTTGGAGTATATTTCGCTTTTGGCAACTCTTTGTGATGGCTTTAATTTTTTCATGAAAATGTTCGACTGAAGTAGTCCTAATGATAATTACTTTGAAGGTTTTAATTGTGATTAGATTGATCCTTTAGTAGCAATATATAATCTTGACTAACCTGACCAGCAGCACCTTGCACGTCTTGGCTTGATAAAGGTCTTGGCTTTATTTGGTCATATTAATACTATTTATCTGACAATTTTTTGATTGACCGCTCTGCGATATCGTCATCATCGTCATACTTGCACTATTCGATTTGAAGAAGGACTCAGAATTATTTTTTTACAGAGAAGATTACATTGTCATTGAAAGTATTGTTAAAGACAAAGAGAACCGAATAGTATGCTCGGCTGAGCTCATGTGGGTTTTTATTTAACTGACTATGATTCTTCTAATAATTATTTATCTCGATTATTTTTGTGCATACTCGCTACTCGTACATCTATTATATAGAGCTGGGCTAATCCTAAATTGAAAGTTTTCAACGATAAACCCTCTGAACTTGACAGGCCAGGGTTATATTTATTTATTGTTTAAAATGCGTCTGCTGGATGTGAGCGTGCACTCTCTGTTAATTTTGGTATTTTTTAATTGACTAGTTATTATTGACGGCTTTAAGTTGACTTGGCCGTCGTATTTGTCGCCAAATTCTCTACCATATTATGCATACCAAACATGTTGACTGGTCGCATCATCGTATGAAATACCGTTACGTTTTTATCCACGCTAAATTGTATTTAATGAGTGTACACGATCATTTTACGTGAAGACATTTCGAATGGGAGGGATCCTCGAGATGTCAACTTATAAGAGACACTTATGGCTTGAGATGGACTCGTAACTCGTTAAATTTGCACTTGCTTCGTGCATTTGTATGTATAAATGCTCTTCTTGTGTCGCCTTGTAGATCAGCCATACACAGTTTACCTTGACACGCTGTTCCAACGGCCAATAATGCTAGAAGATGTAATATCCTGAGTCGTGACCACATATTGCATAGTACACATAATACACGATACTTGTTTTGAATGCAATTTAATTTTCTAACAATTCTGCCAATTTTATAATACAATTATTATACAACTTACTTAAAATCAGAGATTATGTACTGTACTAAAATACTCCATATACAATTTTGGTTTATTTATTACAATTACTGTCGTGGTAAATATTTGATTTCTTTTATTCCCAAAAGAAACAATATACACAGGCCAGGCAAAGTGACTATCATCATCCGATGTGGAGAATAGTAGTGGTCAACCAGAAACACATGGAAATAATCATGACGTTTTAAAGGAATGTCTTTTCATGTGATTGATGGATTTGTAAACACTCCTTTGTCTTTTCACAGTACGATCCTTATTTCCACATGTTTCTCTGAAAAGTTGCAGATGGTTGTTAGATATTTATATAATACACCCAGACAGCATTTCGTTTGATTGGGAAACTCCTTGATTT